CTCTGCGACCGAGTTTGCCGTCTGCGCGGAGCTGGAAACTACGTCAAAGAATCTCATCTGGCGCATTGCCGGTCAAAATGCGTATGTGTCCGAGAAGATGACCAACCAATTACTCCATCATCTCGACAGGGCGCTGCAGTACATCATCAGCAACCCCGAGGAGAACCTACTTCGCTTTGAGGACGACAATGTTTCCATATGCCAGCTTCCCTCATTCCAGGCGAGGAAGGCGCCCGCTGATTCTTCTACGAAAATCACCAAATCGGACGAAGCCACAGAGTGGACGGCTACAGAGAAGCTCCTGCGCCGGGTGCTCTCACAAGCTGCAGGGGTCGAAGAGAGCTCAATCAGCAAGAGTCATACACTCTACAACCTAGGCCTAGATTCGATCAGCGCCATCAAGGTCTCTGCGCTCCTTCGCAAGGAAGGATTGAACCTTGGCGTCAAGGCCCTGTTGACATCGACCTCAATTCATTCTATGGCTCAGCAGGCTCAGTCAAGCACCTCCACTGAGATGCAGCAATCCCCAGACACCCCTTCCACTGGGTTTGAACTCCCAAGCACAATTGATGGTGAAGCCCTGCTTACCAGTGCTGGTATTGCCGAGTCTCAGGTGCTAGCAATCCTGCCTCCTCTGCCAATGCAAGTCTACATGATGTCAGCATGGCAGAACTCCGAGGGCCGAGTTTTCTACCCAGAGTTCTCCTACCGTCTTCAAGGATCTGTGACGGTCGATCAACTGCAATGGGCATGGTCCGCTGTCATTGAGTCAGAGCCGATCCTCCGGACATGTCTCGTTGCCACAGGTCAGAGGCCGCTACCTTTCGTGCAGATTGTTCTCCGTCCCGATGCCGATGGACCTCACAAACACATCGCCGTCCAGGGAGAGGCTTCTACTTCAGAGTCTCACACGGAATCGTGCTGGCCCCAGGTACAGCTTTCCGCAAAGCAAGAGGATGATAAATCTTGGCTGCTTCAACTGAAACTTCAGCACTCACTTTACGATGGATTCAGCCTACCAGCACTCATGCAGCACCTTCTATCCACGATTCAAGGACAAGACTCCAAGGAGGTCATGGAGCTAGAGTTGTGGAGGTCGTTCCTTGGTGCTCACCATCACCAGGAGGTGAAAGACGACAATAGGAAGTTTTGGACGGAATACTTTGAAGGCATCATTCCCGCCACGTCATTTAAGTCCGACGACACGACCAAATCGTTGGAGCGAGTGTCGCTCCTTCAACGCTCTGCTATTTCTGGTATCGCAAACCTACAAGGCTCATGCTCCCAGGCCGGCGTGGGTCTTCCTGCCCTCTTTTTCGCCGCGGCTGCCAAGACTCTCCAAAAGTCGAAAATTCTCTCGTCGTCCTCGAACACCAACGAGGTCGTGTTCGGTATCTACTACGCTAACCGATCCCTCGCCGACAATCTGCAACCGACGTTCCCCACACTCAACTTGATTCCTCTCAGGGTCCGAGTCGATGAAACTGCCAGCATCATCGCTATCGCTCAACGTGTGCAAGAAGACTTGCATCTCATCTCATCACACTCAACCGTAGGGTTGTGGGAGATAAAGGACTGGACTGGGCTAGAGATTGACTGCTTCGTCAATTTCCTTCATCTCGGCGACGACGACGAGGAGATTCTCCAGGCAGGAGATGTTTCTTTCGAGCTCGTTTCGAATGGAGACGAAATTGAGGGCCTGACCAAGACGGATGGCAACTCGGGTCTATCATCGAGCGTCTCTGCTCGATGGCTAGTGGACAATGCAGTACGAGACGCATTCCCAGTAAGTTCCCACGTGAATCAGTTCATAAGATGTCTTGCTAATGTGATTATAGGACGCTGTGGATATCGAAGCGTCGATAAAGGAAGGCGCGATGGATATTGGAGTGTTTGGGTCAGCGGCAAAAGTGTCCCAGTCCTCCGCTGGCGAGCTCATCAGCGTGCTTAGTTGCATTTTGAAGGAGTTATGAGGATATTAGAATTTTCATTTTTGACAAGTTCGATTGTTATAGTTCATAGTTCACACGTTTTCGTTTAATTTGGTGTCTACCTAAGTACTTCCAACTCAGTGATTATGTCTTTCACCAAACATTTAGCCGCAGGGCTCACCATCGGTCAAGCACGGATTGGCTTTTATGACCAGCCACACACGAAGATTATGGAGGTGACGTGTGGAAAGCGGTCATGTCCAGTCCCCAATGTGCTAAGAATGAGGGAGTGCACTTGAAAATGCTAGTAGAAGCTGTATGGGGCCAGTGGAAATCACAGTAGAAGAGGGCAATGATATGTCGTTTGTATGATGTAATGGAAGTAGCTGAAAAGTGCTTATAGTTGAGGACTTAACCCCTACTGGGTGGGCTCGAAACTTCCTCAAAATACCTGTTAAGGACTCAAAATGATAGTAGTCCTACATCGTTCCATTACCGAACCCGAAAACAACCTGAACGTGTATTGAGCGACGATCTGTGCTTTGTTTCTATATATGCTATCAATGGTTTCCTTCAGTTCTGGGGAGTCCATCTTTCTAACTGGGCCATTGGAGAGCGTGACGAAGTTTAACCTCCTAGGATGCTAACTAGCCAACCACGTCTGATTACTTCGCTTTTAAGACTTTGATACTCTTATTTTTTCCTTTAGCGCACGCGACGCTGTCATGCCCGATCCAGCCTTTGACTATCCGAAACTTTTTCACATGCGGTGTTAATCAATGCTCTTGAATGATACAAACTGTGGGATTCGGTTGATAAAGCTTTCTAGACCTGAACCAATTTAAAGGAAGAGAATCAACAAGACTACATTTTCCTAACTTACCGATGGATTTAGAGCACTCAAGTCTGACTCACGGGTGTTTAAAGGTCCCTGCACTTCGTGCTTGGAAACCAATTTCAGTTCGCGTGAAGAGTTTCTTATACCTTTGAAGGTTGGAGGTTGTCTGATTCTACAAAATTGGTGCATATAAGACCATATACTCATCAAGTCTCTGATTAACATGAACCGATTCGCCTCAAAATCTCAGACCCAGACCAACTAAATTTTATCAGGATCGTTCGCAAATGTACTGATACTTGATTTTAAACATCTTAAATTTGTCTGGCGCAAGAAGAGTAGCCTCAAACACTCAGTCAGTGGTTTTGACATTACAAATTGCAACAGAGAACTTGGTGGATGACTCTTGACTTCGCCGTCGGACTAATCATCGTCTAAGAGCCTATAGCCGAGGCTGACCACATTGTTGGTGTTCTGGGAGGACACGCCTGGAAAGATTCTGGGCAGTGGCTATGGCGAATTCGGATATCAAGCCTAGATCGATAAGGTCGTCCCATCGTGCCGGTGGGCGATCCCGAATTAGGCAGGTCTGCGGCTCACTGCGCACAGGTCATCTACCGAGACCATCACACGGGTATAGGGGGTCAGCCCGCCCCCGTATGATGTATCGTTACCCTTTCCCCCGAGCTTCGGAATGTTCCTTTCTTCCGCCGTCGTCTTCTGAATCTGAAAATCTGAGTGAGAGTCTGGGGAACATCAGGAAGGAGCGGGCTAGAGGGTTGGCGCGCGGCATTTCTTGACTTCGTTGGTGATCCCCTGCGTCCGATGCCGCTGGCAAAAAGTCCCTGGTGCCTATGGGGGCCATTATCTGACCATGACTATCCTTTTCTAGCAAGTGCAAAGAAGCGAAGGATGACCTCCTGCATCTGTGCCATTTGGCGAGTACGTTCCTGCATCGTGGCGCTGTTACTTGCCCGTATCCGAACACCTGCATTGCAACGCTGAGCTGACCAGAGAGGGCAGCTGAGTCAATTACAACGAGTTGAAGACATGCCATGACAACATCATCGATTGCGACCTGCTGAAAGCCAACTCAACCCCACCGCACCGCCCTGGTCTTGCGCTTGCAAAAGTTCAGAGTCCACATTCGCAGGACCTGCTGCTCAAGCTTATTTCTGTCGTGATTGCAAGCTCTGGCCAGATGTTGCACCAGAGGCGGTGCTTCGCGCCAATGACTCGTCGGAGGCGATGAGACCCTGGAGAACTTCCGTCAGCAGCGCTGGCCAACTGCAGTTTAAGGTATCGATCCCGCTGTGGGCTCGGGGCGCTGTGGAGTCTTGTCTCCGAGATGATTTGCAGGCTTATTTTTACGTGATCGGTCCCTATCGCTTGCACAAGGCACGCGACTTTTGCTAACGGCTCTTGTCCTGCATAACATGAATCAGTTTATGTACTAGTTCAACGCTCTTTGAGCCGACCTCGAAGTCTGTTCGGAATATCAAAGCCGTTCAAGAGTCTAAAATAAGCTTATTCTTTCCTTTCCTTTATTCGAACGGTTCATCCAATGTTCAAGTATTCCAGAACCAATGTCCTCTTTGAGGCAATCGTAATCCCCCGGGACATTCTTGCCTGGAGAACTCGGAGCATGTTGCTGCAGACTACCGAAAACCCCCATATCGCCAAGACACCAATGCCAACCAAGCCGTCGCCAAGACGCCAACAGCGCAAACGAAGCATTAATGCAACCCTCCCACCGCTTAATCTCAAGGGTGCAAGCAAACTACCTTCCCTCTTCTCTCTCGTATCGAAGCCGATAGACGCGAGCTTTGGCATTGGCGGATCACGCAAGCACATCCAACCGTGCTCGTCGTGCAGAATCATGACCGCGATATCGACAACAACTTCCCAAATGATGCCCCATTCATGATGGACGGGTTCATCTGCACGACCAAGGGAATTGCGGGAACCCCATATCCTCCCTGGTCAGGCTTCTTGACAGTGGGCTTGCTGCGACCGGGGGTCAGGCGGCATGCTGAACCGAAGAGGAAGCTCTTTGGCTGCAAAGCTGATGAGCTCGTGAACTGAAGTCTCGAGACCTCAAAGCCATTGGCGTATTTAAACATCATGGCGGTCGCCTCATTTTCGTGTTCTTCAGGAGCTCAGCAGGCATTCTCAAGTCCACAGCCCCCATTCCCCTCTTTCCACCTCGTTCGTTCCTCGTCGTCGCCGCCATGTACCGATCCATGAAGTCTTTGGCCCTGCTCGGCCTCTTGGCTCCGGCCTACGCCCACCCTGCCCACGGCCACAAGTCGGCCCTCGCCCGCCGTGGCGTCGACATCGAGGCTTTCCGTCTGCCCCAGCTTGGTTCTTACACCAACGCCACGCTGACGGAATCGAACCCGCCCATCGCGCTCCTCAAGCGTGAGAGCTATGTTGACACAGCTACTGAGCTTGTCCAGAAGCTCGCACCCAACGCGGAATTCCGCGTTGTTGGTGACCACTATGTTGGAACCAACGGCATTGCCCACGTCAACTTCAAGCAGACTGCCCACGGTCTCGACATTGACAATGCTGACTTCAACGTCAACGTAAGTGCACTTATGCTTTTGGATGGATGATGAGACAGCGACTGACAGCATGACAGATCGGCAAGGATGGAAAGGTCTTTTCTTTCGGTAACAACTTCTTCTCCGGAGAGATCCCTGAGGCCAGCCCCCTCAACAAGCGCGACTTCAAGGACCCCGTCGCCGCTCTCAACGGCGCCAAGGACGTTCTTCAGCTTCCCGTTGAGTCCGCTGACGCTTCTGCCGAGGCGAAGGAGGGCAAGGAGATCTACACCATCAAGGGTACCTCCGGCGCCGTCTCCGACCCCGAGGCCAAGCTCGTCTACCTTGTCAAGGGCGACGGCTCCCTTGCCCTCACCTGGCGTGTCGAGACCGACATCACTGACAACTGGCTTCTGACCTACGTCGATGCCCAGTCTGGTGGTGAGGTTCACGGTGTCGTTGACTATGTCTCCGACCTTGCCAACTACCGCGTCTACCCCTGGGGAGTCAACGACCCCACTGAGGGTGACCGCGTCCTCGTCTCTGACCCTTGGGACATTGCCGCTTCCGAGTTCACCTGGCACAGCGACGGCCCGGGTTCCAACTACACCACCACCCGTGGCAACAACGGTATTGCTCAGTCCAACCCCAGCGGTGGCAGCACTTACCTGAACAACTACCGCCCTACCAGTTCGTCCCTCAACTTCGACTACGAGTACACCACCAGCATGAGCACTCCCTCTGCTTACATCGATGCTTCCATCACCCAGCTGTTCTACACCGCTAACCACTACCACGACCTGCTCTACGAGCTCGGCTTCAACGAGGCGGCTGGTAACTTCGAGATCAACAACAACGGTCAGGGCGGCGCTGGCAACGACTTCGTCATCCTTAATGCTCAGGATGGCTCTGGTACCAACAACGCCAACTTCGCCACTCCTCCCGATGGCTCTCCCGGCCGTATGAGAATGTACCTGTGGACTCAGTCTACTCCTCGCCGCGACTGCAGCTTCGAGGCCGGTGTCGTCATCCACGAGTACACTCACGGTCTGTCCACCCGTCTGACCGGTGGCCCTGCCAACTCCAACTGCTTGAACGCTGTTGAGTCCGGTGGTATGGGTGAGGGTTGGGGTGACTTCTTCGCTACCGCCATCCGCCTCAAGCCCACCGACACCCGTGCTACCGACTACCCCATGGGTGCCTGGGTCTACAACAACCCTGCCGGTATCCGTACCGTCCTCTACTCCACCTCCATGACCACCACCCCCAACACTTACTCTACCATCAACGGCGTCACCGCTGTCCACCGCATTGGTGAGACCTGGGCTACTATCCTTTACGAGGTTCTCTGGAACCTCATCGACAAGTACGGCAAGAACGATGGCCCCCGCCCCGAGTTCAACAACGGCGTTCCCACCGACGGAAAGTACCTCACTCTCAAGCTGGTCATGGACGGCATGGCTCTGTACGTTTCCTCCCTTCTTCTCCTTATAGCAAAGCTAACATCTCCCTCAGGCAACCCTGCTCTCCCAACTTCATCCAGGCTCGTGATGCCATCCTCGACGCCGACACTGCTCTCACCGGTGGTGCCAACCAGTGCGAGCTCTGGACCGCCTTTGCCAAGCGTGGTCTGGGATCCAACGCTGTCTACAGCTCTTCCAGCCGCCGCGACGGCTTCACTATCCCCTCCGGTGTCTGCTAAAAGCCAGACGCAATGATAATCTCATGTAATTAGCGTATATATTCTCATGAGCGCATCTAATGAATACTTAATGTGTACAAATCCTATGAAGCCTGAATATCGTTGCGTGTTTCTTTGATACCGAGCTGATAGGGAGAATGACATGTGAGAAACCCCAACTATTCCGCCGTCTCCGACCCTTCAGGTGTCTCAGCCTCCACGCAATCAACGTAGTTAGCCTTCACCTCTGCCTTCCAATCCTCCATCTTCACATGCTTTCCTTCGACTCTTATGAAGCCAGAAGGAATGGCTCTGATTGTAGCCTCATCGCAGGGGGGTAGCGGGATGAACGTGTGGTCTTTGCTGCACATAAGATCCCTAACTGCCTTGGCACCAGCCTTGGTGTAGCAACCTTCATCCAGCCATACCTGACCACAACACTCCACGCAATACCATATTCCATTCGGAATCGTCGTTATAACGTCGCAGTATCCGTGGCACGCGCCGATGGAGCGGTTAGGCTCTTCTGGCTTGGCGACAGGCGTTTTCTCTAAGTCCTCGTTTGCTGACTCCCCCTCCTCCTCCACATCTCCTTTGACGTGATCGGGATGATCCTCTCCATCGACGTCGGTAGAATTGTCCTGAGAAGTCGGCTGTGGGTTCTCGGGCGGGTTCTCATCGTTGTCCTCTGGGTTTGTTACCGGCTCCTCCGTCGTTACTGGAGCCTCAGCGCCAGACGCCTCCTGAGTACTGGCGCCGTGTGTCTCACCTGCGGCAGATGCCGCATCCTCCGAAGTCCGCACCGCAGTAGCTTCATCCGTGATGCTAGCCTGGTAAAGAGCCAGCTTCCGCTCGTATTCTGCGACTTCAGCAATTCTTGACACTGCCATCATCTCCCAGCACGCTATCATATTGGCCGTCTCCCCGAAGGCCGCGAAAACCTGAGCCAGAACCGAAAAGGAGTACCAGTCGTTCTCCACGTCGTCGTCCGACAACATTTCAATCATTCGTGCAACTCCCTGACTGAGCAGCCTTTTGCCGGGCATGTCGTCGCCCTTGAGATGGAAAAATCGCGCAAATCTTAAACTCGGCATCCAATAGCAACTGCTCTGACCCTTCTTGAAAATATCGTGCAAGTCCACTGCCTTCTTAAGGGCAGCGTTGACGGCCTCTGGTGTCGAGTCTGATTTGAAAGCCCGTCTGGTGTAGATAGGCAGAATGAATAGTGTCAGTTCATTCAGGATGTCCGCGTCCTGGTCTCTGACCCAATCTTCTGTCAGCATTCCCTCTATCACCCCAATGCCAGCATTCTTGTAGCCAGGCCTTCGAGCCATGGAGATCCTATACCAGGCGTTCATCTTGGCTTTCCAGGAAGACTGGTAGGGCGTGTTCTTGACTCTTTTATCGCCTGCCTCCCACATCGCCTGGAGCACATTCCAACGGTCTGTCTCATCGCATGCTCGTCTGATTGTGTCCCAGAATAACCTTTCGTAGTTTTTGCTTCCTAGGAAAGCTACCTTGCCACCAACCGTGACATCTTCATCTGGAATTTTCAGCAGTTTCTCGCAGTAGTCCACAATTTCAGTCCAGAGGCCTCGGTCGCCAAAGCCGAACACAATGAGCCACGCGCAGGTGGCAGGCCAAGGATGATTCTCTTCCACGGCCTTGAAGTATAAGGAGACGGCCTTTTCGGTGTTTTCATCAGTCCCCAGACTCCAGTAACGGTCACCGAGTGTATGGATAATATCGGCATAATTTTTCTGGTTTCTGGCAGTCGAGCGCCACACGGGGTCGTCTTTGACTCCCTTCAACTGGTCCTTTACTCTTTCAAGGATTTCAATGCTTTCGGAAGCCTCCTCTGGCAAGTCGAGGACTCGAGCTAAGTAGAACGAGGACATCCAATCATCCGAATGAAGCTGAATGGCTCGTTCCGCTCTGTCCACGACATCCTTTTTCTTGATAGTAGTGTCGTTTGATAAGTAGTAAAGGAGCTTCACCATTTGACTCTGCCATAGAGCGTCGTTCTCCTCGAAACCCAATCTGTTCCGTGCCCATGTTTCAACGGCGTTGACATGCTCCAGAGTGGGAAACCAGAGTTGACTTTCTTCAACTTTGAATTCGTCCTGTTCGCCTTCACTTTTATGATTCATCTACATAGATTAGCATGTCCGCGCCACCAGAAGTTAGGCTTGGTCGAAGGATGTAGGCTCACTCGCTTGATTAGTCCGTAAAGCAGTGTAAAAGCATCTGATAGCTCTCTTCCTCGATCTTCCGGCTTCAGAAGCCTTCTCGCTGCGATCATTGCCGCCTTCTCATACCAGTACTGGTCACTTTTCTCGCGGCTGATGATGTTTTCCAGGATCCTTTTATTGTCGAGGTGCTCCAGGACCGAGGAGTCTTGGGACCATTTTGTCAAAAGCTTGTTGCCTAGGTCAGAGAACACCCAAGGTTCCCAATTGCTAGGAAGAGCTTTGGCATCGATAGCGCCCTCAGTCTCCCAATCCCGTCCGTAGTCCCGGGAGAGAAGGGCATCAATCGCAGCCTCTTCGGTGAAAAGCCGAACCAGCAGGGTTCCAGCCTCCGCCTTGAGCTTGCGATCCGCAAGGGACAAATTGGTGCTATCCAAGTGTTGATAAAGACAATCGGCTGCGTATGAGCGAAGAAGTTTGCTCTTGGCTGTTTGTTCCTCAATGAGGCAGCGAAGACATCTTAGGGCGAGCTTGAGTTCAGCATTGTCTGGGTCCTGACAGATGGAGTTCTCCTTTCGTTCTATTCTTCGTTCAAAAAACTCCTTGAAGCCAAATTTGTCATAGAAATTCTTGGGGCAAACCGTCGAGAGGTAATGTTGAACAATGTTGAGTTCTTCTGGTAAGATTGGATCGGCATTGTTGTGTTGCGGGATGTTGTCCCACATCTCAGGCCTTTTGAAGTCGATCAAGCCTTCGCTATCAGCATAAAACAGTTCGTTGTACTTCTTCTCAATCTTGGACTGCAAGGACCGAAGAGAGGTTTGACGTCCATCTGTGTCGTGGTCGGTCTTGAGCTCCAGAGCGGCCTCGATCTGGTTAGATGTCATCCAACGAATCCCCCATTTTACCCAAAGGATGATCTCATTGATCTCCTCAATCTCCTTGGGCTTCATGATCTGATTGAACCTCTGAATGTCCTCTAGAACTTGGTTCGATCTTGCTCCGCTGGCCCTCTTCAAACAATCTTCCACCTCCTCGAGCGAATCAACGCGTTCGATATTGTCCAAAGCTGCAACTGCAATCGTGTAATCGCCATTGGTGGAGCTTTCGAGTGCCTCCAGAACCCGCTTCCTCACGTCGGGCACTCCCGGTCGCGTTGTGTCGCTAAGGATATCCATGTGGTTCATCCGAGCCTCTATGTAAAGCTTGATATCCTCAGCATTGCGCGTTTCAAGCCGTAGCTTTTTCATCCGAATGTCATCTTCCTTTTCGAGTTGCTCAAACGTCGACGAAGTGCCGGTCACTAAGACTCTAGTGCGAAGACGTGCTTGGTCACCGGAGAGCATCTTGAACAAATTTGTGAGGGCGTCCAAGTTCTCTCCAAGACCATCCAGAACAACGAAGAACGTGCTGTCGATAGTGCTCCGATCATCATTATCAAGAAGGAATTGTCTCCAAATGGCAACTGGGTCATCTAGGTCGACTTTGTCGGCGTCGCAGAGACCAGCAATTGATTTGAGAAACGGCGTCTCCTCCTGAGCAAGCTGCCACAACAGGCTCTTCGAAGCACGACACGCAATTACATGCTTCCTTCTGAACCCTGCTGCGACATCTTCCTTGGCATCTGCCTCCAGAAAGTAATGCGCTACGGCTGATCTCGTGCCAGAGCCACCTACTGTTTTCTGCTTCTGGAGCCGATCAATAATGTGTGTGACCACGTATGTCTTTCCTGAACCTTTGGGCCCCTCAATGCCCAAGATAGGATCAGTAGTATCATCGCCAGTCATCCAAGCTGTGAACAGAGGATCGATGTCAAGCCACTTCCCCGTGCCCTCTATTCGGCTCGCGCCATATTTGCGTAGGTCTTCTCCCCTGTCAAGCACCTCTTTGGAATTCTTTCCGAAGAAAGCCTTTTCCACTCTGTCCTTGAACTTCTGCTCCGTCTTCTCCTTCTTGTTGGCAGTGTTCTGCTCAACCAGCGTGTCGAGTTTCATTGAACTATCCTTCGATGTCTTGGCAGCCTCTTGGCTGGCTTTTGCGGCGTCTTGGCTGATCTTGAATGTCTGTGCAGATACAAGACCGTGTTCCCGTGCGTTGAGGTTCTCCATCTCGCTCAGCAGCCCTTTGATGTCATCATCATCCAGGAACATGCGACTGAAGAACATCTTGATCTTGTACCTCTTCTTCCCTAGTTGAAGTGACTTGTCGCATACTCTGATGAACAATCTGAATTGGCAACAGATGACTTTCCTGAGAGACGTATCTCTGTTCGTGTAGTAGGTAAATCGCTCAAAGAACTCGGCGCACTTTTCGAGGAGTGCTGCAAGACTTTCAAACGCCTCTGAGTACGATTGCCATGCCACGATAACAAAGTTCAGCGCGTTGAAGCACTGATTCGCGGGACCGAAAGCCTATGATATGTTTAATAGTCATCTCAGCAGTAGGTAACAGAGGCAATCTTACATTGGAAACGCCGTCGGCAACTAAGCTGCCAACCTTTGAAATAACTTGAAGTGTCTTGCTGAAAGTGTCCTTGACAGCAGCGTGCTTCTCTGCAGCCTTCTGGTCTTTGGCTTGCACTTGCTCCAGATGTCGTAGGACTCCGTCGATGTCGAGTTGTTTGTCAATCTTGTTGGGATCTCCTCCCGCCATTCGTATCACCATAGCCTGCACCTCCTGCCAGATCTGTGTAACCTCATCGTCACTCTGATCAACAGGAGTCGTTGCGACAACGGCAGCCTTGGCGTGAGCAACGACCACGGCCATGGTGGAACAAGGTGCTGTAAAACGTTACACGACAGTGCCACAGCACCGAAGCAGGCTACCGTTCTCCTTTAAACCTCACAGGAGAATCAACGTTGAGATATTTTCAGACCAGTCCAGCAGCGCCTAAAGCTAAGAATCAGGCTGCATCTTAGTGCTGATAGCGTCTTTTTTTGACCTGGTCACCCGTCCATAACCCATGCTTCTGAGGTTGGCCCTGATTCGCCGAGTGATTTTCAGCTCCGAAGGCCAGCTGCCAGGCCCCCTAGTCGCCTTCAGCTCAAAATCAAGTGTCATTCGTCCAGGAAGACCAGTTCTCGCCTTGCATTTGTCCGAATGCAAAACCAATGGACGAGGCCCAGTCAAGTGTGCTTTTGAATCATACCCTGAGCTTACTCGAAATTCGGCAAAATCGCCGTCCTGTAGCTTCACGAAGACAAAGTCGCGCAGTCAATAGCACATTCCAGATTAGGACCTGCGTATCTGCAGGCTTACACATCCGACATTGTCATACTCAGCATTCAACGCCACTCAGCTGTTATTTGCTGCAACATCAAGCCTCGTCTCACCATCGCCGTATTTGTCTTTGATCATTCAAATATTCACTAAGTACTCAAATGAGTCGAAGCAATCCACCGGCTTACTAAAATTTTGTATTGTAGCAACCATCGGATTTATCCATATCCTTCAGATGTCCTTCCAAACTTGTGGTATTTTTCACCCTGATGATTCTCCGTAGGCTCATCTCCGTAAAAGAACATCGGACAATGTGTGAAGTTGTGTCCTGAGGAGTTGGCGCTGTTTGAGGATGGGAAACCACCTAGAAAAGACTGTTCGCCGACGTGCTTATTTCTGTTTATTGCACACACTTGGATTTCTCGGAATAGCTAGTCGCAGGTACAAACCCAAAGTGATGGAAACGTTTGATACCGCACATATTGGACTCCTGAATATAGCTAGGTATGTTTCGGGTTTCAGCAGAAACTTTGCACGAGTAAGGTAGGACGAACGTTTTCCAAAATCCAGTTGACCTCGCGTAATAATTCATAAAAATTAAATGCTCATTGCCAACAATAGTGAACGTTCTGTTAGGTCAAGCAGTTGCGCTTCTTCTGTATAAGTTGAGACTAGTTCACTTTAGGTATGCAAACACCCCGGCGTGTTAAGTGTTCCCGCCGTCGTTCTTACCCAGGCGGACATCCGCTGGAGTCAGTGGCCAACGAGCTTCTGGTGGTCGTCCTTGGTTTCGACGTTTTGCACTCCCTGAGTGACCCTGTGCCACTCAAGGAGGTTTCTCAGTTGTGTGGCATGGGTCGTATGGTGATCCTTGGACAGCTGTCTGAAAGCCCGCAGCTCGTCTGTGTCCTTTGGTCCCAGCGAATGCCACAGCTCGCGATATACCTTTATTTCGTCGGCGTCCGTGGTATGCATATAGCGGGTCAGCTCGGCTACCTCGCGCATCTCTTTAGCTGTGGTGATGTTGAGAGATTTTGCCAGCTTGACGAGAGGTTTGATCTTGTGCGCGTCGGAGCCTGCGACATCTTTGAGCACGACCAAATAGCTCGCCGCAGGATCTTGAGGAGACAGCTCGAGACTGGTCCATAGCTCTTGTATGCTACGGGCTACTTTGGGATCGTATTCGAGGCCGAGTGCTGCGTATGGACCCTTGTAATAATCGACTGCCTTATCGTTGCGAAATTCAAGAGACTCGTGGTGGACAAATGGCCTGTAAACAATGTCCCACTTTTGTCCCTGATGTTTCACAGGTTTCCAAATGCCACTGTCATCGCGCGGGGCAAGGAATAGGGTGTCTTCGTCACGTAGCTCTTCCTCGACGCTACTCAGAGCCACGCGGAACCACCATTTATCGCCGTCAGCGAGCCAGTTCAATTGCGAGGGTATAAAAACTGCCTGTTTTCTCTCTGAAGCAGAACCTAATAAAGCCTTTTCGTCGTCTTCTGAGAGTCGCGGGCAGGCCACGTATCCAGCTGAAGCGAGTCTCAAGGCAGCAACGAAAGAGGGAATATGGTCGTCTAATATACCAATGTCAGTGGAGTCGGAATCATTGAGGAGATAAAGGGGCGACTGAAGCTTACAGTTTGCCTGCATAATTACCTTGCAAAAGTCAACCATGAGATCCTCGCGGCCGCTTAGGCGTAATGGCTTGGTTGGATGCAAAAGCCCAAGAAATTCGGCCAAGTTCGGGCGCTTGGTTTGAAACCCCGACCCTTTGACGGCTTGACGCCATATGTCGGGGATCGGGACCCCCATGTACAATGCCAGATTGAGTGCGTTTACGAGGTGCGTGGCCCAGTAACGCGCGTTCCAGACTGTGGTGTAGTTTGCTGGAGGAAAATACTGGTCTTGCAAAGGCCATGTCTCCTTGCCCAGGTGCTGCATGATCTTAATTGGCAAGGGCTCTTCGGCCGTCGGCTCTGCTTTCATGTCTTTCAGAAGCCTCTCGATGTTACCATAGGTGTGTTGATCCTTGGCCCTGAGGACATCGAACAAAAAAGGCATACTTCTCGACCATGCTCCCATGCTGTGCGGCGGCGCCATCTTCTGTTCCTTGAAGTACTTGTAGAACCATGATCCCAGAAAGTCGTGGGTGGCTGCCTTCTGTCTGCGGTCGTCCGCCTGCCGCGTGGCTTCGGCAGCAGCCACTGATGCGAGTTGCTGCAGAGCTACTTCGCCCGTCATGACGATCCCGTTGATGAGATCTAGCATACGAAGCACATCAAGTGAAGTCTCCTCAGTGGCTGACGGCTTGTATAGGATGTCATGCTCGATATCAGACCAAGCATGCATGATAATGCTGCCTATCTGGATCTCAATATCAACGTTGGGGTCATTAGCTGCATATTGATCGAAGTCCCGGCTCTTATGGCGCACAACCACATGTATAGCCTTATAACCGGAAAAGGTCATCTCAGGAGCCGAGCTGGTTCTGTCCATTAGCTCCATCTTGACCCGCTCGTCCTCGGATGCTTCCTGGATCTGGCGTTGTCGCTCCACATGCTTGCGGATCTTCTGGAAGAGGCTGTGGGCAGACCAAATTTGCATCAACCAGGACAACGCTTTTGAGAAGAGTGAACAGATCCCCCTCATGGTCCTCATCTATCGTAACGCCAATCGCGTCCTAGTGTGGCTGGGCAACGACAACCATAGGATCGCCGCGGAAGCATTCCGACTCGTTAAAGACCTGGGAGTTGTGTTTGGTCTTCATCAAGGACACGCAAATCTGGGCCACGACCTCTCCAATAGAGTAGGCCATCTTTCAAAGTCCAGGGATTTGTGGTCTCCACTGCGGGAGCTAACTCGGCTTCCATGGGTAAGTCCCTTAGCTCGGTGACGCTCATGTTGCATTCAAGGATCTCTGCCTCTCTGACGTCCTATTTCGTTCGGCCTGTTTAGTTTAAAAGAGTATGGATAGTTCAAGAGATTGGCGCGAAGGCTCCCGCGACGCTATTTTGGGGCGAGGCTTACATCGAGTGGAATCTCCTTTACTCGGTCTGCAAGGCCATCAACGGAGAACAGCACCTGCGCAAACAGGTCGACGTGCAAACGCCAAAGATCACGTACATGTATCGTCGGCTCATTGAGCCCGACCGTATGATCGCAAATCGCCATGCCAACCGGTTCAGCTTCCTCTACGAACTGCACCGCAGCCGCCATTTAGTGGCTACGGACCCTAGGGACAGAGTGTTCGCCATGCTGGGCCATTACTCCATCCGCAACGGGCCGAATCAGAAGCTAAGGGAGCTTACAGCTGATTACACAAAGACTGTGGAAGAAGTCTTTGCCGACGTGGCATCGAGGGCTCTTGTCGGCGACAACAGTTCCCTGCTGGCCCTAGCCGCAGTCCAGCACCACAACCTCCCACCATTAGGCGAGAATATGGCTGTCGAGCTAGCCGACTGCGCCAATTATTGCTCATCATCTCCGAATGGCTTACCTTCCTGGGTTCCGGACTGGCGTCTTTATCAATCGCATATCCTTTCAGAGCCTACCAGCCCACACCACGCTGGTGGCCTCTCGCGGCCGAACTTGCGAGTCGACGAAGATTCCAAAACACTGCATATCAAGGGAACCATTGTTGATGTCGTGGCTGCCTGCTCCGGGCCATTTCGGCCGCGAGAATTTCACGTCAACGGGTTGGACTGGTCCATGGCTATCCATACGGTGTGGCGCGACGTGTGCGGCCAGTCCTCCGGCTTTGACCTATCGCAAGAATACCTCCCAACTCGCAAACGCTTCCAGGGAGGTGAGATTGAAGGACTCGCTCTCTTCGCCTACGTCCAGACGCTCAGTAACGCCTGCGTCGCCACCGCGTGGCAAGACAAGAATCATCCGTACGAGTCGGTCCCGACGCAGCAGTGGTTTGCACACGGGGTCTCTTATCTGACCCAAGCAGCCGGCGGAGGTTCCTCTCCCTACGCGGTGTCTGATAGTAATGATGATAAGCTGCAGGAATGGACGAGCGGAGGAGATGCGGCCAAGTGGGCGCGCGCGGCCAACGGCGCGTCGTGCAATCGGAAATTTGCGAGGACCCGAAATGGATACTACGTCCTCGGTCCAAGAGTGATGGAACCTGGCGATGTCATTTGCGTCTTGTTCGGAGGGAAGAAGCCTTTCTGTCTCCGGCCGTGGGGGAAGAATAATTACCTGCTCGTTGGGGAGTGTTATGTGCATGGGATCATGAACGGGGAGATCATTGATGGCGCGAAGAACGGCGAGAATGTGTTTGACATTGTCTGATACCAACGCTGTGAAACTACTGCAGCAGTCCACAGTAAGGAAAGTTTCAATACCACTTCTGAGCCACTGTACCTACGCATCTTCTTGCACATCTACCTTGGGCAAATCACATACATAGGTATATGGTTAAGGGTGTAGTTTTCAAGCCCCCTAAGGTCGATGATGGACTGCTGGCGGCTCGGCTGCTTTTGTGGCAGGCGTGAAGCAGATATGCTCGCGAGTGGCATAAACGGCTTGAGAGCATCACTCATTTCAAACAAGGAGGGGTTTAAGAATTGGCACCTTTTATCTAATGAACTACGGTCGCGAACTTGAGGGAACATGATAGATATTAAGCTGGACACATTTATGACGAAGATTAGGTAGGTATTAGATGTTACTCTATTTGTGGATAAGAGTGAGATAAATAGTCTATTACTATTATTATTCTAATACTTTTTCTATACTAATATAATCTATTTTAATGGCTGCTGCTGCTGCTGCTGCTATTCTTGTTATTGCTGATGTCGTCTGTCGTCGTCGTCGTCTGTCGTCGTCGTCGTCTGTCGTCGTCGTCGCTTGTCGTCGTCGCTTGTCGTTGTCGTTTGTAATCGTCGCTTTCGTTATCGTTATCGCCACTGTTGTTGTTATCGCTACTGTTATTATCATTAATACTCCGTACGGACTCTTCTACTACTAAGTTTAAAAGGGGTAAATAACTATGCAGGAAACATAGCAGCGCAGATACAGGAAAATTAGGCGGTCTCTTGAGGAATTAGGCGCGCGCCATCTTTGAGGGCGGTGCAGTTGGCCAACAGTGGCCCGGGCGGCGCTTAGGCCACGACCACGGAGGCCAGGCCACAGCAGGTCAACCTAGAACCTAGTGCCGCCAGCCCATAGCGGTTTTCCATTCCCTGAGGTGTTTTCCTAGTTGCATCTCCCTAGTGAGCTCCCCCACAAACGTCAACGACATGAGGCAGCCCTGGTGCAGTAGAGAACAAGGTTGAACGGCCTTGTAGCCAAATGCCATGAGTCACTGAGGAAAAGTACAATTGGGCACGAATGTCGGCGAGTGACGCATCAACGGCCACCGCAGAGGCCCTTCCAACGGGTACCGTAAACGGTTTACATATCTACACGGGTGGCTGACGGCGGCGTGAGTCAAACTCGGCGATTGGCCTCACCTTTCCATTCCCTACGACCATGAGACATAAATAGGATGAGGTTTCTTGTCTTCTCTTCTCATTTCCTGCCACTCTTCCTTCATCGCGGTCAACCTCCTCCTCCTCCTCTTCCAAAGCAGCCGATTGACTAATACGGCGTGGAAAACATCACTTGCCGCCCAATATGGCTTCGGACGAGGTCTTTGACCTCCTCGTCCTGACGGACGCCACTGCGTCCATGAGTAGCTACCTTCGGGCCCTCAATCAGTCTTTGCCCGAGATTCTTCGAGTATCCGCCCTAACAGACTGCTTCTCTCGTATTGGTGTCATGGCATACCGTGACTACTCGGCCGACATGGTGACCGAGTGGTCTGGCTGGTACGGCGATGGCGAAGATACCATCACACAGTCGAAGCTACTCTTCATGGCCAAGAGCATTCGCACCGACTCGGGACACCACAGTATAGACTGGCCCGAGGCTGCGAAGACCGGTCTCGCGCGTGCCTATAGCGTCATGAGGCCCGAAGCTACCACAATCATTGTTCTCTACGCAGACGCTCCGCCCCATACTCTCGGCATCGCCAGCAGAAACAGAGACACTGAAATCAAGAACTTGTCCAAGGCGGACTCATTCAACGGCGTTGGCAACCTATTCACCGATTGGGTCTCCGGAGCCAAGGCCCTCCAGGGCGAGAAGAAGGCCAAGGTCTTCTCTATTATACAGGGGGCCATCGCTGACACCCTGTCTCCGTTCCTGTTTCTATCCCATCTGACGGGCGGCGTATGTTTCAAGCTGGATATCGGGGATGCGAGTGTCACCACTGCTGATGCCATCTCCCAGCTGACCATCGGTATCCTCCTGTCATGGATGGGTGTCGGAAAGCTGGGAACCTCTGCTTCCGGAGAGCGGAAGTTTGCCAGACTGCTGCAGTACCGAGATACAGCAGCAATCCAGAGCAGTACCCATGAAGGTGACGGAGACACCACTGGCAAATACTTCCCAGTTAACCAATCAACAACTGCGGAGTATGTTGTTGAGGAGAACATCGAGTCCCGCGACCCTACTCTTAACGAGTTGCATACTGTAGTCGATGCCAGGAAGACCCCAGTCATGGATTTCTCGAAGAGATACACGGCCGATACAAACTACCAAGGATTCGTTGTCGACCAGCTCAAGTCACTCATCGATGCAGATGTTGCTGCTATTGCAGTGAACCCCATCTTCGGGACTCTTTGGCGTACCGTCTGCAATGACCGCGAAAACCCAGCCCGAGATGGTCTCATTCAGTCCTTCGGTTATGCAGTTGATCGCATCTCTGAGCCAGAGAAAAAGAGTCGGATGAAGACTTGGTTAGAAGGGTCATACGATTATGCCGCAGAGATCCTCGACATCGTCAGCCAGGTCCCCAACGAGGAGAGATACCCCTGCGTATTCTTGGACCCGACCGTATTTTTTACAAACGAGGGCAACGGCGAAGACGACAAGGCCAAAACCTCCGGCAAGCAGGGTGTCGCTGGTTTCACGCGTGACGAGCTGATGGAGATTGGTCGTTCCTGCGACTCTCGCATTCTCCGCAGGCTCGGTCGAGTGCTCACCCGACTTACCTATGTCCAGTCTGAGGACACCCTGCCTGCCCACATGAAAGGTGACGAGGAGGTCGTTCGGATTCCGATGGCACTTGCGGATGCGAAATACCAGCGCAAGTTCTGGAGAATACTCCTTCATCTTATTCTTCCTGGGACAATGCTGGCAGCCCGTCCCGGAGCGCTTCTAGCTGCACTGTCCCTGCGTATGGGCTTGAAACCCCTTACAGAAGCTGCCGACCAGGAACTCCTATTCTTCAGCAAGAAGTGGAACAACCTCGACATACCGGAAACTTGGAACGCAAGCTGCCTTTCATTGCTTCTCGACGCCGACAGAGACTACGAGAGGCGAGTCACAGAAGGCGTCACCCATCGCCACAGCCACGACGCCTGCATCTTGTCGGAGGGAGATCGTCAGCTGTTCAAGACGCTAGTCGACTACAAGCTACTTGAGCTCAACCTCAATACCACGCTCCAGGCCAAGCTTGGTTGGCATCCGGAGAAATCCAAAGTCGCGCTTGGGCCTGTCGTGATCTGCAAAAGCTGCAGCTTCCCTCGCTCAGTCACAATCATGGGGCGCGACGGTATCTGCGGTCTCTGTCCTCAGAAGTGCAGCTGCAATATCTGCCAGCCCTTTGAGGATGAAAAGCTAAGAAGTGAGACGAACGTGCGTGCTGATGATAACGAGAAGACGGAGGGTACATGGGTCGAGTGTTTCACGCCGACCTGTCGTGCCCAGTACGTTGTCTACAACCCAGACGCTCTGAACGTGCGTCCCAAGTGCTACTACTGCCGACACAGTAGCTCGGCAAATGCCCCCTGGGTTGAGTGCTCGCAGTGCCTTAACCGCATTATCTGGCCAAAGGCGTACCAACCTTCTGACTTCGATGCCGCCAGATTCAAATGTCCTGGCTGTGTAACGAACAGGGTCACTATGATTGACTACGAAACTTCTGCCAAAAGCTTGAGCGGAGAAAACGGCACATCATGGCTTCTTCGCAACGAAAACGGTGCCATCAAAGACCCTTTCAACGGCCGATCTCTCTTCCACACCATCTCAGCAGTCTCGGACCGACAGTCTTTAGCAGCCAATGTACAGGTTCTTCCAGCTGAAGCTGGACAGTCTACCCACCTGACTATTCGTGGCAAGGTGGTGCACAACCAAGCGCAGGTGTTCGAATCGCTTCGTTCCTGGGTCGAGTCTCGGAAAACAGAGGCCGGTGAATGCAGTTTGTGCTTCTCCAACATTCGAAAGACCGATTTGCGTCAGGCATGCGGCCGCTCAGGCTGTCATCAGACCATCTGCAATGGATGCTTGCAAGACTGGTATGGTCTCAACTCTCGGGGCAGGATTATCAACATCGCCGCTCTATCGTGCCCTTTCTGTCGCCGCCAGCCGACCCGCAAAACAGTATCCGCCTTAGGGCTGTCTCAGCTCGGAAACTTGGGCACTGCGGTGGAAGAATCCGGGTCGTGGATCTATGCTTGGTGCGATGACTGTGGCCTCGCTCGTCGCTTCGTCGAGAGGGTGTGCGCGGCTGGGGCGCCGCAAGAAGTGTTCAACTGGTGTTGCGATGAGTGCAAGGAGATGAAGGGCACGAAGCTGCAGATCAGACAATGCCCTGGCTGCGGCACCCTAACAGAGAAAATGGGTGGGTGCGACCACATTAGCTGCACCGTCCCTGGATGCGGCGCCCATTGGTGCTTCTTCTGTGGCGAGAACGTGGGACTCAACGACATCTATGATCACATGGACCGTGTGCATAATGGTTGGTGGAATGGCGAGGACGAAGATCGAGATGATATGTATTAAGTAAGGACAATAGTGTGGCAGATACCTAGTACTTATTGCGTAGACCACTGGTAACACCATAAGACTCAGACGGTACCTCTTTTCTCGCTATCATCGTTCCTGTTGTAGTCGCTGTTATCGTTCTCGTTGTCGTCGTCGTCGTCCATAGTCGTCGTCCATAGTCGTCGTCCATAGTCGTCGTTCATAGTAGTCTTCTATCGTCGTCTTCTATCGTCGTCGTCGTCCATAGTCGTCGTCCATAGTCGTCGTCCATAGTCGTCGTTCATAGTAGTCTTCTATCGTCGTCTTCTATCGTCGTCTTCTATCGTCGTCGTCCCTGGTAAAGTCACTAAATGTTAAAAAATGTAGCCGCCCAGATACATCAAAATTAGGCGGTCTCATAATCATAGATGCCCAAGTAATTAATTTATCGTACCTTGCTCCCATTGCTCTGCATTTTGATGGATTTGCCTTCTTGCAATTGATTCGCTTAATGTTTGACGCCAAGATTGCTCGGGTTACAGTAGTCGCACAGCGTCAGGAAATCAACCATTTGATGCTTGCCCATTTGGCCCGAAGACCGGGCGAGTTCTTCCGTTGACTCCTCACTTGACGAGAGGTCGCATTCAAAGGCCGCGATCATAACAGTCAACATTCAACACATTTCTCGTTTCTTGCTTTGCCGTCACTTCCTGTTCTCAATCTGCAGCAGACTTGTCTTTCACAATGTCACCATTGGTCGGTTTCTCAGACAATCAATTCCGCACACGCGGCGATCTCGTGCGGGCTGCCGCCGCCCTGATCGGCCCATTGGAGTTGTACAAGTCAACTGAGAAAGCACGAATCAAGCTCGCGACAAATACTGCTGCCGGGTTCGACGAGGTCTCGGCCCAGTTGGAGGGATTCGCCCGCCCGCTTTGGGTGGTTGCTAGCCTCCTCCGCGAACCCAGCTTCGACGCCAACAATGGCGTGGATCTCAGTTCTTGGACGACGGGACTAGTGGCAGGCACCGATCCTGGATCTGAGGAGTACTGGGGCAACGTGGGAGATATTGATCAACGGATGGTGGAGATGGAGTCCATCGCATTTACACTCTTGACCTCCCCCGACGCGTTCTTGGCATCATGCGACGGAGAGGCCAAGGGGAGATTGCGGACTTGGTTAGGCCAAATCAACGGCAAGAAGATGCCACAGAACAATTGGCGCTGGTTCCGTATCTTTGTCAACCTTGCTCTTGTCAAGACTCTTGGCGTTCAAATGGAAAGTGTGCGTCACTTCATGGAGGAAGACTTCGAGTTGCTAGATTCGTTCTACCTTGGCGAGGGTTGGTCTAGCGATGGGCTTTGGGGAGAGGAAAGGAAGCAAGCCGACTACTACTCTGGCAGCTTCGCCATCCAGTTTGCCCAACTCTTGTTTGTCAGGTTTGCTGTGGGTGATGAAGAGAGGGTAGAGAGGTACAAACAGCAGGCAAGGGAGTTCGCGTCGACTTATTGGAGATATTTCGATACCAATGGTAGGCTCTTTGTTCCAATACGGTACTCTAGACTGACTATGCATAGGAGCTGCGATACCTTTCGGCCGAAGTTTAACGTACAGATTCGCCTTTGCGGCTTTTTGGGCCGCTGCGGCAACGGCTGATGTCAGTTTGCCAGCTCCAATTGACAATGTCGGAGCTGTCAAAGGCTTGCTTCTTCGGCATCTCCGCTGGTGGGCCAAGCAACATGATATGTTCAATACAGACGGGACGCTAAGCATCGGCTTCGCATATCCTAACATGTACCTGAGCGAAGACTACAACTCGCCGCAGTCGGTGTACTGGTGTCTGAAAAGCTTCATAGTACTAGGACTCGACGAAGACCACCCCTTTTGGACAAGCGAGGAACTACCTCATCCACTTGACGGCGCACAGTGGAAAAGCAACAGGATACCGAATCATGAGGGTTTGAATCGTATCGAGGGGGTCTGGCCCCCTAGGCAGATCCTCTGCAGCACCCCTGAACACCACTTGTTCTTGTCTTCGGGGCAGATGACAACCAAGACGTTCAAAGCAAGGGAGGCCAAGTATGGCAAGTTTGCCTACTCTTCTGCCTTTGCATTCAGCGTGCCAACAGGGAACATGCTTACGCAGATAGCCCCTGACAGCACACTCTGCGCTAGCAACGACGATGGCGATAGCTGGAAGGTCCGGTGGGAACCCACTGATGTGCGTCTCGAGGCCACATCTATCATCAACAGAGACGAAGTGTCCTTTGAGGTACAATCTCTGGTCAGCACCTGGAAGCCTTGGAAGTATCTTGACTTGTGGATCGAGACGACCTTGGTGCCTGCCATGGAACACTTCCCAGGGTGGCACGTTCGGGTCCACAAGATCAATGTAGGATCCATGGCGGATACTCCTTCATGGATAGACAGCATCCAGCTTGTTGACGGAGGCTTTGCCATTGCCTCTCACACGACGAAGGGCAACTTCTTGCCAGAAGTAGCCTTTCAGGGGCTTGGGGGAGAAGACTTCACCCAACAAACTGACAGCGCCCTTGTTCTTTCGACGGCCGGTGCGAGCGGTATCGTGGACCTCCCGATGAAGTTCGATAGTGTCGGAGGCATCGTTGGCCAAGAAGGAGCATCGGGTGTTAAGAGCGAGGTCTTTGTACTAAAGGCTGACCCTAACACCAACTTGATCGCGCAAAGAACTTTCATTCCGGCTGTCAAGCACCGTATTAGCTTGCGTCAACATTTTTCTGCGGATCAGAAATCACTGCACCTTTCCTCTGGCATTTTTGCTTTCAGTTCTCAGGCCAACTTGGAAAATGTTGCTAGCAGGAACATTTGGCAAGAACGTCCTCGAGTGGAAATTGCACATGGCAAAATACGCATTCATGCTTCTTAGCGTTCACGCAGGATATTCGTTTTTGTAGAGTAACATTCTAGCTCCACATTGCGCAAGGGCAGCATGACCTCCCACCCTGCAATACAACAACCATTAGCACCCGCGATATTGCGATCGTTCTCGCGTGTTGACTTACACAAGGCAGACAGCAATGCACAAGGCTGAGCCAATTGCTCGGAACAGACGGCCCGTTGGATCCATGGGATGGGATGAAAGTTTCTACAAGTATTCTTCCTATAGAATAGTGACAGAGTTGACATTTCATAAACCTTACAGCGTCACTGCGTGCCTTTCAAGGTTTGCCAAGTTCCGAAGAGCCGTACTCCAAATTCCGGGGCCGTGGAAGGCCTCACACATACTCCGTCTTGCCCGTCCCAGCCTGGCAACGTTTATCATTTGTATCGCTGCGCTGAACCCAGTGACGCCCTTTTCCGTCCAAACTTGAAGACGCTGTAAATCTGATTTCTGTAATGGGCATCCAAATCCAGCTGCGAACCGCTCCGCCTCGCTGTGAAACCGTGAACTGTCTCCAAATATCGTGAAGAGACGAACTGCAAAAGAAATAGCAAAACTTAGATTACGACAGGCATGGCGTGCGCCATGTGTTCTATCTGTAACTCGTAGCTTCCCACTCCGATGACCTCTATGGGCCACATGATGAGCTCCGCCCACGCCGTGCCCATAAGCTGTTCCGAGATGATGGACAACAGAGCTCGGGCCCAGCCGTTCAGAAACCAACAGAACGGTTCTGCCATGTTGATAATGACGCAATAGTGAGCCAAGACGACGAGAGCTGCGGGATGCCGGCGCCGCAACATGTCGAGGTAGTCGCTTGACATGAGTACGGGCCACAAGAATACCGCGCGAAACTCAACTGGGGCAGACATGGCGTTCATGGTGGAAACCTTGGCAATAGCTTCACTCAAGGCTATTACCGCGTTATTGATGGTGTACTTGCCCTCGGTAGAGGTCTCCATGGCACCGATCTCGGCTAACCGGGTGCTGAGCCGGGGAAGCCGCTCAAAGAGGGGCTGAAGCGACGGTTCCGGCGTCTGAGGCTCGCCGGGGCCGCGGATGAAGATTTCGCGCAGCGGACCCTTGCGCAGATCGTCGTCTGAAGCGCGCAGAATCACGCTCATGCCGTCTGTCAGGGTGAAGATGTCGAGCATGCTGTCGATGGGTGAGAAGGTTGGGTTGTACTTCTCATAGCTGGGGTAGGTGGCGAAGGCGCTTAGCGTCAGGAAGATGGAAGACGCGAAGAGGGCGTGGCAGTTTGTGGAGGAGATTGTGCCGAGCAAAGTTCCTCTCATGCCGTTGATGGCGTCATTCTGGTGCTGGGCAGCCTGCATAAGGTAGGCATGGCGGCAGTCTGGTTGGAGGTATGCCAGATGGTAGGCTGAGAAGGCAAGGAGTTGGTGAAGCAGAAAGGGGTAAGAGAGCGCCTCTCTTGGCACATCATACTGGAGCGTCTTCTGCGCCTGGGAGGAGTGTGAGAAGGTTCGATACGACACCGAAGTGTAATGGTGCATAAGCTCGAGATCTGAGATCCAGCCGCTGGCCGTCTCTGTCTTGTTCAGGTCGGTTAGGAAGCGTGAAAAGTAAGGGAACGGGTCCGACTGCGAAGACGGAGAAGTCTGCCCTCCTGGACTCGACGCGCCATGGTGGCCACCGAGTGATCCGGCTGCGGACTGTGGCGAAAGAGACGCGGGCGACTGCGCGCTTGGCCTCCGCCTAATCGTTGCCGACCCCTATCCACCCCCGCCGCTGTCAGATCCGAGAACGAGATACCTCAACACCAAAGAGTTTCGATTCTTGGGGAAACAGAACCTACCCGTGATCCCGATCGCCTCGCCCGATGCCCTACCGCCGGCGCTTGTGCCGACACCTGAGACGAGCCGCTTGTTGACGCTCCCGCGTTTTCTAGTAGACTGCAAGGCAGCCCGTGGCGCACACAGGCACTGCATGGCCTGTTTTCGTCACACTACGTCAGGAGGATCGCGCATTAGTCTCACATCTCAACATCGAGTGTCGGCTTCTAAGTGGCACCAGGGGCTTCAGGGGAATTTGGGAGGTTGCATCGACCTACTTTGACTCTTCTCTCCTTGCATCTCAAGCACCCATTTCGAGATTTCCTGTACCCCAAACGCTTCATGGTGAGATCGTATGCGGCTCTTCTTTGCTAAGACTTCACTGCCGAGAGGGCAACATTGAGAATGATTAATGATATCCGAAAACGACAACGAGGACGAGGTTGAGGACAAGGTCCAGTTAATAAGGACGAGCTGGTGGGGGTGGTCTGGTGTCTTGGTCGGAGTATGTGTGCTCTGTATATACGCCGGCCACCTCCAAAGATAGCCAAGACGAGGGTGTTGTTGTGTTGAGCCTTGTCGAACACTGTTGCTCGCCGACTAAACAAAGCTAAGACGGATGGGGAAGTCAACGGGTACGCCCAGGCTTCGTCTGATCTTGCAGTAGGCAGTCAGGCACAAATACCTCAGTACTTGACGCATTTACTGACAGGTCAAGGGCACTATTCTTAAGATACGGATAGAACATGCGCGGGAATGCCAAGCCCTGAGTCTGCCATTCGAACAACTTAACCATCGACAATTTCATCACCCCGCCGGACGGGGGTCCGGAAGGCTAGCCATGAAGCTTGGAGGGAAGAGGGCTCGAGATGGGAAGGGAAAAAATTGGAGAAGTGAAGCTTACTAGGTTCCTTGGTATTCCCAGCCGGCGACGGTGATTAGGGGTGACGGTGTCAGCGACGCGGAAACTGAGTCGCGCCAAGACCGTCCCCTCTCCGTCGTACGGGCGGAGATGCCGCACCCCTACCTCTCTACGGCAGGCCTGAATACCTTAACGAGCATGTATGACGGCCGATGCTCCCTGATCAGTGATGTGATTGGGGGGGGGTCCCCCGCCGCCGCACGCACACGCACACTCACACGCTCCGCGTCCGCGGGAGGAGCGGCCAGGAGCGGTAAAGGGTCGTCTGGCTAAGCCTTTCAAGTACGTGCGTCATGTGGGGGAGCCCTTACGGTCGTCTCTACTGTAGGTAGTGTATCTGCAGCAGCATGCGCTCCAAACTCCAACGTGGTTCCCGCTGGCGCATTGACAGCCTTGCATGGACAGGCTGAATATAGAACCAGTGAAACGGCTTCTGGTCGACGTTGCGGCCGCGGCAAATGAGATGAAGAAGAGACAGACCAGCTGTTGAGACTAAAGAGGAAAACCAGGGCGCGAATTTGCCAAGACATTTCGTCAGAGTTGGTGTATCTGGTAGAAAGGCTTTTTTGATGAAATACCCTCTCACGATTGTTAGGCCAAACCTGTGTCGTTTAATCCTGCGTCCATCGCCAAGACCAGGCTCAGCCCAGCAGGTAGCAGCTAAGCCTCAGTATTGCGTCGCCGTGCCCAGATCGTCCGCCGATGTTCCCGCCCACCTCCTCTGCTGAATAGAGTTTCTTGGAAGAGATGGGGGTTTCCTGAGTTAAGCCTCGATCCGGAGACTGCCAGCCAATTTGAATTGACAGGGAAATATCGGCCTACGGCAAAGTCTTGGCGCTCCCAAGACTCCAAGAGACGGCACACGCGCAGACCAGCACCACAAGCACGACCAGCCACACACCACCCGCGCCCGTGGATTCCGTGGTGAAGAGCGTCCGGGCGCTCCGCGGGCCCTCTGGGGTCAATCCCCGGTCAATCCCCGGCCGAGAAGATTTTGACTCGGCGCAGAGATACTGGCCAATGATGAGGCGATCCGAAAACGACACTGCCTCCACGCCTTTAACCGGGGTTCTGTATCTGATTACTACAATATGCTGACACGGAGCAGGACTTTACGGCGGTAGACACGGGGAGAAGCGTCTGCCAGCCCCGAGGGCCAATCACAAAGAGCGGCTTTCTGGTTATTCCAGTTAGAGGGGCATCGTGTCTAGTCGTAACCCTGCCTAGCACGGCGTCTTGGTTGTCGTAATTTCAAGTATTTGAGTATTTTACGGATGTTCGGCGCACTGACAGCTGTCACTCTATTCAACGGCGCTAGCAGCATAACGGTTGAGATTTAGTCTCGCAGGAATTCGTACACAAGTCATGTATTGAGTGCTTATGCAATCACTCGCGCGCCTTCAAGCACTCCCCACAGGGCTGAGCATGATGGGAAAGTTGAATGTCATGAACATAAGCAGGCATCGGAACACGGCTCGTTTATCGTTTATCGGTTATCGGTTATCCGTTCTCGTTTTCTCTTTCGTATGTCGTAGAAAACACCACTCGTTTCTGCGTCTGACTGGAGAGGCTGAGCAGAGATAGCTTCAATTCTGGCAGACTTAGTGTGGTTGACAAGAGGGATTGGTTCCGGGCGTTCCAGCAGTAGAACTATTACCTGGTGAAGAGAGTGCTTAAAGCCAGAGGTCTGCATTGGTACAACAATCAATTGCATTTAGTATCAACACAAAACGAAACTCAGCCATTGATTTAATAAAATAAGTTGACGACCGTTTTTCGACAAGTTAGAGCCACAAGTCTCGAGAACTCCGTCCCGCAACAAAGAAACAACAATGGCGAACGATTACTACCGCTATGACCCCTCCTTGCCTGCGGCGATTATCTTTGCCGTTTGCTTCGGACTTTCTGCAGCCGGCCACGCATTTCAGCTTGTCAAAACCAGAACCTGGTATTTCATACCATTCTTAATTGGTTGCATCGGTATGGGCATGTGCTCTTTCTCGTCAGTTAGCGAAACTAACAGGCCACAGTTGAGGTTGTAGGATATGCCGGCCGAGCGATCAACGCAACTGAGACACCGAACTGGACAAAGGGGCCCTACATTATTCAAGCTTTGCTCTTGCTGTTGGGGCCTCCGTTCTACGCCGCATCGATCTATATGGTGTTTGGGAGACTAGTCATCTTGCTGGATGCTGAGAAACATTCTCTCATTCGGAGAAAGTGGCTCACGAAATTCTTTTTGCTTGGAGACATTTTGTCTATTTTTGGCCAGGCAATCGGTAGGTCATGGCCCGCTCAGAGCATTTGAGTCAACAGTAGCTAACGTGTCTCAGGTGGTGGGCAACTTGCCGGTGCAGACACCCAAAAGAAGAAGGATCTGGGCCAAACGATTATCATCGTTGGACTTGGCATCCAAATCTTATTTTTCGGCTTCTTCATGATTGTTACGATTCTTTTTCATCTTCGAATCAACCGCGACCCCACCCCGACTAGTCTTGTGGTTAAGACCCCTTGGCGACGCCTCCTCCAAGTGCTCTACGTTGCGAGCTTTCTTATTCTGGTTCGCTCAGTCTTCCGAGTTATTGAGTATGTCATGGGCGAAGACGGGGAATTACAGTCCAAGGAAGTATACATCTACATTTTCGACGCACTGTTGATGCTTGCTGTGTCAGCAGCATTCAATTATTTCCACCCTTCACGAATTATCAGCAACTCTGCGGCAACCCGTTTCACCATTTCAGACCCAGAGGATCAAGTCAATAATTACCCGATGACTTCAACAAGCAACTTCGACGGGTCTCGGTCAGCGGCATCCAGCTATCTCCGGCAGAAGTAGGAAGGGTTTGATGACTACATTGCTGCGCTAATCCGCTCACCCCAATCCTGGATAACAGGCTTTGCTTTTCTGCTTCCAACAGCTGTTTCGATTGATTCGTTTGGTTGACTGTTTCTCTCTTCGACTCAACTCCAGAATAGATGATTCCCAGTTAGAATTGCCCGCTTAATTCATGAATTTGTCTCGTTTTCTGAATCCAAGGTCTTGGCAAAGCCAATATGCAGATAGCAAAACACCTTCAACCCCGCACTCGTCGTGGCTGGTGATAACAGAAAGATTGGATGAAATGCTCGAACGGGCTTCCGGTCGCCCCCACGACGGGATGTGCAGATGATCATCAGGCTGACAGCCTGTAAACTCAGTCCGCCGGGACATTGAAAGTGCCCGAGAATGCAGCTGGCCGGCTTGGCATGTCAAAACGTCTCGGAGAAGCTCACTGAAGGTGACGGCGGCCGAGCCTCATGGCGCGAAACATCAAGGTCGCTGTGCCAAGAATCACCAGAGCCTCAGGAAAGCACAAGTGACGCCCGGCTTGCCTCACAGGGATCGACGGTTGATCAGGTTCCCTCAGATATAGACCTCATATGCTCATAGCTCCCAAAGGGTCTTGGCTGCCAGGTTGAACTCGCTTTGGATGGCAGGGTATTGACGTGCCGTACGCCGCGTGCCGAGAACTCAGCTGCCCAAAGGTCCGCGTCCGAGCTCCCCAGCACCGCGGCGTGCCGTGGATACCAAGGATGAACCCAAATGTCGATGCTATACACAAGCGACATGTGCTATTGCTCAGAATCAAACGCCAAGACTTGATGGTCTCTTTCACATCTCGTCGGCGCTTCTGGTGCAGCTTTCTCAGTCTCATGACGCAGATATTAATAGCGGCTTCTGTGAGGGCATTCGGAACGGGCCGTTAAGCTTTCTAGGTGAAACCACATGATGGGGTGGACCCTGCAGTGACTGTGCACGCTTGAACAGCCAAGACCCAAGGCAACTTAGCCAGTTACGATGGTGCCCATTAGCTCATGTGGCCGGGCACTTTCGACAAGCAGACGAACCACCCTGGCGGGATGAGGAGGAGGGGACACAAAGTATGAACGTATTTGGCTCTTTTACGCGCACATGATTTCCGAACCGTCGGAACCGACTGCAACGGAGCTCGGGCTCTGCATGTTGCCATGCTGCTGTGATCGACGGCACCCCTCCAGCTTTCCCTTGCCTCCGTGCCCCCCGGACAGCTGGGATGATGGTGTCAAAACGTGGCGCAAGGCAGACACTTGGGCCAAGGACCCCAAGCTTCTTTTCCCAATCAGCCTTGAGCTGGCAACAGCGTGGCAGAGGAGACAGCGCCAAGACCCCTATCTATCTAATTTTATACCCCAAATGTTTGATTTCCCCGCAACTGCTCGAGTAAGATTAAAAGAGTCTCGCCTGCTCATCACATGAAGTTATTCACCGCCGATTGCTACATCGCGAGGTCTTGGCATCGTCTTCTTGACTCTTGGCTTGGCGCCGTCCTACCCGATGAGCGGAGTGGCTGGTATCTTTTCCTTTCTTGGCACTTGCAAGACTCAAGACCTTTTTTGCCTTCAAATTTTGATTTCATCAACAAGGCCAAGGGTTATCACCCTTGCTTTCTAGTGCGCGTTTCGATACCGGTGCAGAGTTGATGCCAAGCCCAGCTCGACTTGGCCGCGACGCCGCCATTATCTATCACAACCCGGCCCAGGTCGCGGAGGTCCCCAAAGGAGGAATGCAGATCCGTACCATGTCTATCACGACTTTCTTGGCACTCATCAATTGACTGATGTCGTTAGCACGAGGCAGACCGGCAACTCTGGTCATGAGGTGTCGCCCTCGGGTGGCGATGGCACTGAACATGTGAATGGCAACTTGGTGACCACACTCGCGCCCATGTCGACGACGCGAAGCACGATGTCGATCATCACGACGATATCAACTGGCGCAACTCATCAGCGACGGGTAGGTAGATCATCGCTGGGTTGAAAGAGGCAAGCCACGTCGAAGATGACGAGTATGTGGTGCTATCGCCGCTTGCCAAGAAGTCATTTGACTTCAGCAACTAGAATCAGGCCATTCTTCCAGGCAGTCATGTTGCCAAGAAGAAGATAATGGTCGCTGAGTCGTTCGCCAAGCCGCTTTGAAGATATTGTAGCTACTTCTCTTTACGTCTCATCTACTTGTTCCAAGATCTAGGAATAGTCTGCTGGAATGAGGTTCGCACCATGACTGCTTCCCAGTCAGGACTAGAGTCTCCAGTGTTATTTGATAAATTATTTCCATGTCGTGACGCGAGCTACTGGGTCAACGATGATCTAGTTGTTGAGAGAATTCTTCTGAAGTCACGGGAATGAACAACTTGAGGACTCAGTCTGAACACCACTACAACTCGTTACCTATTCAAGTAATTCCGGTCTCGGGGCTGTAGGGCTAGGTGACCATAGGCAACGTCACTTGGGAAAGAGCACATTGGTGATTCGTGACTTGACTTTACCCGATTTCTTCTCATGGGCTGATGTATTACCCGGGCTCGATGCTTTATCGTGATATTTCACGGCCAGCATGGTAGATCTCTTGGCGATCTACAGTCTGTTCATGAATCTGCTGTCAAGCACGGCGTAAGTAGCGGCTCTTGAGTGTTCGGAAACCATCCGCACCCTCCGTCGGAACAATGCGCCACGTCTCTGTAGACGCGCGTGTAACTGTGGGCTCCGTCGACAGGAATACACCTTGCTGCAGAGTTCGCAGCCTCCTAGGGCTGAATTAAACTACGTTTACTTGGTGACCTAGTGCTTCCAAAGAGTCTTCGTTCTCGTTATCGTTCTCGTGGTTATGATGTTCGTGGGCCGTGGCTGATGGTGGCGCGTGCTTGAAGTCACTCTCACCAGACCTTCGATTCTCAACGTGTGTATTCATCAACGCGACAATAGGGAGAGGAGGAGAAAATGTATAATTCAAAGCAACATGAATCATGGTTTGCCCGCCTGAATGATACAAGTATTATCTAGTCGATAGGTGCCAAAGGAGTCGCCCATGACGCCCAAAATCTTTGATAACTAAAATTAACTAGCTAGGAGTTCACGTAGCTTCCAAGCTGTTACCTTTGAATTGAGGTGTGAAGTCAGGGTAAGTATTCTTCCTATTTGACCAAATTCCATTTGGCTGAGGCGTCTTCGAGTACGTGAGATAGTCTAGTTAGTAAGGTAGTGTAAACGAGTAAAGTTATCGTCGATTTCCTGGATTGAGACACAGGTCGTAATCCAGGTGTTGTGTAATGACATGAACATACTGAATAAGCTTGGCACAATTCTTTTGCGATTGGACTTGCCCTGAAATCAGGGAATCAACCTAAATATTTGTAGCTTCGAAACGGTGCATACACGAAGTATGAAGTATGTCTACCTATGTACAAGAATAAAATAGTTCATCAACGAGTTCCCAAATTGTCGTGTTCCTGTTATCCACGTTACATCCCTCATCATTTGTAACTTCTCACTTGGAGAAGGTAGCCTTGATCACCTGGATTCTGTTATTGTTGGTGAAAGACATGGTCAAAGTCTTTCCAGAATCGTCAAGGTAGGGGTGAGCAACGCCAGCATAGACCAGGCCGTTGTCAATAGGCTGAGCCTGGAAGATCTGTACATCGGGAGTCCACGGGCCCTCAGGGCTAGGGGCTGTTCTCAAGAAGACAGCGCCGCCGCCAATGCCTGATACAGAATTAGTCAATCGAAACTCAAACCCCATATATGTCGATGAGAATACTAACCGAGGTGAACCATGATGTAGCACTGGTAGAACTGGTTCCAGACAACCTGGCCCTGGCCAGTGCCCCAAAGAACGGCAGTCTCAGACGTGAAAGTGGTCAAGCGGTCCGACTTCCAGCCCTGCTGGCGGCCCCACCAGTACTGGTACTTGGTCAAGTCGAAGGCGTCACTGGCCTTGACGCGGACCATGTAGACGTAGCTGCCGTCGACCCAGCCGGTCTTGGTCGTCGGGGGACCGCCCCAGGCGTAAATATACTCGGAGCGGGGGTCGCGGAAGGCCATGATGTCGCCATATCGCGGGTTGGTGTTGGCCGGCCACCAGAAGCCCTGATCGCCGAAGCGCTTGGTCACGGTTGGAGTGCCGTTGATGACGTCGACCTTGGCGATGCCAGCGCCCACGAGCCCGTTGGAGTTTTGGTTCTAGAAGGGGTGTTACTTTTTGACTTTCTTTACATGCGATCAATGAGATGACAACTAACAACAAGGTAGAACACCGCGCCGGTTTTAGTGGCAGCATTCACCTCGACCAAACTGGTCCCGCCAAACCCAGTGTCTTGCTTCTCACCCCAGGAGGCGTTAAAGGGAACGAACTGGTTTTGGCGCCCGTTGCTTCCCAGGTTCAAGTCGTGCACAAGCAGCGGGTTGTTCGTGGTCGCCGACACGGCGTCGCGGACCATGCCGTGGAACCCGGAGGTGTCCTTGGCGGGGTCCGTCACGCCGGCATCGCACCAGAGCGTGTCGCCCCAGACGGCGTAGTACTTGCCGGCGATGGCGCCCGTGAAGCCGAGATCGCGGTGGGAGCAGCTGTTGTCGGCGGTCTGGAAGCCCAGGTAGTCGACCTTGGGGTTGGCGATGGGGTTCGTCCCGACGGGCTGGGTGTTGTCGGGCATCCTGCGCGAGACGGGGTTTGCGTTGGCGAAGTTGCTGCACGTGTCGGTGCCGGCTAGCAGCGCCGCGGCGAGGGGTAGAAGACGTGCCGTGTGGGGACGCATGGCGATCTCGATTCTGGTCTTGTTGGGGTTGCAACCTCGGCCTGAGGGGTATAACGTGATTGTCGATAAGGAGGGGACGAGAATGGCTTCTCGGTGTGACTCGGTGTGATGATGAAAGAACGGGATGCCGGATTCAATCTGGCTGGTGAAAAGACTGTCTGCAGTTGGAATGTAAAAGAGTGAAGTTATCGCAAGAATGAATGCTGATGATGCGCGAGCGCCTGGTTGAGGGAGCAAGACATGATTAAAAGCTTGGCCCTGCCGCACTTATGTACTCGATTGCGTAGTGCAAGGTGGCCGTGATGCCATGTTGTCAATCTCCCGACTTGATGGCAGGATGTGGGCGATGGATGACAGGGCCAGATGGTGTGGCAGGCCGGGACACCTCACGGACGGGACGGGCTGCAGATCCAGAACGCCGGACGGTGCGCCACGGCGCTGTGGGGCGGGTTCGGGACCGAAGGCGGGCTGAGAGTGAATAGAGGAGCAGGGCCAGAGCTTCCTTGGGCTGGCGAAGGACGGGTGTGGCGTCGTGATTGCGACACAGAGCTAGCATGCCGGTAATTTTGGTGCCTTGTGGGAATTATGTGGCGTCCATGCAATAGTCATCGTTAGGATTGATCCTGTAGTAATGAGTTGCGGAGTTAAGTCGTGGTCGATGACGAAGTCGCGATGTTCTGCAATAGCCGGTGAAGACAGGAGTTGAGTTTGCTGCACGTTGGAAGAGGTCGATACTTGGGTACTTGATGTTATGATCGATTTCATCTAGGGCAGCTTAGGTAGAACAACATCATTTTGAGTTGCGAACGTCCCGGACGCGTATGGTCACAAATGAAAATTCATTGAACATGGGCAACCCAACATCAGTAGTCTGAAGGTGGATGAACTAACAGCTCCGCGGGTTTTCATCTTGTTTCCCATGATGAATAATGGAATTCTGCTATCTGAACCATAGTTACGCAATAATCGGATTCCTCGTACACTGCATGAGAGCATAACCAGCCACCTGCCCCTAACACCGCGGGCGCCCGTTCGGGGACCGCAGACCGAACGAACGAACCATGTACCATCCAGGCTCTAGAAAGCCACATGCCTCTCCCCAAGACGCCTATTGGCCAACCCCTGGGTATGTTTGCCAAGTCGGGAAGCTCGTTGTGCGGGGCAAAACGGCATCGGCAGTGGGGGCCTCATCTCCAACCGGCGAGCTTCCCCTCATCGCCGTCCAGTTGGAATCCCCATCCGGAGTGCACTTCCGCCTTGAGCATCCCGGCCTGCTTGCTTTTCATGGCCAGGAACGCGCTCTTTTTAAAATTCAACGTTATTTAATCCCGCGGTCGCCTGTTCAGGACCTTGTCCACGACGACGGCCAACATCGTCATGTTGCGTCCCACGTGCGCCGACTTGGCCCGGCTGTTTGGTACGCCCCTCCGGCGCCTCCGTTGCCATGACCATGATGGAAGCCTCTGCGGTCCTTCCGGGTTTCTCTTGGATGTCTCCCGATGCAACGCTGCCAGAACATAAAAAAGCACTGTCCCAGACCTCGAGAACTTTGCTCTTCATTCTGCTCCCCAGCTGAAGTGTCTGCCTTGCCAATACCACCCAAACTTACCATGGCACCGGTGATCTCGTCCCTGGCCGTTGCGGCGGCCGCCCTCCGTAAGCTCCGGTGCCCTCACCCATCCTTTCCGGCCGAAACCCTAACATCCATGAAGTCCTGCTCCCCCTGACATCCGCCGCCCCCAATGACACCTTCACCCGCAACGGCCTCACCTGGTCCCGCGGCCTCCGCATGAACCAGATCCAGGTCGTCGGCACGCACAACTCGTACCACCGCGAGTCCCCGCTGGAGGAGCGCGACACCCAGAGGACCATCCTCCCCGACACCCAGAACTACTGGTACTCCCACCCGGCCCTCGACATCCAGGCGCAGTACCAGTCCATCCGCAACTTCGAGCTTGACATCTTTGCCGATCCCGAGGGCGGGCATTATGCTTCCCACCTTATCCGCGAGCTGGCGAATCTTTCCACCACCCCGGACCCGGACCTGCAGCAGCCCGGCATCAAGGTGCTCCACGTCGCTGACGCCGACTACCACACCACCTGCAAGACCTTCGTGGGATGCTTGCAGGTTGTCAAGAAATGGAGCCAGGCGCATCCCGACCACGTCCCCATCCCCTTCATGATCGAGTTCAAGACCGCCGAGGAGGCCTATGCTGCTGAGGGTGGCGCCGCGCCGATCCCGTGGAACAACACCGAGCTCCTCCAGGGCCTGGACGACGAGATCCGCAGCGTCTTCGCGGCCGACGAGCTCGTCACGCCCGACGACATCCGCCGCGGCAACCTGACGCTGGAGCAGTCCGTCCTGCAGCACGGCTGGCCCGATCTCGAGAGCGCTCGCGGCCGCGTCTTGTTCCTGATGGACAACGGGCCCGTCCACCCCGTCCGCGACGCCTACACCCTTGGCAAGCCCAACCTTGAGGGCCGCGTGCTCTTCACCAACTCCGCCCCGGGCCAGTCCGACTGCTCGTTCCAAAAGGTGAGTAGTGTCTTTCGTGTGTGTGCATGTGGAATTCGACCCGCTGACCGTTTCCAGCTCAACGACCCGACTGGAGCCGAGCAGGCGAACATCCAGGCGCAGGTCAAGGCCGGCTACTGGGTCCGCACACGCGCCGACGTCCCTCTCGACACGCTCCTGTCCAACGACACCACCAGCATGCGCGACCAGGCCTTCACCAGCGGCGCGCAGGTTGTGTCGACCGACTTCCAGGCCTACGGCATGAGCTCCCGCTGGGGCGTCGACTACGCTGCCCGTCTTGACAATGGGCTGGCCGCGCGCTGCAACCCGGTAACCGCCGGTACAGGATGCGAGGATGCGAAGCTTGAGCCTGCGGAGTACATTCACAACTAAACGTGATCATGTTTATGACGATATTGTACATATGTTGGGATTGTGAATAGTAATGATAATATAATGAGGATAACCGACCCCTGAAACCCGACACCTTTCCATGTCACTGGGATGTGTGCGAAGCAGACGTCCATACGGTCAGCCCTCATGGGATATTGAGATACCGAATGACCCCCCAACCATTTGAAGTATGTAACAAGAACTCTACACGTATCCCTTGGCCAGCGATTCCTGTGTTCACCTCACGGCCACGCTTTGCGACACCTGGATCCCATGCCTATACGCCTTCCGAGACCAGTTTTTGCAAATACAATCCCCCAGATTTACGCCGCCAACGAACTCCAAAATGCAGCATTTACGTCCTTCGGCCGGATCCCGGGTGACCTGCCCAAGCAGACAGATCGAGAGCCAAGTTCTGTGCGACGTGTTAGTGTTTTTGTCTTCTCAGCGGCCCGACATGCGGAATCACTTACCATGTACAAGCATCCCCACGTTGATGGTGACCGTCCGCCTGGCTGACGCCGGCGTCGGCACCTGGCTGGGTGTAGAAGCACCTAGACCAAATAGATCCCCACCGAGAGTCGGGTCCAGACTCATCGGGTTTTCCATCGACATTGTCGACGGGGCCCCCTGGGCGGTTGTGCCCATGAAATCCAGCGTTGGCGTGCCGGTTGCCTCGAGATTCACGGGCTGGCCCGTCGATTGCGACTGCGAATTATCGCCAAAGGGGGCCGCCATGTTGAAGTTACTCTCAGCCATCGTCGTTGCAATGTAGTTGTCAACAAGCGGGTTGAAATTCCTCTCTGCGATGGCCTCATCCGTAAAGTCGGCAGGGTTGATCTCAGCCGTGACGAAATCAGCTGCCGGCGGAATGACGACGCCCCTCTGCCGCAGCGACCACTCGACCTCGTCCGCGTCGTAAAAGTCGCCGTCGAACCCCGGCACAGACATGCGCAGCTTGTGGTCGACCCTCGCGTCGCGGATCTCCTCCGTCTGCGCGTTCCACGGACCGATGCCGTACATTGAGTCAATCTTCTGCCTCTCGGGCTCCAGCGACCCCTGGTTCCCGACCTGCGTCTGCGTCGTGCGCAACGACTTGTCGTGCCTCGGCAAGTCGCTCGCGTCCATCTCATTGCGCATCTCGTCAAAGAAGGTCCCGCCGCCGCCGAGGTGCAGGAACGGGAACCTCCAGTTGAAGAGCGTCTCGCGCTGGTTCACACTGAGCCGGTTAGCCAGCCTCTCGACGATCTTCTCGCGGGGCTCGAACAGCATGCAGAAGCCGAAGACGGAGGCGATGCGGTTCGGCGGCGGGTTGGGCATGCGCATCAGGACGTACGCGCGCTCCAGCGTCGACCGCTGCAGCCGCCGCCCGAACGTCCGCTCCTGGTATGCGTACGAGCTCGGCGCCGAGAGGAGAGAGTAAGGAGACTCGGAGAAGGAGAGGGGTTGGCCCGACGAGTCTAGGAGGCCCGCCGTGTCGAGGCCGCTACCCTCGAGGGACATACCGAATGGGAAGCTTGCATTGTCCGGCGTCGGCTCCGTCACGATCTCGTAGCCCAGCGGTGCCTGGGAGGCGATGGTGCGGGCTTCGAGGGCTTGGCTGTTGTGCGCCCAGGAGGTTGTGTGGACGGCGGTTAGAGCGTGAGAATGATGATGAGGATGATGGGCCACAGAGGTGTGGTCAACCATGTATCCCCCGTAAAGGACTTGGTCGGGCTGGGTCTCTGGCCGGGCCCTGTCTGGCGAAGGCGACTTTTCGCTGGGCTTGTCGGGGTTGCTGTTCGGGCTTGACCTTTGTCCTTCGGACTCATGGTCTGGAGCGGTAGCCATGTCGACGTCTTTTCCGCCGTCTTCGCTGGTTCTCCGTGCCAACGAGTAGAACTTTTCAGTCGTCGCCTGGAGTTGCTTGCCGAACTCGGGTGCGGTGTCCAGCATGCCCTTGCCGACAGCGAAGTCGTACAGCTTCATGAAGGCCTTGCTCATCTCCTCGTTGTTGCTCCTGAGCTGGTCTACCTTCTTTTCCAGAGTCTGGATTGCCGTCTCCTTGCGATTCCGATAAGCCCTTTGGGCCAGGCGGATCTGGGTGCGACGGCGCTAGGCGAGGGTTAGACCATGATATCCAAATACATTCGACCCATAAACTCGGGGGAACTCATTCATAATCCAGTAAAAACAGCACATTGCGTCTCGCAGCAGCACCATACTTACATCCTTTGCTGTTTCGTCATTGGTATCAAGTCTTGGTCTGCCTCGCGACCGCTTCTTCTCCTCCTCCTCCTGCTCGCAGGTGTCGACAGCCTGCGTCTTGGTCCGCTTCCTTGACTTGCCGGAGTCCTCTCCGGCTACCCGAGACCTCCCAGCCGGGGGCAAACTCCGCGGTGCGTGGAACCCTGGCACGCCATCGTCGAAGGACTCGGCATTTAGTATTGACAATTCCGGGTTCTGCATGAATGATATCGGGTAGCCACCTGGGAACTGAAGAACGCCGTTTTGGCGGTGGTGGTGAGGATGAGGATGAGGATGATGATGGGGGTGAGGGTGAGGATGGAAGAAGTCGCTGTCGTCGCCGGCGTGGATGAACGGAGCGGCGGCGGGTCCTGCAGGGCCCGGCGCTGGGAAACCAACAAAGGGCGGCGGCTGGGGCTGAGGGATGTGTGTGTGTGCAGTCACTGAGCCCTGGAGCTGGATCGGGACTAGATCGCTGGCGTTAGGGGTGAAGTTGGGGTCTGGGGGCAGGTCGAAGCTGCTTGCAGTCGCCTGGTACTGGGCCTGGAGCAGTCTAGGGTCGTGGGGATGGCGGAGGAAGGATGATGAGTCCGAGGTCGAGGAGGTGAGCGACGCTGACTGATGGGACTCAGGGGGCGATGTATATGAGAAGTGTTGGTGGTGGTGTTGTAGTTGTTGCTGTGGTGGGTTTGGGTGGGAGTGGTTTTGATGCTGAGGCTGGATGTACGGCTGGGTATCGTAAAAGATTACTGTTGTCGTTTCTTGCTGACCGTTCGGCTGACTCTCTTGGGGGTGATGTTGTTGTTGTTGTTGTTGATGCTGCTGCCAGCGGGATTGAGGATGATGATCATGGGTGATGGGCGAGTGATGGTGGTGTTGGTGTTGGTGTTGAGAGTGAGGATTTGGGGAAGATGGATGAATAATAACCACGCCTCTTTCTTCTTGGATGTTATTATTACCAGGCGGCGGCGCTAAACCCGACAACTCCTCATAAACGGTGCTACTACTGTCGCCAGAGTGGCCTTGTTGGTGCTGATTAATTTGGCTGCGGCGCTGCGCCGAAAGCTGTTGAGAATGCCGGCGACTGAGGGTGAACTGTCCACCTCTTCGTCCAGCAGCTGGTGAAGGCCCGTTGTTGAAATGGGTCGTCTCACGGGAAAGGGGAGGAGGCTCGTCCAAATCATCGGCCGCCGGCTCGGTGGTTTGCGCATCCAAGGAGCTGGAACGGAGAGGATTACTCATCTCTGCCGACGGTACAGCGGGTGCGCCAGCAACGGATGGGGGGGGGATGCGAGGGATCGATCTAACAAAGTTTAAAAGAAAATGCCGACTAACACACCTAATCTCGGAGCCTGTCCGTGTTGCGTGCGACGTCGGCGGGCGAGACAGGTGATGCTGTTAAGGTCTGATAACCCATTCATCCTGTCGCGCCGCTGGAGCTGTTAGAGGCGGAGAGCTGCCCGCCAATGCATACGGCACGACGCCCTGCAGACGGTAGCTGGCGATTCGTGTAGTTGCGAACGGGATTGGCTGATACGACTTAAAGTGTGAATAGGACCACTTAAGATGGAGTGAATCTGTAGTTAAGTCTCGTTCTGTGACGATGAACTGAAACTAACACGAGAGATTGGGAGTGAAAGTTGAGGGTAGAGCAGAGTCTGTGGAGCTCTCTATGTTTGGCCCATGAAGGACAGGCGGCAGACGGGCTTCTTTTTCAATCCGGCTCATCAGTCATGGATGAGACAACGCCTCAACCCTCATGACAATAACTTCTCGAGTGGGTGTCTGGGGAATGGTCGTACATGGTTCATCGACGACGCCCCGGGACCGGCTTTTTTTCTGTAAAATCTGACGAAATGGGCTTGTGGAAAAAGCAACCGGCATGCACAGAGTCGCACTGCGGCACACACACTGGTGTGGATGAAGATTGCCATCATCCTGATAATCCACCCCTCGTCGTTTCCAATCCCAAGCAGTGGGTGACAAGGTTGGACAAGGGCGGCGGCGTCTGCTGTGGCCCAGCCCAGCCTCGTGGGTGAGGCAAGTCGAGTCCGTCACAATGCCCTTGGGAAGTCTGGGGGTGGTTTTCTCACAAAGAGACAATAGGAGAAGCTATCAAGCAGGGAATAACACCGCCCAGCAGTGAGGCATTGGTTCGCGGAGCCGGGTACTGGAGGCTGTCACGAGCAGGTTGACGAGCCTCGTTTTCTTCGTAGACCCCGACGAGGCAAGGGTATCGCATGGGATCGGCAGTTTGCAGCTCTCCCCCGAGAACATGGCCCACGTCGGAGGTGAGGGTGCATTCGGCTGGCTTGATGATGTCCCAGCCAGGGTGCTGCAAGTTGGCTGCGAGTGCATCATCACCATGGTATTAGCCACCTTGCTCAACATTCTTCTTCGCCTTTAGGACCCGGTCGGCTGGTCTAGTGTGTGCGCATGCAAGTGACGAGAACCCGTACCCAGCTGCTCGAGACCTCTATTGGATCGGGGAGCGGCGGAACAGGATCAGTCCGAGATTTAATTGCAGCGATGTCGACCTGGGAGAATGTCACCGGCCTGGCCAGCCTCACTTTTTGGGGGTCGCGGTTTTGCCTCTAGCAGCAAAGATCGCCGCGAACACACGCCAGAATCCCACGCGGAGATTTTTATTCCTTGGAAGGCTTCCAGCTCCCAAAAAGCAAAACTGAGAAACTTATGCATCCTGCTTACGCTCTTGAGACGACTCTGAAGAACAGTGCAAAAATGACAAAAAATACCCCTGCATGACGTTTCGGCCAGAGGCCCGCGGCGGCCGGGACGTGACGGTGTTTCCAGCCCCGGAGGATGGGGAGCAGCCAGGCAGCGCTCGCATACACCCCGGCCGGTGCTGGCAGAGAGAGAAACACGAACATCACTCCAGCATGCATGGCGCGCACGCGGTGGCGACGTCCGGCCTCGGGATTGATTGGATAATCTTGCATTGCGACAGCCTCATGATCTAGACCTGGTTCAGGGTATTTGTTGGATCGTCCAAGCAATTCTCTCCAACGATCGGTCCCAGCAGCGCGGCCCCGGAAAGTGTCTTGCTTCATCAGCCATTTATTTCCGGCTCGTCATCTTGAACACCAGTCACTGAGACGATGGAGCTGAGTGGCCGGCCTGGTGCATGTTTCCGTGGATGAATTTCAGATTATTGCCGCAATTGATGAAGAGCGGAATTGGCCCAAGACAAGAGAGAAGACGATAATTCGAGGGACAGACAGTCTTCGCTGATTACCCCATGTCTTCTTGTTGGAACTGGAGTTCGGGCCGCCTTGGACCCCTTCTTTTCGCTGTAAGCCCGGGGGCTTTCATCATTGTGACCACCGAACCGGGGGGTCCCCGCGGGTCCGATCTGGATTCTGTCAAACGGCAGCCAGATCGTGTCACTCCTCTAGCTCCGGGTCGTACGACGAGATCCCAGCCGCCCGCCTCACCTCCCTCGGGAACCCGTCGATCTTAGCCCGAATCGCACTCATCACCGCCGTCCCAGGGGCGAATTCTTGGAGGCGCTCACCAGGCTCTTGCTTGGACTTCGCGTCGCGTCCCAGGGCAACGGTAGCAACCGTTGGATCAGCGTGGTCTCGCTCCTCGAGAGTCGTGATTATTCCATGATTCTTCGAGGTGTACAACAAGGTGGTCTCGTATCAAGACGGACTGTCATAAATGATGTCAGGGAAGCCGGACCTCTCAGCTGTTAATCACGGTCTTCGCCATGTTTGACATTGATACATACCTAGTGGGTGATGGACTTGTTGCGCATATCATCTCGGCGATAATTGTCATGTTCTCCTGCAGAGTCGGTCACATGCATGCACAGGGGCGCGTCATTTTGTCGGCGCATTGTGGCTAGATCACCAGCGTACTGCAGACTAACATTGATCTGGCCATTGAGGAGCCATCTCACGATGCTACTCAATGTTTTGTGTCCGATGTCGCCGGTGTTCAATGAACTTGGCCTCCACTGCTGTAGTCGTCAAGGCCTACACAGGCAACACGAATTTCGCACGAGAACTACACAGGACTCCATCCGCAGATTCAGTACAAAGTGGGTGATCAACCATCCAATACTGGCCCAAATACTGAATCAAATACTGGATATGTGACTGGATACAGAGACAATGTTCAGAAATTCCGCGGACCTTTGCGCTTGGTTTACAGCGGTAGAACCACAGCTTTGCATGTCTCAGGCAACGATTCCCCCCATTCAGGTTAGGTTGGCCATGATGAGATGAGTTCCCTGTAAGGATGGGATGGACTGGCTGTGTCAGCATGTAATACAGGGGCAACTCACAGTCGGCTCAGTCCTCATCCAACCGAAACCGCCGGCGAGCACCTAAAAGCAGCTGAGCGCCCTGTAAGGAGAACGGCGGGGAAAATGGGGCCTGTCGCCGGGCTTAATTCAGCCCCCAAAGGCCGCACAGGCGGCAGTAAAGGGGGCCACATTCGGTACGGTGCGCCGGGACTCACCTCCCTGACCACCAACGGGTTCCTTCTTAGTACGGGCGGGCAAGCTGACCGGGCCATCCTTGCCACCGAGCTGACACCCCTCATTCTCTCACTGCACTGCGCTCAACATTTTCGAGAATCGTCCTTTGACGAGGCAACTCCAATCTGGGCGGACAAGCATGGGAGTACGTCGATTCTAGGCGCGACGTAGCTTCGGCACACTGCTTAGCGACTCGGACGTGGTCGAGGTCCAAAGTGCAGAACCGCAGGCGCAAACATGGCCGACGGCAACCTCGAAGAGGGTTGGACGACGGTCCACAGACAGTTCCAGGGTCACCCCGAACGATTGCCGCCCGCCCAGCGCGAGCTCCACGAGAGAACCCAGATTAAGGAATGGGAATCATCGGACGGTCACTGGAGTGGCATGTAAGTTCAACCTCACCTGCTCCCGACCATTCCCGGCCAACTCCTTTCACAGTCATGAGGACTGACATGTTTGCGGGACAGAGGAAAGCACCCTGCCGACTTCACCGAATCGAAAAAGCTACATCATAAGATCACCGTGCCTCAGGACAATAGTCTAGGTTGGGGTACATACGGTCGCGTCGAAAAGGTCACCCATCGAACGGTCTGTCTGGCGCGAAAATGGATTCAGCCGAGGCGCGGTCGCACAATAGAGATCCTCCGCGAGGAGGCACACGTCATGGAAAGGCTGGACCACGACCACATTGTCAAGCTGATTGGCACCTATACGTTTAGACAACGGGAACTGTATCTGCTGATATGGCCAGTGGCCATCTGCAACTTGGACGAATTACTCACAGACCTCGACGATTTAAGGAGCGGCCAAGGCGATCGAGAGGATATCACCAAGAGACTCATGGCGCTGGGTCTTACCGATTTAAGTGCTATCCAGGGCAGCGTCCGCGATGCCGCCAGCCCGGGCTCAAAGGGCAAATGTCCTCTGAAGTTCCTCCAGCGCATCATGGGCTGCATCGGCCAAGCCGTAACCTACTGCCATCATTCCAACATTCGCCATCTCGATCTCAAGCCTACCAACATCCTGCTGAATCCTGAAAGAGTCTACTTGGCTGACTTTGGTATCGCTCGGGACGTGAATGACCAGGAAAAGACTACGACAATCGGCCATCAGGGGACACCAAAATGGCGGGCCCCTGAGATTTACGACTTGAAGGACTGGTCTATGAAATCCGCCGATATCTACTCCTTGGGCCTCATCTACCTGAATATCGCCACAGCAGTATACCACGGCAACTTATCAGCCTTCTATACTGTGCTTGAAGACCTCGTCCCTCGCTCTCGTGCCGAAAAGCTGGAAGGATTTCAACAACAGCTGACCCTCCACGCACTGGCGACGCAGCAGTTTCATGAGGCAACATCCCCGACGGTTTCTCCACGACATATTCTAGGCTTGACCCAGAGAATGCTCTTTCTTGAACCAGGAAGCCGGCCTCGGGCAGATCAGGTCGATCATGAACTCGTCGACCTTGGTGGTATCGATCAAGTCTACCATAGCCCGTGCTGCAGAAAAAGCACGAGATACTTATCAAAGCGAATCGACAATAAGCTATCCGCGACTCACCGTGAGAACGTCAGTCTCAAAGCTGAAGTTGAGCGCCTCAAGAGGGAGAATGCGGGGTTGGTGGGTATGGATGAGACTTATAACATGCGTCTGGTGAACCAAGAGAGGTCGCACGCCAAGCACATTGAAAATTTGACGAAAAGCTTGACGAAGCAGCTAGAAGAAGAGAGGGAAAAGCGCAAGAAAGCGGAGGGAAAGATGGCACAGGCACAGATGGATATGCAGGCAAGAAGACACAGTCGGTCAGGCTTGCCACGGGTTGAAGCTACGCAGCAGACTCGCTCAATCAACACCCCTGAAGTCGGCAGTGGTCTCGGAATTCGTATGAGGCCACAGACACATCCCATGCCTCAGACCACCGTTCGACCACCTCCGGTATCAGCATCCTCTGCAGCTCCGTCCCGTCCTGCAGTCGTGACACGAATCCCCTCTGAACAAGCGAAAGCCTGGGTTATTCGGAACGCGGCCGTAATGTCAAGCGGCATCCCAACTCCAGCTCGTACAACGGAATCCCCCTCTCCGAACCCGCAAACGCCACCAACATCGGCCTTGCCATCCCGCAGCTCAGCATCTCGTCTTCCCATTCTCGCAAAGATCCCGGCGACCCCGCGCACCAGCACGCCGACTCTTGCTCGCGACCCGAGCTTGACTGACAGCACGCAAGCCAGCATGTCGTCCTCAATCTTTTCACGCCGTAGTTTTGACACGACGACGGAAGCAGCGCCGACTCCGCCAGCCGTCAGTCCAGTGATTAAGAAAGATACTTTCGATATGACCGTTCGGGAGGTTCCAGCACCGCCGACACCTAATGATGAGGTACCGAGCCCGGTGTTGTCAATGCCGCCATCCTTCTCGTCGGTCTTGTCGTCTCCGCGCACGGCAACTGTCGATCTGGCATCCGTCGCGGGCAGCGAGATTTCGCAGGACGGCTTGGCTGCCGTAAATGTGCCTTCTTTGCAGTCGTCCAAGAGCTGGGCAGCCGTTGCTGGCCAAGGGAAGGGGTTGGCCAGGATAGTCATAAGCTCACCGTCGAAGGCACCTCAGTCGGTGCCTCCGACTGCGCCTGCTTCTTCTGGACGCGGGAGAACCAGAGACCGGAGGACACCTAGCTCTGGTATTTAGTAGATACACGAGGTTATGATTTATGATTGAATGTGAAGCAAAAGCCGGGGGAGATGATTCTCAACACAGCATATTCGTCGTTGTAACATGGTAAATGAACAGTTCTAGACTTGACCGAGACATGAGTCAAAAGCTTTTGGCTTCGGTGGTATCATTGAATGAGATGGGAATTTACATGAACGCGTCACTATGCTGTCTCCTTGGAAGGTTTGACCGGACCAGGCTCCAAGCCCCCAAGACTCCCTCTCCATCTGTCCACTCTCTTCTTCTTGAACCTTTTCAACTTCGTCTCCTTTCTCAACTTTCGATGCTTCATGTACGGCCGAAGCTTCTCAATCACAGTCGGCACAGTCCTCACCCCACGCTTCCTCGCCTCCTCCACTTCCTGAGCCAGCATCTCCTCCTCCCCTTTCACAGCCTCAATCAGCGCCTTCGCCCTGGCCAACTCGTTCCGCCGTTCTGCGTCAATTTGCCCAATCATATGGTAGTACGAATCCTGCACCGATTGGTAGTAAGTCGACGTTGACGGACTGTGGTCCACGCGACTATGCTGCCCCGCAGCCCTCAACTGCTCGTCCACCAACCTATCCCACTCGTCCTCCTCCCGGGCCGCCGCATAGTCGCACTCAGTCATCTCGATGCTGACCTCATTGATCCGTGCCTTGCGCCACGTCTTGCGGCGCAGGATGTCGCTGACCACGCGCGGCTGCGGCCGCTTGTGGCGGAGGAACGTGTGCCCCTGCGCCGTGACGATGACTTGCGGGATCTTCCTCCGTCCCTCGAAGCTGTCGCGCGGCCGCGGGAACAGACGGGAGACGTACTTGGGCTCCTCTCCGTCCGCCGAGATCCTCTGGAGGACGGGTTTCGGGGGCGGGGTCGCCGGGTCGCGGGGTTTCCTTCCGGGCCGCTTTTTCGCTTCGGCGCGGGCGATGTGCTCATTCTTTTGGCGGAGGTAGGTGATTATCTCGGCTTGTTCTTTCGACTCGGGGACTCGTGCGTTTTTGAAAAAGGTAAGAAACTGTCCGCGGGGCACCACCCATTAGCTTCTTGCGCCGGTTTTAGAGGGATAGTTCAAGAGATCGGAATGCGCACCTTATATCCCGCCGACAGCGCAGCAAAGATCAGCCGCGGGCTCACGTCCGCCTTGTTGCGCTGGAAGCCCCTCTTGATGAGATCCGGCACGGGGTTCTTTCCCTTCCTGCAGACATCCTGGGGGAGCGTCACCTCGCGGCCTTCCCGAAGGAGGGCGCGGAAGAGGGCTATGACAGCAATTCGGTGCCTCGAGCTGCGGGCGGCTATGAACTGCTGTTTGGGCATCGTCGTCCAGTCGAGTGTCGCATCTTGAAATTTTGGGCGGGTGGGAGCTTGGAAGGATGGAAGCTCCGTCGTGATCGGCGCTTGGGCCCCTTATCTTATCAGCTGGTCTTATCTTATCGGTGACCTTCTGACGCATTACGTAGATACCGCCTAGGTATGTTCTCGCACACCTCAAGCCCGTTGGTTTTCTTCTTCTTTGTTCTCTCAATTAACCTAACTATTTTCTACATTGAGAGATCTACGGCTTCGTAAGTTTTCCGTCAAAACTACTCATCAGATCCTCGTTCACAGTGCTTCCGGGAATGTGGCCTCGAGACTCGGTTCGTAGTCTGCCTGAGACAGCTGATCGATCGTAAGCCGGCACACGCATCAATTTGCCTGCAATAACGAACATGAATCAAATTAGTTTCCTACGTGAGAATGAGCTGACGTTTCCTTGAAAAGGGGGAGTCAGAGTGTGCTAAGAAAGCCCACATGTTCCGACTTAGACAATTCCAAGGGACCGACGATCGGAATGTTGTCGAAACAATACCCAGACATCCTGTGGAATTCCAAGGTGATGAGTTAACGAATGAGACACATAAAAACATCGGTAAAAATGTTGATAAGTAAAGCTGGATATAAACATGCCAGGAAACAATTTCCTCCGCTCAGCGATTTTGGCTCTATCGTTGCCCTCATCGTCGCTTCTCTTGTACTTGCAAGTCTCAAGAGCAATCATCCAACCAACCTCTGGAGACGCCATGAATATCCCAACGACAACCTTGGCCTTCCTTTGGAGTTTTGGAAGCCTGATCTTGGCTTCCGGATTGACGCAATACCCTGCAGAGGCACCCTTCAGATTCATCAGCTGCGTGGCCCTCAGCAGCACCGACCTCGGGAATATCTTTTACCCAAAAGCAGCCGGTATCAGCCCTCAAGGGTGCCAGCAACAATGTGCATTGAGCGACTCTCACTTCGCAGCTTTGGGGAGCGGCGTGGATTGCTACTGTTCTCACGCCACCACTGGGCACGAGATGTATCCGGCGCTTGCTCCCGGTGCTAATGACAGCTTCAGTCTCTGCAACACGCCATGCCAGAACTTCCCAGACTATGCATGTGGTGGTACAGATGGAACAAGGAAAATCTACAACATCTTCGGTGTTTGTAACGCGGCCTCTCCAGTCCCTCCGGCACCGACGACGACATCAACAACAACTTCGAGCACCCAGACCTCCAGCAGCACGGCTACGTCCAGTTCCGCTACGACCGATACAGCATCCAATTCGTCTTCCACTGGTCCATCCAGTTCCGAAACAACTACCGTGGTTGCCTCCACAACATCATCTACAACTTCATCTACACCACCGTTTACGACATCATCTACAACTTCTTCAACAATACCGTCTTCAGCTTCATCAACAACATCATCTGTACCATCATCTGTACCATCATCTGAGTCGTCATCTTCTACAACATCATCCACCGCATCAACCGCAGCATCATCCACTGTTTCGTTGAGTGGAACCTCCACGGTGACAGACAGCGGCTCGACAACAACTCCTTCTGCGTCAGAGACCCCAGGCACTTCCAGCTCTTCAAGTGTTTCGGTTTCTGCAGTCACCACTACCAATACACTTTCTTCCAGTTCCCAGAGTGCTGCGATCACGACGACTTCACAGTCGACATCAATCTCTACTGTTTCGTCGTCCGCCAGCATCTCAGCTTCAATTTCGCCATCTTCAAGCCCTATCATTCCGTCTGGGAGTCAGTCAATCGTTTCCAGCTCTTCATTGAGCCAAACCAGAAGCACAAGTACAACTACGGGGTTCCCTACCATATCTCCGCCATTTTTAATGACGAATTTTTCATCCACTATATCTCCCACCAGCCTGATTCCACCACCTTCGAGTTCTTCCGTCAGCTCAAGCGGCACCTCCAACCCGTCTTCACCAGTCGGACCTTCATCGGGAACAGGGAGTTCAATTGCAAGCTCGGTTCTTGGCACCACTTCAATACCCCAATTAGGCCCCTCCAGCTCATTTTCTGGCACTTCACAAACTCCAATGTCACCTTCAGGGTCTCAGCAGATATCCTCACCAGGATTACCAGGATCGCCGTCTTCTGCCTTAGGTTCAATCGCAACATCTGGCCTGTTCTCGACAGCATCTGGAAGCCCATCGTCCAACGTTCTGGTAGCATCGTCTGGGTCGAGTCAGGGTACACCGACTGCTACACCAGCTTCTACTGCGACGTTTACCACCAGCTCACCTCTTGCATCCACTAGCAGCTCGCAGATTCTGATCAACGTTCCCATTGTTTTCACCATTATTCCTCCTCCAGCAACCTCAAGCGCTGCTTGAAAGACCGCAGGGCAGTGAGCTATGCCGATTCTGTATCCACAAATTCACAGGAAACTTCCAAAATCAACCTTGGTCAGAACAAATTTTAATTTCACTTCAATCAGAGTAACTTGACAGTGTGAACAAAAAGTCAACATATTTGAAAGTAGAAAGCATGTCCCATCCATTCAAGAGATATGTGGAACCCAACATCACCGCAGCATTCTACAGCTGACAAAGTGTCGAGACCGATCCCACCCAGCGGGAACAGATAAGCTTAAAGTCCGCAGTATGACTGTAAGTGGGCACCGTCGTGCTTCGTGAAAGCGAAGCGCATGAGTGGCTCAAGCCATAAGGTTCGTCCGGCCTCGGCCGCTGTGACCGACCGTTGGACCGGATGGTAACGGACTTAGTGTGTGGGGTTGATCCGAAACATCTTGCAATCATTGTTGCGGTCTGAATCGAATTGGGTTAAAAGTATCCGTTGTACGTCATTTTGTAGGCTCGCAATGAAGGCCGCTAGCAACGGAGCTATACGGCATCGGAGTTTCAGTGAATTTCCTCGTCTGAAGACCGATGTCCGACGCGGACGATGCAAACCAATGAACTACAGCTCCTCTCATCATTAATGTCGTAACATCTAAATCTTGTGGATTCTCATGTCAGATGAATCACTACAAAATAAAGCATTATTAATTTCAATCCAGCTCGCCTTAAGATATTAGTCGCGAACAGCGACCACAATTTACCAAGTTCCATTCATATCCCCTACAAAAGGCGTGAGAAACATCCTGTTCGTCCGATCATTCTATTAAGAGCTCTTCTTCACTTAAGGTGACTGGCTAGGCATCATCGACTTCCCCGCCTTTCTGAATCATCAACACAATGTCCTCCGAAGCTCATGCGAAAACGGTTCAGGCCTTAGAGCCTCTGATCCAACTTCTGAGTCCGGGCTCTGTCTTGACTCCCAAAGATGAGGCTTATACACATCACTCCGAGCCATTTGCAATTCAAAAGCAGCAAAACCCCGCAGTCGTCCTTGTTCCGGGCTCGGTCAACGAGCTCTCGGAAATCGTCCGCTTTCTTTACGCCTCGGACCTGGATTTCGCCATCCGAGGACATGGGTTCAAGTCGCCGTCGGCTAGAGACGTGGTGATCAGCATGATGAACTTCAAGGACATCAGCTACGATCCAGTCAAGAAAATCGCCACGGTTGGTGCAACTGCTACCTGGTCAGAGGTGGTGACATACATGGATAAAGTCGACCCGGAGTACTCCGGTGAGTAACATTGATCTGCAGGTACCGTCACGAAGGAGTATTCGCTGACGTTGCAAAGTACCTGTGGCTCGCACTCCAGCGATTGGTGTCGCTGGGGCTATCCTGAATGGCGGTATTTCTTGGATGTCCACCGAGTATGGCTGCATTTGCGACCCGGTCAACTTCCTCGACGCGGAGGTTGTGAAGTATGACGGCACCGTCGTTATGGCATCTCAGGAGCCTGATCTCTTGTGGTCCCTGAGAGGCAGTGGCGGTGGCTTTGGAAGTGAGTCGAACATGAGAAAATGAAGCTGTCTAAGTAACGACTAACAAAATACCTAGTCATCACCAAGGTCATGCTTCGGGCACACCAGTATCCAACAGATATCTGGTCCGGCCTGGTTATGGTGCCACGCAAATGGTTACCGCAGTTGATAGACGAGATGGTTGAGTTCAACCACTCAGTGCCCCACCCCAAAATTACCTATTTCATGTACTTGCTGCCCGAAAGACTTCTTCACACAATTCTAGAACAGGAAGAGCCGGACGCTGGGGACGCGGTGATTTTCCACGTGTATGATGCACTTGGGGAGAAGCATGGTCGAGCAGCGTTTAGCTGGGTGCTTGATAAACCCGGCGCCATCGACCGAACCAGGATCACTAACATGAAGGGTGTCGTCGACATGCAGCGTAAGTATGCGCCTGGTCATACTGGAGGATTTGTACTAAGTAATGCTCACCAGGAAACGCCGCCGTCCTTCGAGGCAAGATGAAGACATTGTATGCGCCGATGGCTCTCCCCGACGTGGATCGAGACACTTTGAATCGAGCAGTTGCATTCTACGACAAGCTAGGGTCTCTGGATAAATCCATTCAGGACATCTCTAGTGTAGTTTTTGAATGCCTTTTGCTGGTGAGCCGACCCTAGCGAAGCACATGTTCCTAACTAACATTATGCATGAAAGCGCCCTCCAATTGGAGGCACAGCCGAAGTTGCCTGGCCTCGGGCTCCAGGTCTGAACCATCTTTTGCTCCTCATCGCAAGCTGCCCCGGAGATGGTACGAAAGAGCAGGAAGAGCTCCTTCGGAAAATTTCTATCGATGCGCCTAAAGAGGTTTTAGAAGATAAGCTTGGCCTGGCGGAGGTTAACCCTGCTGGTCTCGAACTTGATTATCACAGTGCCAAGGCAGTAAGACCAACTCCACAGCCACCGTATGACTCCGCCAACACTAACCTCGCCACAGGTGTACAGAGAACATTACGAGAAGCTGCTTGCACTTAGGAAATTGTATGACCCGAAGTCACGGTTCAAGTCCTTCTTCTAGTTGGACAATCTGACGGCTGAGCTCGCTTGTGCTAGTCTCGATTTTGTTAATTAACTTGCTCCAAATGTAGTCTCTTTGTTCTTGGCGTCTTCTTGCAGTCAACAATTTGCTGTTCAAATGAGAGTGTGCCAGATGTGATGCGATCTGATGTCATTTAAGCTGGAGTCATTCACATCTCTGAAAGGTTATGCAGATAGAGTCTCTCGGTCATTGCGTGTTCGCCGAGACCGATGGTGTAATGTTACGGAATGAAAACGAATTAAAGAACTCTTTCGGGACCGGCGGCTTATATCGACCACAAGACATTGGCAACCGCACTACAGTTGGTCCCAAGCTCTCTTCTTCTGGTAATATAATACTCACAAGATGACCAGATCTTCCTCCTCCCATATCTTCTAGAAGGTGGTCAAAATGAGATCTATGCAAAACCAATGGCTAACCACAAAACTAAGGCTATATAGTATTGTAGGAAGAGGCGTAAACATTACGCCACATGTTGTCCAGCACGCACTTTCCAATTACCGTGTCCGCTGCTGATGTCTGGATTCTGTAATAAATGCGTTTGAACTCAGCCGCATCGACACAGCCCGTTTTGATCATCCTGCGATATGTTCAGCAGCTAATAGTAGCGGCCCGTGGCAGGTCACCGGCCGTACTAGCAAGGATGGACGACGATCCGGGCCTCCGCGGCTTGCCGCGTCTCCACTATACGAGCGACTCGGGTCTATTCGCATGATGAGACGAACTCTAAAAAAATTAATCTGCTATGGAAAAGACTTGTCTTCTCACCGAGAGACCCCTGAATTACGGCTTCGACTTCGTCACTTGGGCAGATAGGAACTGCCGGAAGGAGTCCACTCTCGCGGGTCTTGCGGCGACTCTATTGCCATATCTATCTTTGACCCCGGAGAACCTTTCGAATGTCATGATATTTTTCGTTCACTAATCGAACCACAACTTGCTGACTGGGACCATGTATGCACGCATCTCAGTCTTTTTGTCTGCCATCCTCGCAACGCAAGCGGCGGGCTTGCATCCTGTTCGGGATAGGTTGCCCGCTAACCACGCAACGAACGATCTACATGACAGAACAACTCATGAGCGGGACTACGGAGCACCCAATTCACCGCGATCAGAACCTATTTTCACCGTTCATCGCGGACAAGAGAACGACACCGCAACCCTGATCCAAAAGGGAGATTGTGTATTTACCGCATGGGATGAGCTGTACATTACCGATTTTCTTCAAGAACAGCTGGGATATCTGTCGACGAGCGATCACTGCTGGATCATCAAAGGTGTTCGAGGACTGCAGGAACTCTTACACCGAAACATTACCGCCAATCCGCTCAACAATGTCACCATTCCGACTTGCGTTTCCCTCAACATCACCAGTAAAGGGAACTCATTTTCCATTGACTTCTCGACAAACTCATATGAAGTCAACGGGGTTGCCGAAGACACTTTCGTGCTTCTCACCTACGTCCACCGTGAGTTTTCCCGCCCTTTGGATAAACTTTCGACTAAACCCTTTCTATTCAGTTGTCTGTATGACTGCCGCATTCTTTCTGGCGTATCCCATAATTCTCGTTCTGGCATCAACTCCCAGCTTGTGTATTATGATCGATCGTCCGCTCCAAGAACCAACCAAAGCCAAGATTGATCGATGGCAAACAATCTTTCAGACTTTCATATTCGCGCCTCTCATGATTGGGGGTCTCGTCACTGGCATCATCGGGATGGGGACATCAGACCATGCTAGGACAGAGCACGGTGTAAGTTCCAATTCACGTATGCCTTGGACTGAGTTGACAGTTAACTGACATTCATGCGTCAGATTGTCGGCTACATCACGATAGGCCTGGCGGCAATAGTTGTTCCGCTTTACCTGTACCAACGACGACTCAGCTCACGGCCAGATCTGACGTTCTACATGTATCGAAGAATGAAGTTCATCAACGCTCTGGACTTTATCGTATGCCAAGCGATCCTCGTGATATCCGGCTTCGCCCTTCCGGACGGCATTGACGACTTTGGTGTGATGACTTTGTGTGGCACAAACACAATTTCAACATCATTGATATTCTCTCTGGGTATGATCGTGTCCTTTGTATGGAACTGTGCCATGGCAACCATGACAGTGCAATGGCTACTTGGCCAAAGACTTCAAGGAGGAACTTTTCGGGATAGGGCGCCACCTTGGATGTTGAAGGTTCTGCGAAAGAGGTCGATCTGACATGTTTCAACGATTGACGAAAAATAGATTGCATTATATGTATATAATGAGCCGCAGGTTCTGTTGGCTCGAGGCTTGTAAGCAGCAGGTAATTGGGTTTGATTGTAGACGTAGGCTACCTTTCAAATGGGCCCGGGTTTTCAGAAGGTTGTTTTAGATGTCTAGAGTTATGCATAAGGTGCTTGACTGCCTTACTGCTTTCGCCTTTGCACTGAGCATGGCGTTATCCCCTGGCTTTGAACATACGTAGCATCAGCGTTTCACCTGGGAGCGCTGGAAATTCTTTTTGTTAAATACGTCGAATCCTAGAGCCGAAAACATCCATAGCCACAACGATTTAGTTTTCTTATACTGTATCTTTCTTTCCGCAATTACCTTTCTTCTAGACTGGACCGGTGTCAAACTCACTGATGCGATTCGGATACTGACTTGAGAAGACATCCTCTAAATTTTGAAGGATGCGCTGAGAAACATGATGAAGGTGTTATTTCGTCTCTGCTAACGAAGCAATATTCGGATACGTCTGTTAACGATGTAGTTCACTGTGCTTTGCAGCGTTCTTTAACAGGACGAATCCACGCTATTTTGTTCAATGTAGAAGACCTCTAGGTGCTATGCAGCCGTAGACCAAATCCATTGATCACATCGCTCGATGTCGAAAAATGAATGATGCCAATTCCAGTAAGATGTCCGAGGAAGCAATGCTAATTCAAGCATATCATCGTGTGCCGAGCACGTGAGAAGTCCATGTCATTTGAGCATTGGCGTTGACCGGGAGCAACTCGTGTTGCTGCCTTGAGTACCCGTACCGAAGCTGAGGCGCATGCTGAGATCACCTACAACAATTCCTGCATATTTTGAACCGGCGAGCTTTACTTGAATTTTGGGCTGCCTCGTGTTTCTTTTTCTGATTGGCGCGCCGGTCCGGTCGGTGATTATGGGGCCGTGATAATGCGGGGTCCGGGTCTCCGCGGACGCGGCCAGGCCGTCCGCGCAACAAGGTCCACGTAATCAGAATGACGATAGCAAAAGCTACGGCTTTTTGAAACATTCGAGGAGACCGATCCATCTATAACGTAAGTTTAGTAGTCAATGAATATTGATGGATTGCATATGCTTCCTCGGTACGATGAGCTTTCCACTGCCTGAATAGGATTCCAGCATGTTGAAAATGACTGGGTTTGTCCGAGTTGATGGGAGCTTTTTACAACCCTTGAATATCGGCTGATACCCGTCTCATTTTGAATACGCTTCTGCCGAAATCTGCATACTTGATAGCACCTGAAGCATAAGCTTGTTCTGGATGAGCTTTACGCACTTGACTGTGCCTATAGCCTCTCAGCATCAATGGCTATACCTGGTCCTTGCCGCAAGTATCCTCGCAGATTTAGAATGATGAACAGCTTTCTCACTGAATAAAGCTCTCCCTATCATCGGGAATCTTCTCAATGTCGACTTCAATTATCCCTTAGGATCGCTCATCCAGAAAGGGAAGGTCTATGGTACGCACTCTTCTACATAATCATCCATGTGTCTCGGTAACAGGTAACTTCAGGGCCTGTATACACCATGACTTTTGCTGGCCAGAAGTTCATCTACGTATGCAACTACGAGATTGCACAAGAGCTTTACGATGGCGCGAGGTTCCATAAGATCGTGACTTCTGGAGTCGCAAACCTTCGTTATGCCGCTGGCAATGGTCTCTTCACGGCGCAGGTAGATAATCACGAGTGGGAGATTGCCCACCGGGTACTTCTTCCGCACTTCGGCGCCTCAAAAATCAGGAATATGTTTCCCAGTATGATCGACATTGCAGAGCAGCTGTGTCTCAAATGGTACGCCAAACACACCGCAAGTCAGAGGAAGCCCTAATCCAATCTAATCAGGGCGCGTTTCGGGCCAACAGCCTTAATCAACGTTTCCAGCGACTTCACGCGACTTACCCTTGATACAATAGCGCTCTGCACTATGAGCTTCCGCTTCAACAGCCTCTACTTGGGTGACCGTGTACATCCATTTGTCGAAGCCATGACAGCTGTCCTCGCCGAAGCGGAAACACAGTCAGGGATACCGCCGTATCTGGGCTTTTTGCGTTGGAGCTCACAAGCAAAGTTCTTCAAGAACATCAACTTCATGACTCAGACTTGCAAAGAGATCATTGGTAACCGGCGAGATGTGGCCGCGGACACTCCTGACCTACTTGATGCCATGTTGACTGGACGAGATGCAAAGACGGGAGAGGAGATGACAGAGGAGTCCATCATCAACAACATGATCACGTTTCTCATCGCCGGTCATGAAACCACTTCAGGCTTGTTGTCCTTTGTCTTTTATTTCCTACTTGAGAACCCCGACGCGCTTCAAAAAGCTTACGACGAAGTTGGCTCCATAATTGGCGGCGAACGAATTTCAGTAAATCACCTGCAGCAGCTACCTTTCATTGACGCCGTACTCAAAGAAACCCTTCGTTTGATGCCAACTGCTCCCGGCTTCTTCGTCACCCCTTTTAAGACGGAAATCTTGGGAGGCAATTACGCAATCCACGCCGGTGAGCCAATACTGGCTCTGCTTCATCTCATCCAAAGGGACCCCGCTGTCTGGGGAGATAATGCCGAGGAATTCAAACCTGAAAGAATGCTGAAGCACAACTTTGAAAAGCTTCCAAAGAATTCTTGGAAGCCTTTTGGCAATGGTAAGAGAGCGTGCATTGGCAGAGCCTTTGCATGGCAGGAGGCTCAGTTGGTATGTTTCGTTTTTCAATCAAGTGAAACCGACCTCAGCAACTTTGCGGACTCTGCTGAGAACTTTGCATAGATCGTTGCGATGATACTTCAGAATTTCGACATCAGCAAGGGCGATCCGAATTACAGCCTCCAGGTCAAGAATTCTTTAACGATCAAACCCATTGGCTTCACCATGTTGGCCAAAGTGAAAAGTTGTAGGGTCGATGCTGGCCTTTTTCGGCCGGGAGAAAGATATTGACGGCTACTTTATCGTGAGAAATGGCAATAAAAAAGTAAAAGCGGTTTAAACTCCAGAATGACCATTTTTTAAGTGCTGGTTGTGACCAACTTTGTATGCACAGCTTCCTTCTTCCCTTCTAACGTTTTTCATACATTTAGGGCATGCTGATTCCGTGGTGTCTTTAGGCGAGATGTTGCCGAAAACGCTGAGCCGTTCCACAGCAAAGTAACACCGATAACGAGCAAGAACTGTCAAATTTCGATATCAAGGGCACTCTATAAGTGCTGTTTAGTTCCAACAAGACGTTCAGGCTCGTTGGCTAGCTTGAAGGGAAATGATCTCGCTTCTTAAAGACTATTTTGGGTGCGGTATTTGCAGCACCAAACAAGAGATGTTTTCCACCCCGCCTTTGGTCGTACCGCTAATGCATCAATGTTGAAGATCCTTGTCAATCTCCAGGATGCAGATCCTGTGTGAAAGCCAAGCCGTCAGACTGCTGCTGCACTATCCGTAATCCGTACTTCGTACTTCCTTAAACACGCGGCATGCGAGACATCGACGCGATATGTTGTCTTTGGCGATTAAATCTGATTCGAGGAGTCGTAAGTGCCCCTTGTGGATCTTGTAAGCCCGTCAGCACTGCGCCTGAAAGTTAGACATATCCTCAGCCCTCCCTCGACGGCCTTCAGAGACAGACCGATTACGATTACAGCAGTGTGGGCGAGATACGACATACTGTTGATGGTAACGGAGACACGGAATCATGCTTGAATTTGATGTGGCGTGTGTGTTCAGCAGCTGAGCAGCTGTGCCTTAGGAATGCATACAGGGGCGTCATGCATGTCGAAGCGAGCACAACACCAATGTCAAAAAGTACGACACCAGACGTGGAACATAAGGTACAAGAGGCGACCCTGCCCCTCTTTGAATTTATTACTTGTGGTAAAAGCCTTCTGCTTCACCTTTTGTCGTCTTTTCTCGAGGATCTCGCGATGTGGTCCTCAGCCATGCCTCCCCTCAGACTCTTGCTGGCTGCAGCGTGTATGCTTGGCAACTCCCTCCCTGCATTTGCGCAGACCACCGACGTCGATAGCGACGTCATTGAACCTGCCGATTTCAACTTGTCCAATGCCTTGTTGGAGCACGGGGTCGCGGTCTCGGATATTCCTAGCTTGTCAACCCTCGGAAAACCATCACAGCCCGAATGCTCCGTTGCTGTGAGTTGCAGCTTCAGATCCACAAGCAGTCACAAATTGACACTTTACAAATTCAGTGCGACACGCTAAAATTTCTCTACGGAGACGGCGCTGTCGAGACCAGAAATGAGGCAGCATACAATAGTTTCGTCGGGTCATACTGGTCGGCGAACCAGGCTGCGGTCAGGCCTTGGTGCGTCTTCAAACCGTCCCAGGCGGCGCAGGTCTCTGTGTTTGTGCTCCTGTCTCGTTTGACCCAGTGCCCCTTCGCGGCCAAGAGCGGTGGGCATGCTGCCATGGCTGGTGCTTCCAGTGCTCAGGATGGCATCACCGTTTCGTTTATGAACATGACGGATATCAAGCTGTCTGACGACAAGAAGATTGCTTCAATCGAGCCTGGGAATATTTGGGGCGACGTCTACAGGGAGCTCACCAAGTCCGATGTGACCGTCATCGGAGGTCGGTTGTACAACATTGGCGTCGGAGGGCTGACGACGGGAGGTATGGCAAGACAACGGCCTCACAAAGGCTATCGCAGGCTTACATGGCACCAGGTGGAATTTCCTATTTTTCCAATGAGCACGGCTGGGCTTGTGACAATGTGGAAAGCTACGATGTAGGTGGCAGTACACGCATTTCATAATTTTCAGGGTTGACTGTCTGGCAGCTTGTCATTGCGACTGGCGCCGTGATCCGAGTCTCGGCGACGACTTATCCGGATCTCTTCTGGGCCCTCCGTGGTGGCGGCAACAACTTCGGCCTGGTCGTCAACTTCAACCTCAAGACGACCCCCCTCCCAGGTGGCAAGATGTGGGGAGGCAGAAGGACGTACACAGAGAACAACTTTGACAAGGTTGCTGAGGCATTCCACAACATTGTCGTCAATTCTGAACAAGACAACAAAGCCGGCTTGTGGCACGTCTGGATGTATGCTTTTGAGACCAAAATGACGGTTCCGACGCTTTACTACAGCGAGCCCAACGGCAGTCACGCTGCCATTTTCGACGAGTTCAACAAGATTCCAGCCTACGACGATGCTACACAGGATCACATCCTAGCGGAATTTGCCGCTCAGGGGATGAATGATACGCCCCCAGGCCTGCACGAAGTCTACTATGTCATCAGCACAAAGGCGGACTTGAGCCTTCAAAACTGGGCCAAAGATCTCTACTTCAAGGAGGTCATGGCCGTCGCGAATATATCTGGCATCGTGCCCGCTCTCACGATGCAAGGTATCACGATTCCGCAGCTCAAGAAAATGCGAAACAACGGCGGAAATGCGTTGGGTTTGAACGTCGACGATGGGCCACTCTACATCATCCAAATGGCTGTCATGTGGGCCGACGGAAAAGACAGCGAGGCCGTCTACCGTTTTGCGTCCAACCTCCTTGAGAAAATCTCCAACGAGGCAAAGAAGCGAGGGTTGTACAATGACTTTGTGTACATGAACTACGCCAGCCAGTACCAGGACGTGGTCAGCAGTTACGGGAAGGACAACAAAGACAGGTTGAAGAGTATCTCTGCGAAGTACGATCCCAACGGTGTCTTTCAAAAACTGCAGCCGGGGTATTTCAAACTTGATCGTGCGCCAATTACTGGCACCAAATACTTTTCGTTCTAGGTCTGGGGATTGGCGGCGATATGGCGAGGCACTGTGACAACTGTGATGATATCAGGGACTTGCAAGTAAGTTAATTTGGTGTTTCTTGAACTGTCCCTTTCACCCTGCACGTCATTTGGAGTTGCTATCAAGCCTTTGCCAACACCGTTGTCGAGAGCTTTCACCCGAACCACGGGAGTTGTACCGAGACGAGGAAAGTGAGGTTGATCGGTCGGGAGAGTCGCCAGAAATAGAGTTCGTTAGTTATCGGTAGTTACTGCTTTCTGTGCCGCTGCTTTTACCACCTGGATGGAAATCATAAAGGTGCTTGCTGAAATATGGGAATTGGCCACTGTTTTGGGCACATTCGCCCCTCTTAACGGATTTACTTTTACACCAGGTATAAAACATCAAATACCTCACATTTGGAAAAAGAATGCTTCCTTCCTTTGATTGCTAGCTTCCACTTCAGAGGCGCAGCTACATAACGACACAATACCACCGCCCGCACAATGCCGTTACATCCACGAAACTTTCGCCCGCAAAGGCGCGGCGCGCAGATATATTCCCAGCTTCACTGGTACGCCCTTCCTTACGAGATCCGGATCATGGTTCTGGGACACTTAGCTAACCACAACATCCAGAAGGCCGAGCGAGCATCATGGCCCAGCGTGTGCGCGGAATGGCGCGACTTCTTCGAGACCCGCGCCTTTGCGTGCCTCACGCTCCAGTCGTCCAACGATATCCTGGCGTTTTCTAGTCTTGACCATCACCTACGAGACAAGGTCAAGAAGGTCAGGCTACACGTCCCGCTGAGGCGGTATGACTGCACAAGCTGCGACAAACCCGAGAATTGGTGGGAAGCCGAAGCGAATGACGAGGCCTTCAGCGTACGACTACTTGCGCTCCTGCATGTCTTAACAGACTGGCAACCAAGAGAAGACGAGGGACTTGCACTCGAGATCAGCACAGCGTCGCCGAGCGATACACAGCACTATTTTGTGCCACCTTTCCACACTCCCCAGGAGTGGCAAGAATATGACAGAGGTCACGGGTCTCAAAGGGGCCCGCCGGACCTGTTGGCCATACGGGGTGCCAGACAGAGGATGCTCGGGAGCCCACTCGACCTTCACACGACCGTCTATCACAGGGGAGACGTCCACAGCGGCACCAAGTTGGACATCGACGGGCTTCGAGTGCCCGTTATCACCCAATTCATCGTCAACCGAGCGTCACGCCGGTCTCTCAGCGCAGGGGCAGTCCGGCGCGTGTTTGAATGTCTCCCAGGCTTGAAAGCGGTCACTTGGGAGCCGTGGAGCGGAACAGTTGCAGAGGGCCAGCGGCCTCGTGAGCTGGCTAACCTGGCGCTGCTCGCAAATCTGCCGGCTACGGTCAAAGACCTCACCCTTTGGGAGTGTTGGCAAGACCCGACAGATATGGAGCATGAGCATGAAGATGCTTCACAAGAAAGGCCTGCAGGCTGGCATGCATCTCTCTGGAGGAGAGAGGAAGAGAGAACATCGCTGCGATTCAGTACCTCGCAACTTATGGACGTGGTTGCGGCGGAGCCAATGACAGGGCATCGCCGTATGGCCTTGACCGCGGCGTACGCATGCCGTAACCTGTTTTCCCTCAACGCAGCCGGCATTATTGATGCAAAGGAGTTCTTTCAGAATCTGGTGCTTCTGGCCGAAGCACAGCCGCGACTGGCCTGGTCCAACCTCAGAAACATTGCCTTGAAAACTCCACAGGTTCTGAGGACGGACACGAGGGAGGGGCTGTTCCGTGCGGCTGGTGATGCCGCCGCGCTTATGCCTAGCCTTCAGGTCAGGGAGCTTTGGGACGTGACCGCTAATGCTGGAGCCGTGTTCCGGTTCAGAGTGTTTGAGCTGGAGGCAGAGCTTGTGCTAGAGACAACAATAGGGGCGGAGCTGAGCGACGAGGTTCGTGAGCTTTGGGACAAGGTGGCGCGGCAGCGGAGAGGGAAACACATGGTTGTAAGAGGACGGGTTCTCTATGAAGATGCCATGAGGGGATCACGTATAGGCTTTTTTCAGCGTCTCCGGCTCCTTGATCAGGCTCAGATGAGGGAGTGGAACACCTTCAAACTGTATGAGAGGATTTGAGAGAACAAAAGTGTGTATTAGAGTATGAGAGTTATAGAGCATGGACATATAAGAGTGTGGTAGTATATCGTAGTATGAGACTCCCACGAGTATCGGAGTATGAAAGAGTCATTGAGAGTAGATACTATCAAGTACATAAAAACACACATCGTACCGCCAACGGCTATTTCTCACACAGCGGCACGAATCAAAGCATGGATTGAGAGCAGACCCGAGAATCGTGAGCTGGACGTCGTAGATGCAGCCAACAGAGACAGTCACTGATGAATCTCATTTACTCACCCACCTGACCATGCGGCGGTCAATCCCAGTGCTTGATGAAGCGACCATTCCGAATCGAATGGGTGTTGCCTCTCGCATCACGCTTGCGACGGCTCCATTCGCCGGCGTGCCTCTTGGGTTGAAGATCAGCACGTCAAACCAAGCTAGCAACTACTAGTTTGTAAGTCTGCCTGGGTTTGACAGAGGCACCAAGAAACAGAACCTCGCACCGTGTCCATCAAGGAATTTTACAAAATAATGCAATATCAAGTGGACCACGTCAAGTCGTGACGTCGTCAACCCAGCAAGGCAATCGATCCTTCATCGCAACTCCATCAGACGTGAACCCCTCAAGGCGAGATATGCCATCTCTTGCCCGGGCCGAAGATCAGAAGAAAGAAAGACAGAGTCAGGGGCAGGAACAGACAATCTCCCGCCCATCAATGCCATGGACATTGGGGCCTGAGACATGTGCGTTTAAACCGATCTCGGGACGGACCCCAATCATAGAGATGCGATTCACCCAAAATTCCATGGGGAGGAGGCGTCGAAATTGGGTTGTTTGCGCGCTAGCACCAGCAGGTAGCGGCGCGCCGTCCGTTGGGCGAGGTGAGGCAAAGCAAGCCTCGACGTTGCGCCCTCCCGACTTACTGGCAGGTGTCAGATGCATGAAATCCAATTCAGACCGCATACGGGTGGTACAGCAAAGCTGAAATGAGTTGCAACCGGTTCTGATGGAGGTTAGTTTGGCTGAGGTGACCGCCCCGCGTGATGCGCCTCAACCCAACCTCTGCACCCTCCTGGCCTCTCCGGGCCACCTTAACCACCTGTCTGGGTGGCACACGGGGGGGCGGTCAGGCAGGTTGGGCGGGTCATGGGGTCTTGGACGGGCTGGTACGTGGCTGCACTGGCGGCGGGAAGAAAACTCCGATTGGAAATGCAGTTGCAGCGGGAGGAATGGAGGAGAAATTTGGGTGGTGATGTTAGGTCATGTTCCTCCAAGACAGTGTCTCTCGCGTAGTGATGGCGTCTTGTGGTACAGGCTTTCGGGTACGGATACTCGTACGAATGGGCTTCCCTGGCTGAAAAGGACGAGGTGATGATTCGGCCAAGGGGCCAGGTGACGCCATGCTGGGCCCAGATCCAGTCTGGACAGTTCACTGTGCATGGGGGCGCGGAGACCATGGGGAGCTTCCCCGCCCTCCAAGCAAATAGCCCCCGACACGCCTGAAGCTTGCTTGCTTGGTGCTTGCTTCCCGAGCTTCTGACAATGGGGGCGGAGAGCTCGTAGTGGTGGTGGTCAGTGAGTGACAACGGCAATGACAAGAGAAACGAAAAAAAGTCCGAGTAGTAGATAAAGGTCGCCAAGTCTCGCAGACTTCGGGATTTTTCGAGTGCTGTTGGGGATATCGTTGTTCTATCCGTGCCTCTTTTTCGCCTTCGATTCCGTGCTCCAGAGCCAAGACAGCAGGCAGCCAGCAGCTTCCCCGGATCTTCACTGGCGGCGCAGCTAGGTAGGGGGAAGGGGAAAAGAGAAAGACAGAAACCAGGCAAAGTCATAAAAAACGGGGGCCCTGAGGAAGACAGTGGTGATCCCTGTCAACGACGCAGCTCTGATCAGTGATCGTCGGGCGGCGGCGGTGGGTGGTTGCGGTGCCTTGCTGCCATCATCCCGCGGGCCACTCTCTCGATCAATCAGGTCCTGGCTTGTGCGGTGATCCGGACCCCGTTCTGGGTTGCGTGCTTCCGCGGGCTTGCGTTTGCTCGCTTCCTTGCTTGCGTTGCTTGGTTGCTCATCGCAGCTCGGCGTCAGCTTCCACGCCTCGTTGGAGTGGTTCCTGGCCGTCCCTAACCCACCAGATTCCCACCTTGGGACGGGTCCCCTGGGCTGATCTGCAGCACCCGGGCGAGGAGGGAGATTCCAGAATCCATTGCGGCGGCAGCAGCAGCGTCGTTCCCGCTCCCGTGCCGCCGCGGTCTAGGCATCGCGGCACGCAGGACGGAGCTGCACGAGGGTGGGAAGAACAGCAAAGCGCCCGGGCAAAGACGAGCAGCGCAGGGCAGCGCAGGCCGGGCTTGGACGGCAGGACGGCACCGCGGCACGCTCGGGCGGTCTCTGCGGGCTTGGGATCGGACTGAAATCGTTGGGTTGAACGTTATTTGTCGGCGGCGGCTCTGCAGCAATCATCGAGGGTGCAGCATTTCCAAGGAAACAAGAAACGCACAAGCCGACTGACTGCGCTCGCAGTGTGCTAGTGAAAGAAAGAAAGCGTTGAGTGTTGGCTGCCCGGCTGGGATTAGGGGTCCGGAAAGACAGACGGTGGACAGACAGCGTTTTGCAGTGGGTGGTGGGAGTGTTTCTCCTCGCATCGACTTTCCGCAGGTGCGCAGGGTGAATGCCTCCATCGGGACGGGCTCCAAGGTGCGTGTTTCCGATTCTGAAGGGTGGAAGTGAGTGGTGAAGGTGTGGATGGTGAAGATGAGGTGAAGCGAGGCGAGAGTGATGGGCGAATAGGGGGCCGAGGAAGCTGAAGCTCAGTCAATGCTAACCGAGGTGGCAGCCAGTTTCACCCAAGTCACGGATACCTGAGGGCGCTGCGACGTGCTTGGGGAGCATCGAGTACTCGTCTCTTAATGTTCCGGGGGTGCCCAAGGTTCTGCTGATAAGGTATCCTCCGACTTGTCTTTTGGGAGAACTCTCAGACATCTGAATCTCGTGGGAGACGGCGGACGGACGTCGGGATACCGGACAATAACAACCAACGGCGAACGGCACCGATAGCTGCCTTGCTTGAGGTGCTAGGTGAGGCGGAACAGAGTGGAAGGCTTCGTCTGAGAACAATTGGCACCCAGCAACCAGTGGGCTTTGAACAACGCAGCAGCTTTTTTCGAAAGGTATTATTAGTTGCAATTGTTCTTGTCTTCCAAGCTACTGCCTTAGAAAGACGCACGTAAAAGGGACAGAGAGACACCATCAAAAAGGTACGTGGGTACATCTCTCATTACGTCAGAAAGGTCTGGCCAGTCAATCCAAAGGAATCCAGTCAGGGAAAAAGGGGACCTGCGTCACCACCACCACCACCACCACCACCAATACCACCAAAAGAGAAAAAGAAACACAGACTGGACTGGACGTCGAAGTGGTGGACTGGGGCTGGAAACGTCCCATATTCCCGGGGGGGCATGCCGCATGAGAAACGCGACACACTTTCGAACCCTCTTCGAAGGCTTCAATGCAACCCTTTCCCTTCCTTTCTCTCCCGTCGTCTCCTGGATCTTTTTTTTCCCTCTCAATCTTCCCTCCCGACCCATCACCTAACTTACCTCTGTAACAAGCATTGCATTGCACCTGTTGTATTGCCACGCCCGCCCCGACGATATTGCTACCTCACCTTACCTACCTGGGTACCTTCTTATTGCCATTGGGTTGCCGATAATTCTATTACTCAGTCTGAACATCATTGCTTAATACCCTTGGACAACCAGGACCCCTCCAGATTGATTTGCGCCCCGATAAACGCAGCTCCAACACGATCGAGGACGGACGAGACCAAGGGACCAAGCCAAGGAAGAAGAAAAAAAAAGACACGAGGGTCTAAAGGAGGGTCTAAACACCACCTGTCGAGGGAGAGACGGACACAGCACACAACATCGGAGCTCTCACAGCTAAGCTTCCATCCGCCCACCACACCACACCTCTCTTAATAGTAGGGTACCTGGGCTATCGCTTGCCTCTCCCGCCATCCCACGGCGGATACCTTACCTCACCTCACCTACCTAGGTACTACGGGCATTTGCTGCACACAGTACCGCTATCGCTACCTGCCGCTGCCGCTGCCGCTGCCACTACCACATCCCGCACCACCCTTTCTACCCCCCGTCCACGTCCCCTTAAACGCGACCAAACCCACGAGACAAAACTCCCGACCCGACGAAACCTCGACCCCTGGAATTTGGGGGAACGCTCCGCGCGACGCACACATTTTCTCCTCGAGATAAATCGCCAGTAACTTAATTTTCCCTCCTTTCGACTCGACCGACGCCAATTGGCAATATTTCGTTTTGTCACCACCAAATTCCCCCTCGACAGCCGCCATGGCTCTCCTCGACGCAACGACGCCGCCGGCGGGGGGCCCTACGCTCTTTGGCATCACCATGAAGCAGCTCTCCCTCATCACGGTATGCGATCCGATGCGATGCGCGCCCGCCTCCCTCGCATTGCGCCTCTCCTTTTCCTTTCGATTGACACTGACAATGGCTTCGACTTGTAGTTGACCTTCCAAAACTCGGCATTGATCTTGGTATGTATCCCCCGCCAGACAGGAACACGACACCAAGCTAACCGCATCTCTGCCAGATTATGCACTACTCCCGCATCATGCCCCCGGTGAGCGACCACCGATACTTCACATCCACCGCCGTCTTCCTCAACGAGGTCATCAAGCTGTCCATCTGCTTGACCTGCTCCATCGCCGAGGTCTCCCGCACCCTGGCCCCCTCCACCCCCGCCACCGTCATCTTCGAGCAGATCTACAACCAAGTCTTCTCCGGCGACGGCTGGAAGCTCGCCATCCCCGCCACCCTGTACACTCTGCAAAACACCCTGCAGTATGTCGCCGTCGGTAATCTCGACGCTGTCCACTTCCAGGTGCTCTACCAGCTCAAGGTACGCTCTCGCCCGAGAGAGAGAGATCCTCTGCCCCCCGCAAACGTCATGACTCTCGCAAAGCTAACCCACCCGGCCCGCAGATCCTCACCACCGCCATCTTCTCCGTCACCATGCTCCGCCGCTCTCTCGGCATGAAGCGCTGGATCTCCCTCATCGTCCTGACTCTCGGCGTCTCCATTGTGTCCCTCCCCCAGCCCTCAGGGGCCCACTCCGGCGACGCTGTTCGCGGCAGCATCCTCCTCCACGATACCACCGACCACTTCTTCCCGCGCTCTGTTCACGAGCTCGGCCAAGCTGCAGAGGGCGCCGCCGAGGTTGCCCGCGAATTGACCAAGCGCGCCGCCGACGGCCTTGCTGGCGTCGGCGAGAATGTCGTCGGCAGCGTTATCGCGAAGCGCTCCGCCTCGTACCAGGGAATTCAGGAGGACCAGGACCTCGCCCCGCTGATGAACTATTCGATCGGTCTCTCCGCCGTCCTGGTCGCTGCCGTCGCATCAGGACTCGCAGGCGTGTACTTTGAGAAGATGCTCAAGGACTCGCCCACTCCCGCCACTGTCTGGACGCGCAACATCCAGTTGTCCTTCTACTCTCTCTTCCCCGCGCTCGCTGGTGTTATCTTCAAGGATGGCGAGGATATTGCCCGCCACGGCTTCTTCGAGGGCTACAATTGGGTTGTCTGGACTGCGATTGTGTTCCAGGCCGTCGGCGGCGTCCTGGCGTCGCTCTGCATCAACTACGCCGACAACATCGCCAAGAACTTTGCCGCGAGCATCAGCATCGTCATCAGCTTCCTGTTCAGCGTGTGGTTCTTCAACTTTGAGGTCAACTTCACTGTGAGTCTTCCCCGTGTCTTCCTGCATCATTACCTTCCAATACTGACGGCGCTAGTTCCTCGCCGGCACTGCCTTCGTTCTGGCCGCGACGTACCTCTACAGCATCCCCGACCGAAAGGGCCGCCCGCCACCAATCACCATCGCAAGCTACGAAAAGCCCATGGTCGATCCCGCCTACACGCCGCAGATCACGGACGAAGGAAAGCTGAACCTCGACCCCCTCGAGTCGGTGCGCAACATGGGTCTTTCGACGTCCAGGCCATCGTCGCCCATGCTGCACCACCACCGCGTCCCTTCAGCCAGGGGCAAAAACCGCGACGATTAATCTGGGGGATGTTTCCGATGTGTCACCGTGACTAGAACGAATATAAACCTCTGTTTTTAACGAATGGAACGTTGCGTTGGAACGGCGGGAGTCGAGGGATGGATTTCGAAGATGGGAAGATGTGAGGGAAAGTAACAAAAAATGGTCTGGATAATAAAAGGATCGGAAAGGGGGGGGCGAGAGGGTGGTTTGGTTCTGCTTCTCTTTTTTTGCGATTTTCCCCGGAATATTATGGGCATCTTGGGTCCCTGGAAATAGAGTCCGGCTTGCACTCGCACGCACACCACACTACAACCGCCATCACCACAACCACCACACACTCCACACCACAGTATCATCAACAGCGATACCCGGCTGAGCCGCAAGGCAGGCACAAGGTGCATTGTACATGGAACGGGCGCGGCTCCGCCAAACAGGGAGTTGGAGCCGGCGGAGCCGCTGCCCTGAAGTTTGTTTATATCTGCGAAAGAAGATGTTTCTTTGGAGCTGGGATTGATGTGTGGGTATACAGCGCTAGCCGCTCACAAATACAATCATGTTCTCTAGGTCGTGATTGGTGTGTATTGATCATGACGGGTGTGTTTCTGGGATAGTTGTGCAGCTCGAGTACCAGGCGTGGTCTCTTTCGATGGTCACATCTGGGTTTACACTGACTAGAGCTAGAATATCTTTGACTGTCGCATTGCATTGCAGCAACGCCATATCTAACTTGGACACCAATTTAAGACCCTTTTTCACACTATCATGGACTGATGCTCTCATGCGGAATATGCCGATCTTGGCAGTAGGAAACATGAAATCGCAACATAGCAGCGAAACCCTCCCAAAACGAGCGCGAACCATTGAACTCTTCAAATCTCAATAGCCTTTTCGGCCGTCACCACCGTCCCGGCAATCTCCTCACAACTCGCCCACACGAAGATGGTCTGGCCCGACAGAGCCTCCTGCACCGGAAAAACCAGCTCTTTGGCGGACATCAATCCTCCAGCTCGCCCTCTCCAAAAGAACACGAGCTTGCCGTCGGTCGTCTCTGCGGCCAGGTTCACCAAAGGCACTGTACCCTTCCATGTTGGCACCTCAGCATTCGAACAGCCCAACACAGCCCTCACGATAAGGCCACGCTCGTGGTCTCTCTTTGGGATATCGAGATGGAGCACCAATCGGGGAAAGTGCCCCAGAGTGCGGACAATCTTCTGCCCAAAAGGAGGGTTCCGAGAGAGCAGCCGCTCAATGTGGAAGAACTCAAGCTTCGCAAGCTGGCGGACGGTTCTGATGCCGTGCTCGACAAGAACCTCAACCCTTTTCGGGCCGATGTCGGGGATCTGGAGCAGCTCTGTGGGCATGCCCTCCCAGCTGCCCGCGGCGACGGCACGCCAAAGCTCGAGGGTCCGGCGTAGCCCGGCGGCGTCCTTCCGCGTGGCGGCCCCCATGATATCGGCACATGCGCGGAGGACGTGGCCGAGCGTCTTGACGATGCGGGGTTTCGTGGCGAGGAGGTCCTGGCGAGCGGCGAGGGGCAGACGGTCGCCGTAGTCGCGGCCGGCGGCCTCGCACTGGGCGACGAGGTAGACCTTCTGCCAGGGCTGGGCGAGGGTCTCGCGGACGGGCCAGCGGGTGGAGGGGTCGTTGTTGATGCGGGAGAAGGCGCCCTTCTCTTGGGGGTGGAAGGTGAAGGAGCGGAATTCGGTGGCGGAGGAGGCGCAGCGGAGGATTTCTTCGGGGGAAGGCGCGCGGGGTAGGCGGGTGAGGGCGTGGATTGTTGGTGGTGAGAGCTTGTGACGGAGCATGATGGTGTGGTGCTCCGGGGAGAGTTGTACGGGGTGCTTGGGGGCGGGTTGGCTTGACAGAGGGGGGCCTTTGGCCTGCGAAGGCTGTGAGGCAATCGGAGGAGGCATCGCTGTGTCGATGGTGAGGTGAATGAGAGCAAAAAGTGTAGCGGAAGACTGGGAAGAGATGATACTTCAGAGTGCGATGTTGATGGTGCTAAGAAGATGCTCCTTCCGTCCCCGTGACTTTGGCTCATGCTTTTCTGATGTTGATAGAAGGTAGGGCAGGTCCATACAATGAGCAACTGCTCCTTCTTTCAAACTCATTTTGCATGTAGCGGGGGCGTACCTTCTCTTTACCCCCTACCAGAATCCTGGAAGTGGCTCAACGATGGACATGAGACAGGCAGGCAGGTGCCTCGACGAGAAAGGCAGTCTCCAAGGCCTGCTGTCATAAGAGCGGACTCCGACAAGGAGCAACACAGCATTGCGAACAATGGCAACGGCACCCATGCAATCCTTGGGGGGTCGTGATATTGAAGGACATGGGAATGATTGTGGATTATCTCACTGATGACTACGTGGTCCGCGACTTTCGGCAGATCCACGCAGTCTCGACTTGGTCTGGATATCTATGCTGCTACTTGCAAACCGACATTGAATCCATCTTCTGTGGGCGACCGAGGATCTGTGAGCTCGCCCTCGTTGCCGTCTCTATCGTTATTACTGTCGCTACTGTCGTCGTCGTCGTCGTTGTCGTCTCTAATCACTGTGATCCACTGTCATCCTTAACGGAAGTAAATCTCGAATCCTTCAGGTATGCGTGAAGTGTAGCCGCGCAGGCACAAAATATTAAGCGGTCTCTTGAGAAATTCCAATACGCGAAGGCCACTAACGTTGTGAGTGCAGTGGAGGGCTTCACATAACTTGTCGTCTGAGGTGCGTTCTGCCAAACTTCTATTCAGTTCGACTTACGACAGCTTGAAATCTTCGATGCGATAATGTAATGTTCTTGCTCAGATCGTTTGGGGCGATTCCAAGCCAGAGACAAGGTATATCCCCACGGACATCGCTCTCGAGTGTGGAACGACCGCTTTGGAACCCTCGACGCGAATTTTAGGTCGTCGACTTAGTAAGGGAGAAGACCAAGAAGAACAAGTCAAAGCCAAAATCTGAGCCGTCCTGGACAACACCTGTCGCACGGCTGCCAACAAGCCAAACTCTTCCCATAGCCCCGGATAAGGTAAGATAAAGGTAGCGCGGACAGTGGAGCTGAGATCGACTCGTCCCAACCTTCAGCTCAAGTCAATACGACGAGACACAGATCCTCGTCTATTGAGACGTAAACGCGGAGAAGGTTGTTTTTGCGCTTATCCATCACATCACGATGATCTTGGGGACTGGGTCGTTCCCGACTTCAGCTTGGTGTTCACGGTGTTTCGGCTGAAGGTCGTTAGCGGGGCTGTGGTCGGGACGGCTAAGGAACCGGGGCCCAGCGCGGGCGGGACTGGCCGGGGCTTGTGCCGGTACTTCAGTCCACGTCACAGTATCACCCCTGCCCTGCGCGGGGCGGCGGCGGCGTCGGCGTCGGGTGACACAGCTGTTGGCCTGAACTCAGTGTCGAACCAGACCTGACGCACAAGGGCAGTGGGGCCCGATGCTGGCATTGATGATCCTGGTCTTGTTCCTGACAAGAGGTGGACTGTCACTGGCTGCATGGCTCTGTTCAGGCGTCCAGGGGATGTCCCTCAAACTTGGCAAACCGGGAAGCGGCGATTTCTGATTTCTGCAGAGCAGCAGAGTTGACGCGGCGCCATGTTGTGCACGCGTCTCTCTCAGCGAGGCTTGCGAGGTGCGAGGGCAGAGTCATGTGTGGCGCCAGGCAGGCCGCGACCTTCATGAAGACACCGACCGTTGGACTTGACGTGTTCCACGTGTGCGACTACTTCCCGACGTCATACCAAGTGCTCTTTGAGATCCAGCAGAAGCTTGAATGAGAGTAACGAACCATCAGCCAATGATTGCCGAGAAGGAGGAAAGCTGGGTGCTTATGTCTCGGATGCAGCAGCAGGGCGAAAGACAGCGGATAACAAACATGCACCAATCATGGAGGTAAGGTACGCAACTGTCAGAACTTAAGTCAAGTGAGCTTTCGCTTCATCTTGACATCGGTATCGGTATCTGTGCAGTGCCTGTCGACGGCATGTGGGTGACATCCTCCCCGATCCACTGACAACTTGGAAGTCGTGACCTGGGACCGAAGCTGACGGGAGTGTGCTTTCCCCGACCAGATTTCTTTTCCATATCCAGGCACCCCTGCCCCTGCTCCATGTAGCTCTTATCTCTTATCGCACCTCACCTTATCTGGTGTGGACATGAACAGGCAGGCACAGCCAGCACACCACACAGAGACAAACAGAGGCAGCCAAGACATGACGAGAGAGCAGCTGCTCGTACAACCATTCACGCCTCCATCTGCTCAACCAACCCAAGACAGGAGCACAGCATGCGCCTGCCGCCGCCCACACTTACCTCCGAACGCCACCCAGACCGGGTGTGTGACATCGCTCTTTCCCCATCGGGGCCTGCGTCGCTGCCTTGAAAGGCACCTTCGCGATGGATGGGGATGGTGAGGAAGGCAGTGAGAGGGACGGACACCTTCTGCAGGTGACAACCAGCCCCTCCGTCTACCGACCTTAACTTACCTACCTTAGATAGGTATAAAGACGTGGGCCGTCGTCCTCTGTCGTCCGCTGTCGTCCTCGTCGTCCAGCATCATCACCCCTCACCTCCACCATCGATCGTCTCTTCTGTTGTCTTTCCCGTCTTCTGCCTACGCATTCACAGCTATCCCACCTGAATAAACACCACTCAACGTCACAATGTCCCACGTCTGCTACGTCGTTCCCCCCTACCTCCTCCGTGGCATAGCCGACGCCCAGTGCAACGAGGATCATGTCAGAGACGCTGCTCGCCGTGCTCTAGAGCTCCGCGACCAGTGGACCGCTCGCCGTGCCGAGCGTATGGCGCTTCTTTGCACTCCCCGCGGCGCTCGCCACGCCCACGTCCCCATGGTCCCCCAGAGCATCGTCCCAGACTTTCTTCTGAAGCACATCGCCGACAACGAGGATGTCGACCAAGAGACGCGCGCCCATGCCCGCCGTGATCTCGAGCACATCCAAGGTGTCCAGCGTCAGTACCAGCAGACCCAACAGGGCGAACAGAAGGGCCTCTCCCAGGATCAGGATCCAGCGTCGTCGTCGTCCGTCTCCGCCCTCGCCGCCGCCGTCCCCGGAAAAGAGGACCCGAAGACTCCAAAGACGGAGAAGTTCTACAGAGCCATCTACGACGCCAAGAACACTGATAACGAGCAAGAACTTCCTGGCAGCGTCGTCCGTGTCGAGGGACAAAAAGAGACGAAGGACAAGGCCGTCAACGACGCCTATGACAACGTGGGCGAAGTCCTCAAGATGTACAAGGAGAAATTCGACTGGGTTTCCATCGACAACAAGAACATGAACGTCATCAGCTCCGTCCACTTTGGCAAGAAGTACGAGAACGCCTTCTGGGACCCCGAGCGCCTGCAGATGGTTTTTGGCGACGGCGGAGAGTTTCTGAATAACTTCACCGGCACTATCGATGGTAAGTCTCCTCTCCCCTGGTTAGACGACGACGACAACAACGACTACGACAACAAAGGACGACGAAGGACGACGAAGGATAACAGAAGCTAACGGCAGCAGTCATCGGGCACGAATTGACCCACGCCGTGACCGAGCACACCAGCCCCCTGGACTACCAGGGCATGAGCGGCGCTCTAAATGAGCACGTCTCCGACGTATTCGGCATCATGGTGAAGCAGATCGTCGAGAAGGAGACCGCCGAGGATGCCGACTGGCTGATCGGCGAAGGCTGCATTATGCCTGGCGTCAAGGGGGTTGCTCTTCGGAGCATGAAGGAGCCCGGCACCGCCTACGACGACCCTCGTTTCGTAAGTGTTCCTCGTCCCCCGTCTCTGTCCCCCGTCTTCGTCCGTCTTCTTCGTCCGCCTTCTTCGTCACCCGTCTTCGTCCTCCGTCTCCGTCTCTATTGGGCTTACTAACCGTCCTTAGGGCAAGGACCCCCAACCGAATAACTTCAAGGACTACGTCCCCACTTTCGAAGACAATGGCGGCGTTCATATATACTCCGGAATACCCAACAAGGCTTTTTACCTAGCCGCTAAGGGATTCGGGGGCTTCTCGTACGAGAAGGCGGGCCCCATCTGGTGGAAGACCATGCAGTCAGGTCGCATCCCGGCCCGTTGCACCTTCATCCAGTTCGCTGATGTGACTGTCGAGGTCGCAGAGGAGCTCTATGGCGATGAGGCTGGAAAAGTCGTTCGCGGCGCCTGGAATGAGGTTGGGGTGACCAGAAAGGGCAACTAGGAGCCAAAGCCAGACCCAGGCTGCCCGCCCATGTGAGGGGATAGACGCATTACACCTATAACCCTGGCCTGAGTTATCAGATAAACAATAGTCAGTATGAATAAGCCAAGGATGACCGAGGACTCCGCCAGAGACAAGAGTGATAGTGACAGCGCCCAAAAGAGACCGTGACCAGAAGGGACCATGACCAAAAGTAAAAGCTAGAGACGAGAGCAACATGAGGAAACAGAAGTGATAACGGCTAGAAGCAACAGCGGGTGGGGTGGGGTGGGTGTGACAAGCAGAGACGAGAGCAACAGTAAGGAACTGAAGTAGCAACGACTACAAATGATAACGAGCAGATAAAGTAATAACGATTATGTAACAGCCAGAGACAAAAGAAACAGCGAGAAGCAGAAGTGAAAATGACCAGAAGTGGTGGCGACTGGGTGTTGGTTACTGGAAGTGAGAATTATTGGCAGAGACAGAAGTGGTACACACAAGAGAGTAAAATTTAAACCAGAGACAGAGCTGGAAATGGAGAAAAGAAAAGGATAATAGGGCTGACAATGGCATCTGTTCTTACATAAGCCAAGCCAGCTTTTCCTGTTGATCCTTGACTCTGGATCTTCTCTATTGCCTCGTGATGAATGCAGTAGGCGACTGAGGATGTCAATCGCGGAGACCGGCGTTCACCCATTTCGCCGTCGGCGATTGTGGAGAGGAGAAAATCGCCGACATGATTCCCTGCAAAAGTTCCTGCGACTGGTGAAAAGAAAGCCAAGTCCTTTAGGGTCCATAGATTCCGAGCTTTGCATCAATCAACAAATGGGCTGCTGCCAGATTACCATAATAAGCACGAGTTGCCAAGAATTTCTTACACGGGTTCCAAGGCAGGCGTGGACACCAATGAGGCTGTATCAATCCAACACACGACACTGCCTGCAGGCACTCCCCTACTGTGAGACTCTCATTCCGGAGCAAGGAGGATTGAAAATCGAGAATTAGATTCCCAAAAACTCCGATAGGGGTTCTGGCGTCCCTGCCTTGAGCCCCAAGGCTGAGCATCCGGGGACTCAGCTACGGGTTGCTGAAGACGCAAAGTAACTATGTATCCCGTCCGCCGTACCGCGCGGGACATCTGACTCGTCTGCGGCTTGGCAGATCGTCTTGGAAGATCACCAGCATCGTTGTAGACTCGCGTGCGTGTGTGGCCTGGAAATAGCACTCTAGAGATCGCCTGGTAGCTTGGGATGCTGTGGTACAGCTCACCTTGGCATCGTCAAGACGGAACTTTCATGTTGAATTTCCATTAGCTTTTGTAGTATAATAGTATCGGCATCACTTCTTCATGGTTTCAAAGCATTTCTTCGTTGAATCAAGTCATATCAATACATCATCTGATCCTTTTTACACAAACACCCAAGAGCAAGACATCACAAGACAGCGAACACGATGACGAAGACAACGGCCAGGACGGCCAGAGTGATTCTCTTGCTCGTTCTCCTCATCATATTTGGAGGTGCCGCGACTGGTCTCACATTTGCACCGTGTTATGCGACGCTTTGCCCCGAAGACTTCTTCGCTTTCGAGTCGAGGATCCATATTGCGATATTCTACGGCATGCTCGGCGCCATCAGCCTACTACTTCTCCTAGGTTCATCATTTCGAGCGGTGGAGAGATGTGGCAACCTCACTCTGATCTCTTCTCTTCCGCTCATCCACAAAAGAGTTACTCTCGGTGGACTCATAGTTATCGTTTGGATTGCCTGTGTCACAATGGCGACCACAGCGATGTGGCTGCCTGCGCACTGGCGATACTGGGAAGAGCGTACGGATCCGCTCGACTGGATGTCGGCCAAGATCGCCCTCACTGTCACGGGAGTTACTGGTCATTACGCTGACATACTCCTTGGCCTGTCCATCGTCCCGGTCTCGAGAAACAGTCTCCTCGGCCATGCCTTTGGGGTTCATCAGAGCACACTGCTATATGCGCACAAACTCGCCACGTACATGTGCACCCTTGCAGTCCTTGCCCACGGTGTATGCTACGGTGTAAGTCCCACTCCTCCGGATACATCTTGTCATCACATCCCCTAACAAATGACCAGATCTTCGCCTTGGACCCTAGCAAAGACGAAGACGAAGCAAAGCTGCAGCTGTTCAGCAGCGGCAACCCGACAATGACTGAGCTCGAGAGCCAGGAACGGAGCGCGTGGTACGGAACGGTGACATACACGGGCGTGGGCACCTTCGTCTGCATGCTCATGATCGTCGCCACCGCGCTGCCCAGGATCCGGCGGCTGCACTACAACACCTTCTACAACGCCCACATCGTCTGCAGCATCGCCACGTTCGTCGGCGCCAGCATCCACGCCAGCTCGGACTTTTACCTCCTGCTCCCGGGGCTCTCTCTCTGGGTGGCTGACTGGGTCTGGCGGCTCTTCCGCGGAGAGGGCGGCTCCTTGCGCAAGCAAGTTGCAGTCTTGGAGAACGCCGGCAGCGGGTGGTACCGCGTCTCGCTCGGGGCGAGGGCCAAGTTCGAGCTTGACTCGGCGTCGGAGGCGGAGAGTTCCGCGCCGGCGGCGGGGTGGCCACTGGCTCTGTACTATCTCAGCATACCGTCGGTCAGCAGGCTCCAGAGCCACGCGTTCACGGCCGCGGTGTCGAGTACATCGCAGTCTGAGCCGGTGTTCCTGTTCCGACGGTCGCAGGGCAAGAAGTCGCAGAAGGCGTTGGAAAAGGAGTGGACCTGGGCGGTGGGCTCTCTGGTCGGCAGCGTCGGGCTCCAGCGACAGCTCGATGTTCGGGTCGAGGGGCCTTATCAGCCCACAGATACGGGGTTCGAGTTAGCCTCGCATGTCATTTGCATCGTCGGCGGAACGGGTATCACTGGCGCGCATAGTCTTGCCCTCTGGTGGCTGAAGGCGAGGAGCATGGCGGGAGATACCAAGTTCAATCTCGTGTGGACCGTCCGCGAGCGTGAGTCGGTCAATGTTCAAGAATGGTTTGATCTCGTGAAGGCGGCGGGGTCTCAGACGAACATGACGGTCTCAGCGCACGTCAGCGCGGAGATGGGACGGCTGGATCCGCAAGCGTTTATCCACCAGAGCCTTGGCCTGGGAATGGCGACTGACGGACGTGAGAAGGGAGCAGTTTCTACTGGGACAGCTTGGGTGTACAGCTCTGGGCCTGGAGGCCTTCTCCAGGCTACTCAAAAAGCGTGCCAAGCTACAGACAAGGATATTCGTAGATTGGTCAGAGATCAGGCCCCTGTTTCTGTGAAGGACATCAGTTGGTACATTGCCAAGTGGGAGGTTTAGGCCAGAGGCGCTGGCAGAATAGTTTTGCGGCAAGAATGGCGTGGACACTGAAGGAGACCATTTTGATGCAATATTTCCGACGAAAATAAGGAACCTTCGTAAAATATTTTATGTAGCAAGCATAGATCCCAATTAAAGCTTGAGTGTTGTATAATTGCATCGTAGGTCGATTTCGTCATCTGTATTTTAAGGATACTTAAAGGGGGCCACCTTCATCTCGGAACGTGTAGCTCATCTATGGTTATTCGTCATCCGGGTTTCCATTAAGAGGGCTCTCGGGCCGTGGTGGGGCACTCACTCCGCGTCTCCAACATCGGCACCCTCCCTCGGCCCGAGCTGCCCAAAGTGTTAGTAAACGACCCTCATCGTCTTGTCATGCCTAGTAAGACCCAAGTGATTCAATCGGTCTGAAGCAAATGTAATTACGTCTTGCAGTCACAAACGCAAACATAAGCTTGCCGAAATATGGCTGTTGCTCCGAGGTAGTTTGCCGGCCCGAGACCTCGACTGAAGAAAGACCACTCACCTTGCCTCAGATCACAAAGCGACTGCGTGAAGACTTGCGAATGTTGTACATACGACCAACTTCAAACAACATCTGCCATACACTATGCTTTCTACCGTGAGGCGTGCTTCCGCTCCTCCACTTCGGCGCTCCTTGGGGACCACCAGACACGGAAGCCGCAATGCATCAACATCTGCACGGCCACCTACATGGTGGAGGCAGATGAGATCGTCGGCACAAGATAGGAACATCATCAGACTCGTAAGTGGAGGTGCTGGCTTGGGAATCATTGGGTTGATGTTGACGGGGCGGGCTGATTCAACGTCAACGGATGATCCTCGAGACCTGAGAGCGCTATCCTCGGTGCCCTTAAGTAAGCTCTTCTCGGGATGGATGTAAGTTGTTCGCTATAGAAGAGAGCTTTTTTCTTTGCGAGAACGAAACCCAAGTTAACCACATGAATCAGTGCGTTCGCATTTTGCTCCTGGCCAGGTTGGGTCAATGCAAGCGAGTCTCTCTACAACTTCATGTCCAAGGTCCCCATCATCTCCTCAATCACTCACAGATTCGTCATGGGCACCTTCTTCAACCAGTTTCTTGGCGGAGAAACGACTGAAGAATGCATCCCAAAGATCAAGGCGCTTCGCCAAGAAAACATCGGTACTCTGCTCGGCTACAACATCGAAGCTGAACTCGGCGGCTCCAGCAAGGATCCCGACCTAATCCTCGCCCAGACCCAGCATGTGTTCTCCTCCATCGAGGCGCAGGGGAGACTTGCAAGAGAGTTTTGGCCAGATACCGCCGCCACCGGAGGCGACAACAGATGCTGGGTCAGGATCAAGATCACCGGCCTTTTACCTCATCCTATTGCGCTGTACAACGGTTCCAAGGCAATTCTGGCTGCGAGAGGCGCAAAGGGTTTGGATGAGAATGTTCCGTATCCAGGCCTGCCCCACGACGGCGACTGGGACGCCGCGCTGAATGGCCAAGGCGTCACTCAAAGTGACCGTGAGCAGCTCCTCAGGCTCCGAGCCACCATGGAAGCCATCGCAGGCAAGGCACGAGATAACAACGTGCGCATCGTCATTGACGCGGAGCAGACCTGGTACCAGCCAGTCATTGATGCTCTCACGGACGAGCTGATGCAGAAATACAATGCCTTCGATGGCGGTCCAGCGACCTGCATCGCCTCGTTTCAAGCCTACCTGCGACGCTACCCGCAACTTCTTGACCAACAGATTCAGCGCGCGGAGGAGAAGGGTTACAAGCTGCTCTTCAAGCAGGTAAGGGGGGCGTACATGGTGACCGAGGCAGAGAGGTGGGAGAAGGAGGGTCACAAAGGGCCGGGTGCGGTATGGTCAACCAAGGAAGAGACAGATGCGAGCTACAACTACGGCATTGAGAAGGCGCTCTCGACCATTGGGGAACAAGTGCGCCAGACAGGGGCTTCTAGATTAGGGGCGGTCTTTGCCACGCACAACTCCATCAGCGTCGATCTCGGGATTCGATTGCTGGAGAATTACGGGCTGGCCAAGCGGCAGGAAGAGAGTGGGAAGCTCCTGCTTTCGAAGGAGGCGGCGGGAAGCATTGCTTTTGCTCAATTATACGGTGAGCATCAGAATCCCGAGTTGTTGAAGCAGCTGACTGACTTCGTTCTAGGAATGAAGGACGACCTCACGAATAAGATCACTGGATCTATTGAAGCGCCGGGAGGCTTCGTGCTGGTTGTCAAAGTGAGTCTTGATCTTTCAACCCATTACCCGCAAACTAACACAGTGATTAGTCCATGAGCTATGGCGACCTGCGCGAGTGTCTGCCCTTTCTCGCCAGGAGAGCGACCGAAAACAAGGCGGTTCTTGAGGGGAGAGGTGGTGCAATGGCAGAGAGAGTCCGACTGGGGCGTGAAATTAGAAGACGGTTTACTCCTCTGAATTAGCTCAGGGGCTGCTGCTTAGTTGGTTCTCCCGTGTCATCAGAATAGACATTGACTTTTACTTTCACATACGATTGGGACAGATGATTGTGCGTTGAAACCGGCAACTATATTCACAGAACCAGGAGCTTACAAGCCCCTGATGCCTTTGAAAGTATTTACATGAATTGTGTACTTCTCAGTACTCTGCAACCGCGGGCGGCCGGAAGAAAAAAGGCCGCCACGACGGAAGGCAGCAATAGCGCTCTTCTCATTACCCACTGCAGGGTTTCTTCTCTTACTAGACCACTTAGAAGGTGAGGGTCTGGCCAGCGGTGCCGACGACGGCAGCCTTGACCTTGGAGGAGCCGAGGAGGGTGTAGCTGTAGTCGGGCTTGGTGAAGGTGCCCTTGGGGGCGTCGTTGGTGGAGCCACCGAGGTCGACGTCGTTGACGACAGCGTAGCCGGTGCTCTTGGAGTCGAGGAAGGTGATGGCCTTCTTGGTGTCGGAGAAGACGGAGGACTCGATGAGGAGCTGGGCGCCCATGCGAGTGTTGACACCAGAGGTCTCGAGCTTCTCGGCGTAGTTGTTGAAGATGTGGACGTTACCGAAGCGGACGGAGGGGTTGCGGGAGCCGACGTTGGACCAGTGGTTGTTGGCGTAGGTGACGTAGAGCTTGCCGGTGTCCTCAGCAGAGTTGGAGTCGGAGTGGCCGACGAGGGAGCCCTTGTAGTGGTCGTGGATGTAGGTGTTGGAGACGGTCACGGCCATGGAGGCGTGGGTGATGTCGAGCAGACCATCGTAGTAGTCCTTGCCGTTGTTCTTGTCGGAGGACAGGTCGCAGTGGTCAACCCAGACCTTGGAGGAGGCCTGGATGCCGATGGCGTCACCGTTGTCGGCGAGGACCTTGGAGATCTTCATGTTGCGGACAATGACGTTCTCCTGCTTGTTGATGTACAGACCGACACCGGTCAGGGAGGAGCCGGCGGCACCGATGATGGACTTGTTGGAGCCGACCTTGACCTTGGTGGCACCGGTGATGGCGCCCTTGACGACGATGACGGCCTTGTCATCGGAGGTGGCGGCAGCGGTGAACTGGGCCAGGGTGGAGACGGTGGTGGTGGTACCGCCGGAGCCACCGGTGGTGCCGGCGCCGTAGCCAACATCGCAAGCGTCGGTGATGGCAGCACGCTTGCCGACGGTGCGGGGGTCGACGGCGGCGCCGTCACGGACGGTAGGGGTGGGAGTGGCGCTGGCAACGGAAGCCAGGAGGGCCAGGGAAGAGGCGATGCCGGAGAACTTCATCTTGACTGTTTCGAGCTTGGGGTTTGGCTGATTTGTGGTTGTTGGTGGTTTTCGTAAGAAAAAGAATGTGTTGACGGTCTACGTCGAACGAAGGTATGCAGTGAGAGTTGTTTGAGGTAGGGAATGAATGCAAAGAGCGCGAGAGCTGAAAGACTGAAGAAGTGAAGCGGGATGGAGAGCAAGAGAAAGTCTGGTATGAAGTCGGATGGGACGAGGGTCTTAAGTATTTGTCGCCATCAACACGCAAGGGAGCTCTTGGCTAAGCTTCTCGTGCCAAGAGCCAAGACCTCTTCTGTAGAAGCTTGGGTACACACACCCGCTCTCTCTCTCTTTGTCTGCAACGAAAGGAGGGCGTCTGCTTGGCCAGCGCCTTGCTTGCGTACGCGTGCTCTCCTTGGGTCTTGGCCCAGGATCATGGTGGTGCCAAGCGGAACCATACCGAGAGGAGGCTCTTTGGGGCCATTCGCGCAAATGCAACGCTGTCTTGGCACTTGCGTACGTCTTGGGCCTGGACAGGGCGGGCAAATGATGGTGATCCTTGGCGGGTAAGGGATTCGAAGGGGATGCCAAGACAGACTTGCACATCACGTTGAGATGATGGTGGTACACGACATGGCGTCACGGTGAGAAGAATGGGTTGTGCATGCACCCAGACACCATGGAAGGCGGAGGTTGTGAAGGGAAAGGATGAGCTTGTGAATGGCACGGTGGGAACGAAGCGGTTCCCGGGCCCCGATCTGGCTGAATCGCACGAATGAGGACGCGGGCTCGGGATGGAGTGGACGGGCATGTGGTACGAGGGAGTGGTGGTTCGTTTGTTTAGGGGAAACGAGGCCAGGAGGTATTTGTCGATATTGATCAGGCAGGCTAAGCCAGTAAGAGCGAGTTGACGTTTGGAAACGGACCAGGGGGTGATGATGGAAGTGGGTGCGAAATGAAGTCAGGGGATGAGTGATGGGATGGCACAGAGACATGGGGTTTCTTACCCATCCCAAAGAACGGCCGCATGGGTTCGAGATGGGCTGAGCAAGGGTCTCTATTGACGAAAAAGGTTTTTTTTTCTGCTCACTGTCAAGCGGCAATAGGGGGCGGCTCGGGGAAAGGCCCAGCGCCACGGGTGGAGGTATCATGGATTCATGACGGCGACTGGAGCCTCACGACTCACATCGGATGAAGGCGAATTCGCTACCCGAAAGGCCTCCCCGGGCCCCCGGGGCTGTTCTAGACGACAGGGCGTTATTAGCAGCGAGCCAATAGTGCAAATATTGTGCGGGCTGGAAGACCGAGAAGGGGAACAAAGCCATATTGCATTATTGCGTACTTGGGCCGAAAACCAACTCCCGTCGACTTCACCGGGGTTCTCAAGGCGACTCGCTCCCACTTACCGCGGGGTCCAACACCAAAGTGTCCGTACACTGGTAGCGTAGTGTATCCGTACAGAAATAGCTGTCGGTTACCAATATCGAGTGCTACGCCGTCGTCTAACTGGACCTGGGACTCCAGTCTAGCAGAATCGGGAAGCTGGGTCTCCTGGTCGTGACCGTTTGCGTTGGTGGCCGTCCCTGTTCGGAGGAGGTTCCGGGCGATGGTCCGGGTTGGAACGGTCGAGGGTCGGGGGCCAGGGCACCGAACGGGAATGGACGGGTGGGGCCCATGCTCCCAGCGTATATTAAATTTAAAATCAGGTAGAGTTGTGGGGGCAGGGATCTGTCTCAGATAAGGTATTTTCTCCGTCACTAACATCGACTTGTGGCGAGTCGTGCTGCCTTTGGTACCCTTTCTCTGTACTGCCAGCGAATAGACGCTGCCCTTTGAGCGCATTGCGCCGCTTTCATTGTTGTGATTTCTCTAGTCCGAGAGATGTGGGCATCTTGCTTCCTTCTCCGTGGAGATTCGGCTTCAGGTTGTCGCACCAGTATGCGCCTCGATGCGGGATTGATTGCAGATGTCACCCGCGCACCACCACCGCCGCCCAGATGTCAGCCAACACGCCAACACGCCAACACGCCAACACTCTCGGCGGCTACGGTACACGAGTACCTACACGAGTATACTCGGGTCTGCTTCTCCTTTTGTCTGCCCAAGCCTCTGCATGCAGCGGCCGACGACGACGACGAAATCGTGGAGTTGAGGTGGAGACTTACGGGATTTCAGGAGAATTTTCACACATTCTCCGCCTGCGCCAACTCGGTGAGAATAGGTCCCAAAAGAAAACCATCAACTGCCGGACCTAACGACCCTTCTTTCTGGGTGCACACTAACGAGCATTTGGACGACAGCTGTTGTATCCGTATCGGGGAGCACGGAGCCTGCCTCCGCAGTCCCGGCTCCGATACTTTTCGCTCCCAGCTGAGGAGCTGTCAATTGAGTTCAGGACCTTGCTCCGCATGTCAGGTACCTGGCGCTGTGTATATTGTATATGTCTCTGCTTGGCTGTTTCCCAGGTACCTCTCCTCGCCCGACCGACCTCGGTCTCTTTTACCGCGTGGACTCCGTGGAAGGCGAAGACACTGCTCATTGGCGGCGTTACACGAAATATTGGCCATGAATTTGCAGGGTCGGAAATTAGGAGGCGAATCGCATATTGTCAGGCACGACGCGACCGCCGTTTGGTGCCAACGACCAGCGCAGTCTCGAGACTCGATTTCACTTGGCGGGAAAGGGTACTTGGCAGGCTGGCAGGTTGGGCAACATTTGACACCACCCTCTTTCTCTTGGTTAATATGGAAGTCGGCACATTAAGGTCTTGTCCTTTGTCTTTTTCCCTGCGTCTTGTTTCTGGGGAAGAGGAAGCATGTCATCCCATTCCCGGCGCCTACCATAGCTTAATCCCGTAGCGCTCAACCTTGATGATCTTAGAACGCCCGTTAATGTTGTAACAGGAGCTAGAACGTCTTGCCTCGAGTAGAAGGTTTTTTTTGTCGTCGGTACGTATCCGAGAGATGTTCCCTGACGGCGGTCCTCCTTACGACGGGAGAGCGCCCATATGATGTCCTCCCCCTCGGTCTCAGCCCACCCACCCACACACTTCCAAGTTCGATACCTCACTCCACTATCCAGGGGAACATTGGACGGCCGACGTGATCTGATTATGCTCGGTTGCCTCCTTGGCTCTTCTTTTGGGGACGTCGGCGAACACACATGACCACGTCCGCAGACTCCGTACGTGTTGAGCGAGCAAATTTGCCCACCAATCCCTACAAATGTCGGACATTTCTCAATCGCCGAGGTATTCTTTGCAGAAGAAGCTTTGTTTGTGTGACTCATGAAACATCCAAATTGTGCATCTGGCGACTAAGCTAAGGTAATGGAACGTGCCCCTCTTAACTATTTTTCATTATCATATTATGCCCCCAACCAGTTCATATCCGTTTCCATGCGCCGCCCTGCACAAACATGCTCTAGCCGCCGTGCTACACGTGTACAACGTATTGCCATTCGGCGGAAAAACTAACGTGCGCAATTAACCTCACGCTCCCGTCGGCTCCTACAGTGCTCTACCACTGGACCCCACATCCACGACACACCACACCCTCTCGTTCTGAGCCCCAAAATGCAGTGTGATACCATCTCCAACTCTGGCATCCTTCAACACTGACGTTCTGGTTGCTTTTCAACGACTGTCGTTGAATGATCGAGGTGCCAAGCCTCGATGCCAAGACGGATATCTCGGTGGGCTGGGCGGTCTCGAGCCACCCTGGGTTCCCAATGGCCAAGACACGTTCGAGCTGATCAGTTCTTGGCCCTCTTTTTGACAGCCCAGCGTGCCAATCCTGCGTGTAGATTGTGAAGGGGACAAAGGAGGAAAAAGAAAATCTGGGCCACGAGGTCCCGCCAAGCCATCCAAGCATCCTCCCGAATGGCAGGCTGCACGTTCCTGGGCGCCAAGAAACCACCAACACCAACCCATCCCCAACGGGCGCCACCCTTTTGCAATAATTTTGGAATATTGGAGATTGAGATCACGAACCTCAAGGGTGACGGGGCCTGGCTGCGACAGTCAAGTCTCCACCAGAGGGCGGAATTCGAAATCCAGGAACGGCGGGCAGACATGGACACGCCGGTAGCGGAGGGCGCCATGCGTATGTGGGATACGGCCAGCGGGCAGATGGTCTCCCCGGGGATTCGTCATCGTCCACATCTCGTTTTCGCCATTGTTGATGGGTGGGAAATTTGTCGACGCCCGTCGTTGATGCAGGTTTGCTTGACTTTCTCTCCTCACCGCTGCTCACATCTTGTTCTCGTGACGGCCGATCGCAGCCTCAAAGAAGCAAGCTTGCCGCAGGGTTCCTGTTAGAGAAACCGTGGCTGTAAGTTGTAACTCGGTGTCGAGATGCGTCCAATATTCTCCACAGGCCGAATGAAATTACTTCGTCTAGTTCATGCATCCCGTCGCCGCAGCGGCGGCAGCGTCGCTCATCTCGCCGGAATCTGTCCCTCCGGCGCACCACGCGGCTGCGGTTTCTCCGCATCGGTGTCGGTCATCGTCCACGAGGTCTCCTGCCCGCCCGCGACACTGTCGTCCCCGGCACCACCACCACTAGGCACGTCGATGAACTGAGACTGGCGAGCCTCCTCCTCGATCTGCGCGCGCTCCTCCATCGTCAGGTCGCTCTTCGCCTGCCCGATCTGGACGAACGCGTACAGCGCCAGCGCGACGCCCGCGACGCCGACGGCCAGCCAGAAGGCCGTCTTGTAGCTCTGCTTCGTGCCCAGGTGGCTCGTCTGGCCGACGGCGACGTCGCCGATGCCGAGGAAGAAGGAGATGCCGAGGAACAGCAGGCTGTTGATGAGCGCGCCCGCCGTGCCCTGCCGGTACGCGGGCAGGTTCGTCGTGATGAAGACGTTGCTGACGGTGTAGGTGATGTCGATGCCGATGGTGCCGCAGATCATGGACGGGAAGACGTAGGCCCAGTAGTTGGGGTTGTCGGGCATGATGGCGAAGAGCAGCACGCTGAGAAGGTTGCCCGTGCCCGAGATGGCGAGCAGCACGCGGCCCGGCAGGAGGTGCAGCGTGAAGCCGCCGACGGTGCCGATGACGAGGCCGCCGAGGATCATGGGGACGTACCAGACGGCGGTCAGCAGCGGCGACATGTGCAGGACGGTCTCGATGTAGAAGCTGGAGTAGAAGAGGAAGAGGCCGAAGGTGCCGTATGCGAAGAATAGGGCGCAGGCCAGGGTCTTCATGGACTTGGGGGCGAACAGGTCGGCCGGGAGGAGAGGGTTCGACGCCACCTTGGCCTCGACGTACCACGCTCCGACGAGGAAGGCGACTCCCAGAACCAAGGTGACGATGATCTGAGGGCTGGCCCATCCCTGAGGCGCGTGTGAGCTATCAGTGATGGCGTACACCACCAGCAGCAGACCAGGCACGATGGTTGCAACACCCCACCAGTCCATGCTAATCTCCTGGCGCTTCTCACGCAGGTCGTTGGGGATTGTCAGGAACGACACGGCGGTGATGATGCCGAGCACGATGCTGCCGAGCCAGAAGTACGCACGCCAGTTGAGGAACTGGCCCGCGACGCCGCCGATGAGGATACCGAAGAAGAAGCCGATGGGGGCGAAGGCACCGTATAGCGCAAAGACAAGGTTCTTGCGCGGGCCGGGACGGTAGATCTTGCCAAGGAGCATGATGCCGGCCGGGAGGTACGCGGCGGAGCCGAGACCCTGGAGGGCTCGGCAGAATATCAGCATGAGGTAGTTGTTGCTGAAGGCGGCGATGAGGCACCACACGAAGAACCAGGCCAGGCCGATGTTGAAGACAAAGTACCCGCCGTACATGTCACCCAGCCTGCCGAGCGGCAGCAGGAAGGCGCCGGTGACGAGCGAGAAGACGCTCGAGGGCCATGTCTGCGAGGCGGCCGGGATGTCGAGCTCCTTGGCGAGTGGAGGCAGGATGATGTGGAAACCACTGACGAAGTACTCCTACGCCGGGAACGTCAGAATATAGATCTAGCCCGAGCGGGCGTGATTGGAACCACTGTGATGGGAAGAGACATACCGCCATCAACATGGATCCCAGCAGGGAGAAACAAAAGCCGATTTCGGACCATTGGGACTTGAAGACGGCCGGGCGCTGTCGGCCGAGAAGCTCGACGTCGAACGAGGTTGCGCTTCTGCGGTCGCCGGGGCCGGTGGCTTCCCGCTCGGTATCGTCGTGCCGGGACATCGGTACTTTCACGCCGGAAGAGGGGGTTCGTCTGTTCGGCTATGCAGTTCCGGCTATGTATGTCGTCTAATCTGGTGACGTGATTGCAAGTGCAGTTGGGGAACGATGATTAGGTTAGGTCATGTATGTATACAGTTTTCTTGACAGCATGAAAAGAGTCAAAGTCGCATCCATTACAAGAAGAGCAGAATCCATTACGGGACCATGCAATGGCTAAATATTGGGCAGGCTGGCAGCAGGCCATCGAGGTCCCGAGTCACTGATGCAAAGAATTTCTAATCGGTCGCCATTGATGTGGAGAACAAAGGGGATTCGCGACCAACGGGCCACGGCTTGGAACCCGCCCCAACACACGGGCCGGATGGGGACTGGGGGCGACGGGATCCTAGGCCACCAACAAAGCGGTCTCCGGAGACTGCGAGACTGCGTAGATAGTAGAGCCTCGTGAGGCACGACGGCGGTGGCTGCTTGCTGCTGCTGGTGCTGGGTGGGCATGGTTTGCGCCTTGGCTTCCGTTCTGGGCAAAGGGCGTCATCTGTCAACCTGGAGGTGGTGTTGGAGGCGGCACGTGTAAGAGAGTTCAGACATGTTTGCTTGGAAACACGGGCAGACGGGATAGCCCAGTGTTGTGTGGAATCTGTGACGATGGAGTGGTAATCGAGGACACACGGATATGCTTACGCGATGAGAGCCAGTTTATCGCATATTTTGCCTCCTTTGGGCGTCATGTTGCTGGATATTACAGCCTCGATGACACAACTAGCGAGATCCGGGGCAATCTGGCGCCTGGCGGGCTGTGACGCCAGGGTCTGTTTTTTTCTTTTTCTGGCCCTCATGGACGTTCGAGAGCGTTCGCTTTGGAAACATCCGATGGAATCATGGAAACGCGGAAACTTCAGAGGTGGTGGCAGACAATGGAGAATGCGCCTCTTTGTTTGGCTGTTGGCTGGACTGGTGGGGCTGCTCGAATGCCGAACTGGGCCTAGCTCCTCTTTTCCTGGCGTCTGATTCGCCAGAGACACAATGTCAAGCGGAAAGAAAAACGTGACTGCAACGAATCATTGGAACCCAAGACTTGAACCGTGCGTCATCTTGCTCAACCTTCGAGAAGAAATAGTGGGTCTTCTATGCACGCTGTGCTGCTGGACTTCCATTCTGGGACTAGCGCAACTGCCACTCGGCCGGGGCCAGCAGGACGTGCCCCGCGCTCTTTTCCGCCGATGCGGTGTCATCGGCCGCCGAACCAAGCGTCTGCCCGCCGTCACTCTATCGCTCCGCCATCCAACTGCACCTCACCGCACCTTCATCCCGTTTTCCAACGATTCCACATTCCGCACAGCACCTTACGCCCTGCGAGTGACGCGAAGCCCTTAGGTTCTGCCCAATCTAATCAGATCAGTCGTCTCATATCTTCTGACATACGGGCAGCCACTCACTCGCTCCGGAATCCATATTCCCACACCTTGGCTACCCCTACTGTGCCAGTCTGGGCCCCCCGGATTACCAATCTTGGATTTCGCCTCAAATCTGTCATGCATGTCTTGATGATTCTTTTCTCAATCGAGGCAGTATCTGCGCCAACCCAACCACAACCCGGTCATCCCAACGTCTACCCATAGCTTCCTTCCCATCTCGTTGCTTCACACTGCCTCACGACGTCCTCGTCACTGGCCCTGCCGCCCTTGTTACGTTATCATTACCACCACAGTACCAATCTACTCACATCTTGATATCTCTCTCATAGGCTGTTGCAGGCCCAGGAGGAACCTGCAGCTTGGGACGCCCGCACGCAAGCGCGCGCGCCCAGACCCAGACAAGACACACACACAAAGGACAAACGCGCACCTTGATAGCCCGCACGTCTGTCTGGCTTGCTAGCTGCAATGGCCCGCATCGACATGCTGAATGCCCCGACAAAACCATGTCACAACTGCCGCCGCCGCCGTCTCCGCTGTGACCGCTCCTACCCCCACTGCCACAAGTGCACCGCGGCCGGCCAGGAGTGTCTGGGCTACGGCAAGCTCTTCCGCTGGACAGAGGGCGTAGCGAGCCGCGGGAAGCTCGCCGGCAAGGCCACAATCACCTTCTCCTCCGCCCCGGAGCCCGAGTCTCACTCGTCATCCCTCCAACTCGCCGATCCGGCAGCCTCCTCCTCCGGGACCCAGCACCCAGACCTCCCGCCCGCGGCATCCTCGTCGTCCGCCGAACCAGAGCCCAGCAGCGCCCTCGTCGTCTCCGTTGCCGCCGTCCGCCCCGGGACCCAGTCGGCCCCATGGACCCTCGTCGACCCTCTCTTCCAGGATGTGGAGCATCACTACCGCCACTACCTCTCATATTGTACATCTCACACCCTTCCTCCCACCGCGGAACCAACCTCTCGGTAGGACGCGTCCGAATAGAGTAGGCAAGCTAACCATCTCGGCCTAGTCACCACCCGCGTCTGCAGGGATCTCGTCTCCTGGGACGTCCCAGACCGTAACCCCTTCCGCTCCCTCGTCCCGCTGACGAGAGCGCACCCCCTGCTGCAGCACATCATCGTCGCCGCGTCGGCCGCCCACATGTCCAACCTCTCCCGCGCCGTCTCCTCGGACCCGGTGGCCGACCTCAACGCCCGCCAGGCCCTGAACGACGCCCTCATCGCCAAGCACAAGGCCCTCCGTCTGCTGTCGTCTGCCATCCAGAGCATCGGCAGCAGCGGCGGCGTCGGCGGCGACGTCGTGCTCGCGGCCGTGCTCTTCTTCGTCAACGTCGAGTTGATCGAGAGCGGGCAGTCCGGCTGGAAGCCCCATCTTGAGGGCGCCGGCCGCATCATGGCCTTCCTGCCGCCGGTGGGGTCTGCCGATGAGGCCTTGAGGGACTATGTCATGTCTGATTGCTTCATGTGAGTTTCTCATGTCATTGATGTCGTGTGATGCTATGTGATATGTCCGATATTTGGTAATGAATTATCTAAGCTAATCTTTTTTCGACCAAAGATATTACATCTTGGCTTCGGCTTTCAACACGTCTCCGCCTACCGCTGCCAAATCCTACTACCAGTCTGTGCAGGCGTCTTCTATCCTAGGAAGGGCCGCCGCCAATAGCTATCTATGTTGTCCGCCTGATATTTTGCAGATTCTCCTCGACGCCTCACAGCTATCGACAACAGAGGCAGATGACCTTGACTCTACTGCGCAGGCTGGCGCGCAGCTGCTAGAGAAAGCTTTGGCCTTTGACATTGAGAACTGGGCATACGAGCAGCGAAACATTTCCTACTTCCAGCAGATCCCAGTCGAAAGCCGGATACACGCCGGCTCCGCCCATCGCATTGCCGCCAGCCTGTACATCTTGCACAGTGTTCCGGCCATATCAAAGCTCGTGTCAGTCAGCCGCGATGAGCTGGATTCGGAGCTCTACCACCATCTTTCCTCCATATCCGACGAAGATCCCAACTTCAAGGCGACTTGTTGGCCGACATTTATTGCCGGCGCCGGTGCATCCAATCCCGACAGACGGGCATGGGCCCTCTATCGGCTCAAGAGGCTCATGATTGCGACGCCGTGGGGTTTCATCACGACTGCCATGGACACCTTGCAGACCATCTGGAGTTTGGAAGAGTCCCTCGACCCCAGCACGCAGACAGAAAGGAGCTGGGTGCAGAAACTCAAGTCCTCTGACCTCAACTTCCTCATCGTGTGAACAGGGCAGAGCAGAGCGCATTAAAGCCGGGGGCTTGTTGCGACGGCAAATTGGCCGCCGGCATCAATGAAATCGAGCTTCTTCTCTCCTAGCTGCTTACTACGGACCAGCGTTGGCGTCTTCACGGTGTCCGTCGTGGCAAGACCCGTGTTGTAGCTCGCCGAGAATCCCCAAGCATGCATTTCACCCTCTTTTGAAATGGTGTAGCAGTTGTCGATGCCTGCTGCAACGAACACGGCTTTGAGGTCTGTCCAGCCGAGGTTAGTCTTGTCAGTACTGTCGCTGGATAGGGAATACTTACCGGGAACGACAGCTGGGACATTCAGCACCCGAGGGCGGTCCCTCGAATCAAATATGATGTGGTCTTCAGGCAGCGTCTCGAGCGGCATTCCCATCTGGCCGTCGTCGGCTCGGCCCCAAACCAGCACTTCGCCTTCCTCGGTGCACGCAACGGTGTGGTGCAGTCCACATCCGATGTGGCGGACCTTGTATCCCTCGAGGCTCTTGATGACTGTCGGCGAGATCACAGTCGTGAACCCGGTGTCCTCCCGCGTCGAGATTCCACACTGGCCAAAGTTGTTCAATCCGAAAGCCCAAACTTTGCCCGTCGTGTCGATGGCGAAGCTATGATGTGACCCGGCAAAGATCTTGGCCGTCTTGTTCTTGGGAAGACCGACGCGCTGGGGAACGAGGGTCTCGAAGCGTCGGCGTGCCAGGATACGTCGTCCCAGCTCGTTCTGCTCCCCAGATCCCCATGCGAAGACGTTTCCGTCATTGGTGAGGGCGAGGATATGGTCTGATCCGCCCGCGAGTTCTTTGATGTCCGTGAGTCCTGGGATCAACACCGGCAACCGCTCCGTCGTCTTGGGTGGCTTCTCATGGAGGAAGCCAAAGTTGCCGTCTCCGCCCTGCGCGTGGTTAGCATGGAGTACTCAAAAACAGGTGACGAACTTACGGCAAAGCTTCCCCATCCGTACACTTTTCCTGCAGCCGTCAACGCAAACCCTGCGCTGTTCGTCGCTGCAACTTGCACAACATCAATCTCCTCTTCAAAGTTGACGGCTTCGGGAGTACTCTCGAATGGGTCCAGGATATCCTCCTCGTCCTCTTCGGCTTCTGCTTCGGACTTGGAGGTAGACTTCACGCGTCCTAGGGCACCGTCATCGTTGACGCCCCAGGTCAGCACCTTGCCGTCGTGGGTAAGAGCAACACAGTGCATACCGCCAACGGCAACTTGTACAACCCCCACAGAGTCGGCATCGAGGAGGCGGTTGAGGCGTGGGCGGGGCGCTTGTGTATGCCGGGGTCCAAGACCTAGCTCGGAGTTTTCGCCGCTTCCGATGACGAAGACGTCGAGTTTCGTCGTAGGTCTCGATGTCGACGATGGTCTGGGGCTCGGCTGTTTGGGTTTCGTTGGGTGTTGGTCCCGTTTGGTGCTTGCCGTTTGGGCCTATCGGTGTAAGTCGGCATCGATACCGCAAAGGCATGGAAGGAGTGTCAGGCGGCACTTACCTTGGTGCGAGACGGCAAAGAAGTCTCCATTCTGTTTTTCTTTTCTTCCCTGAGCTTTTGGAAAGAATACTAGCGACGAAAGAATTTAACAAACTTGTATGTCATGTCTTCTCTTGACGAACGCTGAGCACTGTGCCAATTTGTATGGCTGCCGCAGGCGATATGGAAGGAAGCTCAGACCACGATCCTCGGACTTGCTTACCTCAGTACGATTAGTCACCATTGCCATTTCTGGCGCCGGGGCAGCTGCTGCCTGGTGGTGCCTGCACTAATTGACCAATGAACACGCCGTCTTGCTTCTTCACGACGCGGATGACTAATGCGCGGAAGGAAGAGATGCAGGCAAGCACGTCTGACACGTTGTTCCATACAAGGCAGATTTCCAGAAAGGCATTGAATCCTACAAGACAAGTCTACTTCTAAATCAACCTCGGCAACTCACTCCGCGATATGGCAAGCGCCAAGGGTGCTACTAGAACTCTCGAAAGAGTCTTTAACAGTCCGGATGCTTGAGAACCGAAGAAGAACATTGACCGAGTTCGCCTTGTCGTTCGTCCCGCTGGATCTTGCGCCTCCAAACGGATGCGCCCCGATGACTGCCCCAGTGCACTTGTCATTGATGCAGAACATTCCCACCGAGTCTCTCAACCTCTCATTCGCAATCTCGATGGCTTCTCTGTCGCGCGAGAAGAAAGACCCCGCCAAGCCGTACTCACTCGTGGAGTCAATGACGTCGCACACGTCCTCGAGGTTGTTCGGCAGGGTATCGTCGTAAGTCAGCACCGCAAACAACGGTCCGAAGAGCTCCCGCGTAAGCAGGTGAGACGTGGCGGTCTTGTCGTCCTGTTTGGCCTCCAGGATAGCCGGTTGAATGAATAGGCCTTTGCTACCGTCCCGCTTGCCTCCAAAGAGAAGCCGGTGGCCATCCTTCTGGGCGCTCTCCAAGAACTCGCCGAATCGTTCGAAAGCTGCCTCGGAAACTATCGGCCCAAGTGGATGGTGAAGCTGCTTTACGTCGTCGCCGTGCGTCATTTTGGCCGCCTCCCTGAGCAACGCCGCCTTGAGATCGCCCTGCTCCCACATCGACTTGGGGACATACAGACGCGACAGCGCGCTACACTTTTGTCCTTGGAATTCAAAGGCTGAGCGGACTGCAGCGGAAGCAACCCAGTCAACGTCTTCGCGACACGAGTTGTGGACCAGGTGGAAGTTCTTGCCGCCGCTCTCGCCCACGATCCGCGGAAAGGTCTTGTAGAGCTGTGCATTGGTCCCAATCTGCGCGAACAAGCTCTTCAGAACCGCCGAGGATCCCGTGTAATGAAGGCCAGAGAAATGCGGGCTCGCCAGCGCGGGCTCGACCACAACTGTGGGATCTGCCGTGGGAAGGAACTGGACCACCCCCTTGGGCAGCCCGGCTTCCTCCATGATCTGGTACAGGATATAGTTGGACAGAACAGCCATGGGCGACGGTTTCCAGAGCACGACGTTCCCGAGAATTGCCGGAGTGAACGCGATGTGCGCCCCCAGCGCGGTGAAGTTGAACGGCGAAACCGCGAGCACGAACCCCTCCAGCGGCCGGTAATCGAGGCTGTTGTACGCGGAGTCGGACTGCTTGAGCGGCTGCTGTTGGTAGAGCTGGTGGCAGTAGTAGACGTGGAAGTTGAGGGTGTCAATGACTTCGGTGATGCAGTCGCCTTCTGCCTGCCCGCACGTCTTGCCTTGGCCGAGCATCGTGGCCGCCATGAGCTTCCACCTGTACCTCGTCTCGACGAGCCTCGCGGCGCGCTTGTAGATGGCGGCGCGTTCGCTGAAGGGCATATTGGCCCATTTGCGGCGCGCGTCCAGGGCACCCGGGATGGCTCGCTTCGTGACGGTCTCTCGGTCGACTTCGTGATACTCCGCTAGCGGGGCGCCATGGTGGTTCCATGGGTTCTTCTGCACACTCTTCCGGCCGGTGTAAAGGCGTTCGCCGTTTATGATGCTGGGGATTTCGAAGGTTGTTTTTTCGGCCTCAGCCAGGGCAGCTTTGAGAAGCTTGCGCTCCTCTGAACCGGGGGCGTAGGAGAACTTTTGCTCCAGTTGTCAGTGGTGTAGATGTGCTGATACGATGGGTCGAAACTCACCCCGTCGGCGTTAGCCGGCTCTGGATACCGTGAAAGTGGCATTGTGAATCAGCAGAATGAAACGATAGGAAGGCTTCAAACAATCTGGAAAGTCTACGATGACAGTTCATCAAGCCTGCAATGCAACAAGCCTTAATATCGTTAGCTTGCGAACCCATGCTCGGGCCGGCCGCAGGGTGGGCGAATCAGCGGGGTAGATCGGCACCCCTCAGTATCGGAGAGGCAGGACCGACGGTGTAGCAGCCGGCCGGCTCTGTCACTGAGTCCATTGGAAATGAGCTGAATGTGGACGAGACGACATCTGGTCTGTCTTTGTTCCCAAAGCGTTGCGGCCCGAGAGTGTCACTGGTGAGTGGTCTCGACAGGAAACCCGATTACCTCGGCCTACTGGGTTGCAAGACTACCGCACTGTGTTCCAGAGCACGATCAAGCGGGCATCAAATTATGCGACATGTTCGAAATATGGAAAAGTCGAAAATCTTGGGACCTTTTGGCATCCTGGCGCCAATTTGTTCATGGAGAAGATGGAGGCAACGCTTGAGATCTGGGCATAATGACATTTTGATTAAACTATGTGCTAATCGATGCGATGTCCTATCCTCCCGTATGACAAGTTCGTAGAAATACTCGCAAGTCACACCGTTTACACGCACCGCGCTCCATCAACGAGAATCTCGACACCACTGATAATCGAGCTAGCCGGCTCAGCAAGGAAAAGAGCTACATTAGCCACATCAGAGGGCTCCACGAGGCGCCCAATCGGGATCGCCTCACACTTGGCCTTGATAATCTCCGCCGGCACAGGCCCGTCCGCGATGCCCGCAAACTTGTTGAGGAGAGGCGTGTTGCCCGAGGTCGGGCAGATCGTGTTGAACCGGAGCTGGTCCCGGGCAAACTCCAGCGCCATGGACTTGGTCGCCGAAGACACGCCGGCCTTGGTGGCGTTGTACCACGTCTGCAGGGCGCCGGGCCGGATCGCGTTTTCGCTGGAGATGACGATGGTCGAGCCGGTGCCGTTCTTTTTCATCTCGGGGATGAGGATCTTGGAGGCGAGGAAGATGCTCTTGACGTTTACCTCGAAGGCACGGTTGAACTCTTCGAGGGTGACGTCGATGCTCGACTTGTTGGGGTAGGACCAGCCAGCGTTGTGGACGACGATAGAGGGCGCTTTGCCGAAGCGTTGAACTGACGTCTCAAGCTGGAACAAACTGAATCAACATCGATCGAAGTTAGCCGTGATTAGAGAAGTCCACTTACTGCCTTTTTCCAGCTTGCTTCTTCGGCTACGTTGGCCTTAATCTGATAAGCTTGGCTCTCTGAGTATCCATCAACTGGACCGTCAGTGGCCTGCAAGTCCAATCCCAGAACCAGCGCCCCCTCCTTGACGAAAGTCTCAAGGATCCCTCTCCCAAAGCCCTGGGTGGAGCCGGAGACCAGAGCAATCTTTCCTGCCAAACGACCGGTCATTTTGAAAGTTCGAATTAGGTTCAGTGTACTGTAAAGGGATTCAGTCGAATATTAATTTTCCAAGTTATCGCCATTGTTGAGACGCAGTCGTCGTTTGGGTGGTTTTAGATAGTCTTCTTGAATTACAGTCAACCCCCGGCCCGAGCTCCATGCGGGGGCGGGGTGCTATCGGGGTTGCGATCCCGGGGTCGGGTTCGACCGCCGATTGTTCGTATGACTACTACCCCTCAGTCCCCCCGTCGGCCGGGCCGGCGCTGTCACACAACACCACACTCCTCGCACAGCAACCTCCCCATCTCACCAGCAAAACAGAATGGCCCCATCAACCGCGACTCCGTCTGATTTACACCGTGCCCCCGTGTAAGTGCCGCCATCATCCGGCTCGGACCAGCGAGCTAACACAATCTCAGCGCATGTCTCAAGTGCCGCGCAGCCAAGGTCCGATGTTTAATATCCCGACGGCCGGACCGATGCGATCGCTGCACATCCAACAGTAGCGACTGTGTCTTCACCCAGCCGAAAAGAGCCAGAATCAGAGCCCGGCCATATCCCCAGCCCCGACAGCGCGAGTCTTCTCCACAACCACGCGTATTCGTATCTGAGCAGGATGAGACCCGAGAGGATGTCATCCAGCCCACGCCGTCGTCGCATGCGTCACCCGGTCCTCCGACGCCGGTAAGCCATGATGCCCCTCATCTTGATGTCGGGCCTCAACCTCCCATCACGGCGGAGATACGTGCGAAAATCATTGCGACGCTGGCGACTCTCAAGGGCAAGAGAGGGGCACCTTTCAGCTTCATCACATCGGGCGACAGACCACCTTTCGGTGCAAGTAATGATCCTGGAGAATTTGGCAGGCGGAATTTCCAAGGACAAGCCATCCAGCCATCTCAGCCGTCGTTGAAGCTTTCATGGCTTCTCACTCCGCTAAAAGTGAGTGGGCCTGGGCAGGCAACTATCGCTCAGGCTGGTCCTCCGGTGAAGATGCCCACCTACTCGGTATCCATGAGTCTCGGACACACTATCACGGATCCAATCGAAAATGGCATCCTAAGTGAGGCGGCATCAATAGCATTGTTTGAACATTTCATGATCGAGATGAATGCGAAATGGGAATACGTCTTGGACCCCCACTTCGATACGCACAACGATGTTAGGCGAAGAAGCCATCTATTGTTTGCCACTGTTCTGTTCTGCTCCTCCAAGTTTGCAAACTACCAAGATGGGCAGCTGTCTCTCAAGACGGATCCTTTTCTTCAAACCCGACTGTGCAGCCTGGCTCGCAACCTGGCCGTCCGCACGTTTGCTGAGGGAGACAGGTCCGTCGAGACCATGCAAGCATTCTACCTACTCGTCTGTTGGAAAGACGAGGATGACGATATCTCATATCTCCACAGCGGCTACGCATTCCAAATACTCCACGACCTGGATTTGGAGCAGAGCAATGGAAATGCCCAGCAGACCGCGAGGCGCAGACGGGCTTGGCTTGCCCTATTTAGACAGGACAAACAGCAAAGCATGTTTTTCATGAGGCGAGCCTCGCTGAATCTCGGAGATGAGGAAGATTCCCCTCGTCTTCTCGATCTGCAGACCTGGCTGAAGATGAACCATTCTCTGCCGCTTGATTTTGTTGCTTGTTGTAGCGCTGATCTGCGGCGTATCCAATCCAAGATACGCACCATGATTCCAAAGGCATCCTCAACCATGCTTCCTTGTCTCTCTGACCTCTTGGACTCTGAACTAAACAGATGGAAACTGACTTGGCAACCTCATTTTGATGGAAAAGGCAGGCTGCATCAGAACGATGATCTATCGCTCGATCAGAGACTGCTTTACTCTGGTCAGGACCATCTTTCGGCCCTTGTCGGGGTTTGGGAACAGAGTGTCAGGCTCAACATTTCGTCGTCCATCCTGAGACAGGCCCTCATGACTTCAGTAACCAAAGACTCTCGGTCCTCTGAGCTGCCTTCAGCACCAGCTTCAAGTCTTGGCTTCCCTGCCATGGGAGAGGGGCTTTCAGCAGACACGCCTGGTCTGGCAAACAGTGTTCATGGCGCCTTGGGAACACTGCGTCAACTTCTGAAGTTTCCAACAGACGACCTTCGTCGGGCACCAGATGCTCTAACTCTTCTTGCACCGAATGCAGCACTCTTCTTATGTCTGCTGTTGTGCCTGCCATGCGACGGTATCCTTGGTCCATCATTCCAAAGAACCGCCGTTGGTCTCATAAAAGATGTGAATCGGCATGTTAAGGACATGCTACGATCGCCGCAGGATATGGTGAACCTGCACGCGGCGTACTTGGAGTCACTAGCAAATTTGTTGCAGCCAGTGACCCCGCAGCGCTCACCAACTCTACAAGGCCATATGGGATCGGAAGTTCAGCATTTGGGTCTAGATGGAGATCAAATGCTACTTGAGGAAACGGAACTTCAGGCAGCTCAAGTGTTAGCTGGAGGAACGGATGCGTTCAATCACAGCGCGGACATCAACAACGCTTTGCTAGGGTTTACTAGCGAGCCGGAGCAAGTGTTGCACATGCAAAGCTTCGCCAACTTGATGGACACGAGTTTCTTTTGGGATGCACCTCCCATGACAGCGGAGAGAAACTATGACTAAAGCGACAACATCTACTTAATAGCAAATTTTCGAAGATCATCGTAGGATTGTGACATTACTTGAGATGGCGAATTTCAAATGGAGTTGTCCCCACAGGAGAAGACACCTCCGATGAGACCGTCGTCGTATGACTTCTTGATGCTAAGGATTGTCGAGTAAGTACCTCCAACAATGATGAAGGCTCCAGACAGAATCATAAAAGCCCCCACAGCTACCATCGCGGCATCTTTCCATTCCCCTTTCTTACATGCAGCCATGGCATCCACAAGCCAGTGCTGCTCCTGAGGCGCGGCGCTCTGCTCGCGTCTCAATCTGGCTGCTGTGTCTGTGACCTTTACCGGCTTCCGCGCGACATAGAATAACAGCATAAACCCAGGAACAACATTCGTAAAGATAGGGTTGACCAGCGCTCCTACCAAACTCAAGAAATCGCTGAAGAAAGGCACCACGCCAACGATAACGAACCCGAATACCACGGTCACCAACATCGATCCTACCCATACAGCCCAGTGCTTGACAGTGTTTGCCTGTAAGTGTCTGGTGCCCCGCAAGAACCTCACAAAGCAATACTTGGCCGCAATATGGCTGTACAATACTGCAGTCACCAGCAGCCCCGGCAGCGCGATGCCATAGGACACCTTTTTGATCAGGGGCCCAGCTGATCCCAGCGCCGGGCTTGCGAGATACTGCCCAATCTTCGCATAGACAATAGTTGCAATTGCAACACATGTCGCCACGATGAAAGCCTGACCGCAGATGAGTGCCCGCGTGAACTTTTCTGGATGTTTCATTTCTGCCGAAATGGAGAAGAAAGTTGCCGAGGCGCCCACTGCAAACAGCTGATTGGAGATCGCCGTCATCGCCTCGGGAAAGGTCGTCTTCGGAAACGCGCGGACATCGAGTTCGATGGGCCCGCTTGCTGGACCGGCGGCTGGACGACTTTGGGTGAGGCAGGCTATAGCTGTTGTCCATATGGCGATGAAGATGACCGCGACTCCCACCCAACTGATCCAGGCAACCTTTTGAAGACCTCGAAAGCCAGTGCCGATCAGAAATGCGGCGACGGAGGTAACGCCAACGAAGACAGTGGTACAAGCTCCATGGTCGGATAGGGCGTTGAATGCAACCGAGGTAGTGAGCAAACCTGCTCCAGCCGTCATGGCCAGGTAGAGGTAGTAGATGAACCCCACTACTTCTCTAGCCCCTTTTCCGAAGAGGAGCTCGCTGGCATCTGCTATGCTGTGCATGTGTGGGTAATATTGTCTTGCGTTGCCGCACAGGTAGCCGGCGATGGTTGATATCATGGCTAAGACCAGAAAACAGAGAATGCCGGGAAAGAACCCGATGACATGAAAGGTTCGTGGGAGGCTGAGAGCCCCGAGGCCGATCTGGAATTTTGCGACAAGGACAGCCGCAGCCTGCCAAGATACGCCTCGAAAGTTGACCTCACCATTTTCGTTGCTAAAGACGTCCTCGAAGAGTTGCCCGTTTGCTTGCGATTCGACAGTGCTTAGGTCATGGCCCTCTTTCGTGGTGTTTCCGTTAACGTCAAGAGCTTTCATGTTGATGTTACTTGACGAATGTTTCGATAAGCACTGCTGGTATGTTGAAGCATGAATTATTAAGTCTTACCATCAGCATCCTTTTGTATATTTGAGAAACTTGTCTGAATAGTACCATGATGCCACAAAACTCGGACCGACAGCCCCTGTTACCGGACCAGCAACTTAGAAGATAACAAGGCGGATCAAACTAGCAAGAGGACAGATAAGAAAGAAATCACTTGGGTTTTGAACGGTACCATATGCTAATAAGAGACGTCGGCTTATCTTTCCAGCTGTAACAATGGGCGTCCTCTTTGGGCCCTGGAGCTTATGACTTCTCAGATAAGATGGCCTCACGCTCTCAAGCTCTTTTGCATTTGAATACTTAACCTAACAGAAACAAAATTTAGATGATTTACATTACTGATTCCGGGGATAGTGGGGACGAGGTCCGGGGAAGAAACAGGTACCATCGCTTTCCCCGTGGGGTTTTTGCTCGCCTGCTCTGCTTCTGAAAAGGCCTTGGAGCTTTCAAATTATCTAATTGTAATGAATTTACAGTTAACAGCTCTCATCTAGGGCCGAGAGAGATTCATGATCCATGACGTGGGGGATGACCGTGGGGGTGGTCTCCTCCGGGCCGAGATGACCCACAGCCAAACACTCGGGCCGGTAACCTGATTGTATCAAAAGTAACAATGAAAGTAGCTTCAGAGCTGATTCTACGTCTTCCGAGAGGATACAATTCTTTAATTTCCTCCTTGAAGCGCCTTCACCGGATGCAAACGTGACATATACCTCAGAAACAGGCATCATGGCAAGCAACTCTCCACTCACAATTGCCGTCATCGGCTGCGGTCAGTTTTCCCATACCCCGTTGCACAACTCGACACCAGTTTCTAACACGCATACCTACAGGCACTCTTGGTACCGCAATTTCAAAAGGCATACTCGATCCCTTGGACAAGCAGAGCATCACCATAGACCGGGTTATTGCCACAGTCGGCACCGAGGCCTCTAAACGTCGCGTCGAGGAGGAGTTGTCTGATTCCTCAGCGCGACTGAAGGTACTTCTGCAAAAGGACAATGAAGCTGCTATACGAGACGCAGATGTGGTTATCATAGCTACAAAGCCCGTCAAGAGAAGTGAGGTCTTCGCAGCTCAGGGAGTCAAGGAGGCCCTTCGAGGCAAACTAGTCATCAGCATCATGGCTGGAATCACCACCAAAGAGCTCGCCCGTCTCGCTGTCGGAAATGGGGAATCATCTGATGACCAGACACCCTTTCAGGCTGTCCGGGTAATGCCCAACATGGCCGCCAAGATTCGTGAGGCCTTGAGCCTGTGTACGACAGACTTCGATACGCTTACGGACGGCAACAAGGAGATCGCAACATGGATCTTCAATCAAGTCGGCCAAAGCCGCTTCATACCAGAAAGCTCTTTTGATATCTCTGCGGTTCTTGTAGGATGTGCCGGGTCGCTTCTGCTCTTGGCTGTCGATGGCCTCCTAGATGCAGCTGTCGCTGAAGGAGTGAAGCGGCCGGAGGCGCAGGATATGGCCTTTACCAGCGCAATTGGTATGATGAAGTTGGTGCCTGCTGGAAACCATCCGAGCGTATTGCGGGAGAAGATCGCATCACCCGGGGGTTGTTCGATCCGGGCACTATTGGAGCTGGAAAGGTTGGGAGTCAGGTCAGCATATACAAGCGCCATCATGGCAGCGGCGGCTCGTTCCAAGGAGATGTCCAACTCTTAGCGTATCGAGCAATTTATTCGTCAATGTTCCTTTTTTGACATCCTATGTGTTCCTATGTACCGTCATCTCCTTCAAAGTTCCAGGTTCACAGGTTCATCTCCCACTTTCGTATCTTCCTTCGGCTGAGGAAACTCTTCAATGACCCATGGATCCCCAAAGATCGTGATTACGTTCTGTGCCTTGTCGTCGACATCTAGAAACAGAGAATAGAGGCCTTCATATAACACCCGGTTTCCCACTTCATCGACTCGGACGAGCTGCTCCATCTTGATGATAATTTCCTCCTTCCTCTCCTCGCCAGGCTTGATATTGCGAAGACGCGTGTATCCGACCAGAGTCTTCTGAGGCCATGGCTTCGGACCGGCCTCCGACCGTAGGAATACGAGCGCGACGTAGTCGGAAATCACATTTCCCTCGTTCTTGGCGGAGACGGTCACGGTGACCATACGCCTTTCCAGGCCACGCTGCCAGGAGGGAATTTCAGAAGCGGCATCGTCGTTTGCTTCTGCGGCCATTTGAGCAATATCAATATTATGGACGTTCGACGCTGGCTTCATATCCACACTAAACTTTGTGTAGTGCAAACCAAACCCGTAAGGGACCGGCGTTTCTCCAGTGTACCACCTGTAGGTGCGCCCGAGACCAGAGTTGCCAGGTCCAGGTCTGAGATTCATATCGGTGGCTGGAACAGCATCATTGTATGATGCCGGGTACTGCGTAACGGAGAGACGACCTGCAGGCGCCGCGCGACCGAAGACGATATCCAGAATCGCCTTTCCGCCTGATTGGCCAGGGTACCCACCCCAGAGAATCGCGCTCACGGAGTCGTTCGCAAGAAGTTCTGTGTCGTCAACCTGCCCGCCTCCGAATTGAAGAACAACTAGCGGCTTTCCCACTTCCGAGAGAGCACGAAGGAGCTGCAGTTGAGGCTCAGGCCACGCCAGAGTATTGCGGTCGAGAGTCTCTTGCTCCAGGGTGTTGTCTACGCCGCCCATGAAAATGACGACATCCGCGGCTTGAGCTGCCTTGATAGCTTGTGCGAACGATGAGTCGGACTTGTTCATCCTCGATCCAAGGAAGTAAGTGAAATCCAGGCCAAGGTCCTTCGCGGCCTTTCGTGGAGAGATGAGGTATGGAGCAGGACCGAAGTAGTTTCCTTGCATTTGCGTTGTCGCGCTAACCCATGGCCCGATGAGGGCGTACTTCTTCGAGGAATCAGGAGACAGAGGCAAAATGCCATCATTCTTCATAAGAACAGCGCCTTCGACGGCTGCCCGATACGCAAGATCTTGCGCCTCTTTGGTGTTGACCTCGTCCCAGCCTAGAGAGCGCAACGGGTCTTTCCTGTCCAAGTCGAACAGGCCGACCGAGACGAGAGATGTATACATCCGCGTCAGTGCCTTATCCACGTCTTTCTCGGAGATCAGCGACTGGTTCCAAGCAGACTGAAGAGCCTCTGATCCGGGAAAAGCGTTGCATTCAAGATCCGTTCCCGCTTGCATGGACCATGCTGCGGCGTGTCCAAGGTCGGGAGCATAATGATGGTACGAGACCATCAGCGCGACGCAGTCACAGTCTGTGGAGACATACTGCCCGTCCCCGTTCCATCCCCAGTGCTTCCGTAAAATGTCCTCGATAAGGTAGCTGTTCGCACAAAGAGGCGTGCCGTTGATGCCGTTATAGCTGCACATGAAGGATCCGACGTTCTTCTCGACGGCACATGTCTTGAATGGTGGAAGGTAGTATTCGGACAAATCTTGGGTGCTGATAATGGCGTTGAAACCAGAACGGTCTACACCTTTGTAGTTCTCGAAATCATTAGCTGCGTAATGCTTGCAGGTTGCGATGAGTTTCTTATCGGGATCATCCCCTTCCAGGCCTGAAAGCATGGCTGAGACATACTTCTGCAGGTGGAAGGTATCCTCGCCGGGAGTCTCTTGGCCGCGACCCCATCGGGGATCTTTGAAGGCATTGATGTTGGGAGACTAGGGTCGTCAGTGAGCTCAGGGATTGATGGCATCGTGCTCATTGGCCACTTACGTAGAGATCAAGCCCAGACCTGCCAGCGTTGCTGAAGGCTCTGGCCTCCCTGCTCACAACCTCTCCCACGGCCCGCACTAGTTCATCGTCAAATGCGGAGCCGAGAAGAATAGGCTGGGGAAAGGAAGTCGCGTAGCTGAAGTTCCCTTTGGAGGAAAACTTCGTCCCTGGCGATCTTGCTACGCCATGAAGCCCCTCACTCCACCATTCATAGGGCGGAATCCGAAGCCTGGGAATACCTGGTGCTTCATTTACCAGGTTGTCGAGCTTCTCCCAGATGATAAGTTCGGCAACCAACGCCGCCGCCCTCTGTTTATCCGAGAGCGACTCGTCACAGACGTCATTGGAGCAGAGTGGATCTCGTGTGCAATCTGGAAAGTTTCCTGGAGCTTTCTCATCGATAATGGGGTTGATAATCTCATAAACCTCGATCCTTTTCATTGTAAGCATTGAAATGATACCAATGGGTGGTTCCTAGACTTGGAAACTCACATATTCTCTTCGTCACACGGTATCAGCGACTCGGTGCAAACGGTTCCAGATGCATCGCACGTGGTTTGGGCGTCACTGATTTGGGATCCCTTAATATTGATCTCGTTCCCGCAAACACACAGACCTCCCCTGTATTCAATCAGTAAATCAGTCAATCGCGCCGATGATCACGAAGTCCTTACCTGTCGGATTTGATTCCAGCCAGCGAGTACCCAGCCTGGCCGCACAGCCTGGCGCATGGCTCAACCGTGTTGTGTCGAGTGAGCGCCACGTCGTTGATGAAGGCTTTCAAGTTCGGTGTGTCGTCAAAACAGCGCCGGGTACCAATTTCCGGCGCATACTCTAGCGCCGGAAGGCAGGTCCGCGAGGTTAGGGGCTTCTGAGCATCGTCGGCATAGGCTCCAGCCGTCAGGGCAATCCCCTGAATCAAGAGAATGAGCTCCTCGGTGTTCCTGGGCCTCATCGCGACAACCGATCGAAGCGATGTGTTCCTCTACGAGAGGGATGAGGTGAGATTTGTGTGTCGCCTTAACCCCTGATAGCAGTGTCGTATCACTACCCCGCGTCGGCTGCGGGGCCGCGTACCGCCCGGCCGACCTTGGCACAGGCGGAATGCCGCCCCTGCGTGACATGGGGATGTAAATCCTTCGCTGACAGTGGCATAGATTTCTCTTGAAGCGCATAACGCAATGAGCTCAAGTGGAAGAAAGCCTGTACAACATCCTGCTCATCCATCCCTCACAACAGGGTCATTACAAGCTGTGTGGTGTGGTTTCTGATATGCTGAACAGTCATTGTGCAACACAAATAGTGGACTCTTTGAGTAACTGAAGTGTATTTACAGACCCGACGAACCCTGTTGTTCTACTACCATATCTCAAAATCAACTTCTTCATATCCAGCGGAGACGATATCGTCAACTTCTGTTTCCCAAACTTCAACTGTGCCACGAGAGCAGAATCCACTAATCAATTCCCATCCGCCTGCATTTCGAGGTCGAAGAAGGACTGCAAAAGAGGCTTGTTTGATGTAGCATATCGCGTCTCCTGGCCGTGCTTCTTTAGGCACCAGTCCAACTTCGCCAGTCGAGTCTATATAGAGAGAGTAGCCTTGTAGCGCCATAGGTATGTGTTCAGAAATTTCAGAGTTTGGCTTTTCGGAAAGCCACCGTTCATACGTGTTAGGTCCGTAGCTGCCCTGTAGACTTTGTGAGTAAAATCAAACGGTTCCGGCTGCGCTTCAGACTCGCATTGTCTTTTCTCGAAGCAGGACTCACGCGAAGAAGTATGTGCGCCATTTTCAATGAATCATACTCTCGAACTCGAAGTTCTTTGAAGTGGAGCGTCAGCAATACAGTCTGCTTATGATTCTGATCAATTCTGGCGAACCTTGAAGAATTGTTTGGTTGGGACTTTGATGAGCTGCCTTGTAGCCCCAAGGATCAGTGTGGTCAATTTGAAACAGAAAAGATTTCGCTTGTTCTTCCAGTAACAAGGGGTCACTGGCCATGAATGGTGTGCCTGTATGCTCAATAACGGAGACTTCGAAACCTCGCACACGCAGGATTGCATGCTTTCCTGTGCACCTTCTACATGAACATGTTTCGAATCGAACTTCAGTAGTGTCCCTTGCAGACGCAAAGGACTCGGGTCCCGGGCGTTCTGGTCTAACCTCGAGGTGTGCATTCCTGCTCTCGCTAATGTTTGTCCAGGATGGGATCCATGAAGGCATGGCCATCTGATGAGGGTATCTGACGAGTGACAGCAATGAAAGATTTGACTCAGACTTGAGCAAGTACTCTGCTATCTTAAAAAATGCGACTTCAAGTCCGTCCGTATAGTTGATTAGGTTGTCCAACTCAGCGTTATCTCCAGTCATCAGCCCCGGCAGAGCAAAGACTCTGTCGCGCGAGTCGGTAGCTGCACAACCCAAGGAGCTGATGATAACAGACCAGAGTTTTTTGCCCTTGAAACTCTCTGTTATGCATCTCAAACAGAATGGGATGGCATTGCGGGTGACTCGGTAATGGCTGTAGCCAAATATCAAATTGAGAAGCCAGTCTGATTGTGACGAGAATGAACCGCAAATGATGGCGGCGTTCGAAACAGTGGCAAGCTTGGAATTATTGGCTTCTTGAAGAACCCATACCCTACTGAACCATGGCCGCTGAAGCAATTGCTCCACGGCTTCAATGAGTTCCGGTCGGGGAAATGGCCGGTCTAGCTCCTCCCGCCCCCCGTACCCGGAGTCTTTGAACACCTTAGGTGCTTTTGCTGCAAGTGCCAGCTCCTCAAAGAGAATGCGACTTGATGGTGTTTCGTCCCCTAGGTGGATGACAACTTGATATGAAGCTGCGTAAACTCGACCCATCATGCGGACCTGCCCTGTCTTTTCCAGATCGTCCTTCTGGTTTATGCAGATGGCATCGATCCAGAGCAGTCGATCAGACGTCTACAGGCGAAGATCTTGAAGTGCTCCAAAACAATTCGGAGTGACCATGATCTGAGCTCCATCAGGCCCAAGCATAGCTGGAAGTGAATCGGAGGCGTCGCCCCATGTGTATGATAAAGCCTCATATTCCGGAAAGCCAGGGGGGCGAAAGACCTTTTCATGCCATTCTCTCGTTGGCAATAAATTGACGACGCTCTCGGCACCATTGACGCTGACGGGTTCGTCGTTGTGGCAGTCGCAAGGGCAATCATCGTCGTTCTCCTCGTCCCAGTGCTCTTTTTCATATTTATCGTAACCGCATTCACAGCAGAGGACCTCATCATTGCTTTCGTTGCTCTCCTCGTTGAAATTAACGTCATTGTCATCAGTAGAGATGGCGTCATCTCCCTCGTTTTCTGGCTTGTCGTCGTGGTTATCGTCGGCATGATCCATGTTCTCAATGGCAAGCTCTTGCCTCTCATCTGCACGTTCATCCTCAGAACCTTCTGCAGAATCGCAGGGAGACTTCCCATCGGGACCATGATGAGATTCTTCATCGATGTGGCCATAGAAAGAAACAGTCTCCTGTACATCCTCGTGGATCGGTAGCTCTGCATTCCCATTCTTCTATCTTCGGCACAATCGGATTTTCATCTAGGAAGCTGCAGACAATCGGCGCATTTCGATCTTCGGCTGGATGCAAAACGAGAATCCGGATTGATTCGGGATGCTGCAGAGGAGTGTACTGGTATGCCGGGGCAGTGGTGTCGGCCATATTCATCGTCGAGGCATTCGGAGATCGCACATGGACACTGGCTTCGACGATGGACTGATGAAAACGACGCTTCAGCCTGCGCAAATGATTTGAAGAGAGACAGAACATCAACGCCCAGATCGCGAGATGAAAGAATCCAGACACGTGTTGAAGTCAACTCCACTTCCTCAAGCAGGCTGTGATTACCTGCGCCTTGCACTTGCATAACAACTCACTGCCATACCTCACTGTCAACCTATCAATTGACTCTGAAGGCGCACCACTCGCTGGTTCGCCACCAGGCTGTAGGCGCCAAGGGAGACAGTAAGATCTTGTTATCAGTCCCAGGAAGCGGTCTGTCCGATGCTTCGTCATGGCCTCCTTAGAGACGGCCCTTCATCCACTTGGAGAAAGCCTGACAGAATGCCTTTCATCCACGTGGAAAAACAACCGCGAGACTGTCAGACGTCGTTGAAAAAAGTGGAACAAGCAGCCAGCACAGCAAACTTAGAACACCAAAGCCTTACTTGTTCGTCCTCACGGACATGACTGATGTACCGTGACTCCCCCATCTTGTCTTGCATGCAAGACATACCCGCCATACGCTCAGACTCAGCAAGGGGGAACCAAGAAACAACAACCAAGGGAAACCGACAAGCCTAAACCAAAGGAACCAAGGAAACCGGCCGGCAGGCCGGCAGCAGGCTCGAGCCGTAGAAACAACATCCAAATCCAAGTCAGCCGTCGGCACGCCGCGACTTCGGAAAGGCGAAACTTGTTCGTATGACAGTCGCTTACCTTACCCCGCGAACATTTTCTTCTCACAATATCTTTTACCCCGCCAACTGGAACACTGGTTGCGGGGACCATTCGCAGCCGACGGTCAAAGTTTGCAGCAATGGGCCGCCAACCAACCCCCCGTCCGCGGTCCAAGGGCCGCCTTCGATCTCGCACCACGCAAGCGGGCGAGCGGGGTCCTGCTTCGACTCGCCTAGCGTCCTGGAGGTTGGTTGGTGAGGCCGGGGGTTCGGGAAAGCGGGCGGCGTGGTATCAGCATCGCACACGGCGAGATCTTCCGCAGCAGTCTTGGAGTGACAGTCCGCCGGGGGCGGTTCTCCCTGCGGCCGGCCTACCTAACCAACAAGCGCCCGCGTGCCACACGGTCTGCGGTCGCCGTGAGCTTGTGTGGCACAGCAGCAGAAGCTCTTTTGTTATCGTTTCGAAGTGCTCAGCTTCGCATGAGAATCCGTCGGGCCTTTTGCCTCGACTGATGAGACGCTGTGCTCGCGTAACCAGGTTGCGTTTGGCGAAAGGCCGTTGCAGAATGTCGAACGCTCCAGCAGACGGCTCCCGCAACCGGGGACGGACGTGTAAAGACACGATTGGCAATGGGCCGCGGGACTCAGACCTTCGCGGGTGGAGTTCTCAGACGGGATATCGACCGACAGAGGAGACCGGCCAGGGGAACAGACTCGCGAAGCGGGCTGGGCTGACAGGGCATGGTCGAGTTCTGTTACATCAGGCATAGGAGACCCGTTTTGCTGCAGCAAAGGGTTTGAAGGAACTGAGAAAGGATTTGGACGAGATGCGGTCAAGCGACTGGCGCAAGCTGTGAACCGAGCTCCGAAGGTCAACCTTGCCAGGCCAAGGTTCGGGGGCACAAGGGGCGTTTATCTTAGCAGTCGTTGCTTTTGCAACGATATGCATATGCGTCTCTTAGGAGGATCAACATTGGGGGCGAAAATGTTACAGCAAGATGTTGGTTGTTGTGCCCATAGCATGGAAACATTGCGGCAGAAAGTGTATGATCTCCATCTGGCTAGCCAGTCGCCGTTGAGATGATGACTGCCCACTCGCAAAAGTCTGGAAGGAAAAAGCAAAAAAAGAATTCCAGAAGCACTGGCAAACTGGTCCCTGAGAGGCACAGCTTTTTCCAACTGCATGCACTGCAGCCCAAGGATGCAGGATCGGCCTCTAGACCCGCCGTAACCTGCCGGAGCGTCTCTTTTGAGCTCTGATCGCGAAAAGCCCGCATACTGCCGGCCGTGGTGCGGTATCCGAACAGATGGTGTAGCATCGATATTGAAAAGAAGACGAGAACAGGGTGACGAAACACCGCCGCGATGGGGCTGACGGCGAACTCGCCCACTACAGATCTTGGTTAGCGGGGCTTTGATCTGGATCACCGATTCTTCTCTTCGAGTGGTAGCAGCGCTCGGGGTTCAAGGGTGATGGCTCAGAGGTTGCAATCCAATATGGAGAGGACATCATCCGTGCTG